CATGAATCGCGTGTTCCGCTCGTCAATGAGCCGGATGCAGGCTGCACGCTTGTGGTGAGCCCGCGCAAGCCCACGGGTGGTGCTATGGTCTCTAGGCTTCAGGAGGCTCCCTGATCACACGTTTGTGGTATGGTACAGCATGCTTCGAGCCTCATTCTGCTGTACGGGTGCCGGATGGTGTCGCGCCTTGCAGGGTAGCGCATCTCTCCCGCGCCATGCAGACGTGTTAGCCCCATCATCGTCGCCCACCATGGACACAAAGGCAGCGCTAGGGAATGTGTGACAGACTCTAGGGTTCGAGCCGCATGAGGTGTGTCCCTTCACGGGCTATGCCACCGCGCACAAAAGTAAGGTACCCAGGCAGAATGCATGCGGGTCTCCCTCAGTCCTCGACGACTGGGTGACATGCCTTGCGCGGGCAAAAAGGCGACCGTACGGCGCTGTACGGCTGTTTCTGTCCGGGATTGAACCGGAGACCTTCAGAGTGTAAATCTGACGTGATAACCACTACACCACAGAAACAGGAGATGACCAACGGGTTGGAGCGAGCCATAGAGCCCGTCCCGGGGCCGACAGGGCGCATGCTGCCCTGCGACACGCGGCCACCCGCTCAGGCGGGAACCCGGCCCGGTCGGCGCGGAGTGGTGTTGCATGGAGGGGATGCCGCAACACTGGCATGCGCATGTTCCGCACATCGAGTGTCGTGCGTTCACGCCCGATCAACCCGTGTGCTGCACCATCATGCGGGGTGGCTCGGCATGTCGCATGAATCGCGTGTTCCGCTCGTCAATGAGCCGGATGCAGGCTGCACGCTTGTGGTGAGCCCGCGCAAGCCCACGGGTGGTGCTATGGTCTCTAGGCTTCAGGAGGCTCCCTGATCACACGTTTGTGGTATGGTACAGCATGCTTCGAGCCTCATTCTGCTGTACGGGTGCCGGATGGTGTCGCGCCTTGCAGGGTAGCGCATCTCTCCCGCGCCATGCAGACGTGTTAGCCCCATCATCGTCGCCCACCATGGACACAAAGGCAGGGTTCGAGCCGCATGAGGTGTGTCCCTTCACGGGCTATGCCACCGCGCACAAAAGTAAGGTACCCAGGCAGAATGCATGCGGGTCTCCCTCAGTCCTCGACGACTGCGTGACATGCCTTGCGCGGGCAAAAAGGCGACCGTACGGCGCTGTACGGCTGTTTCTGTCCGGGATTGAACCGGAGACCTTCAGAGTGTAAATCTGACGTGATAACCACTACACCACAGAAACAGGAGATGACCAACGGGTTGGAGCGAGCCATAGAGCCCGTCCCGGGGCCGACAGGGCGCATGCTGCCCTGCGACACGCGGCCACCCGCTCAGGCGGGAACCCGGCCCGGTCGGCGCGGAGTGGTGTTGCATGGAGGGGATGCCGCAACACTGGCATGCGCATGTTCCGCACATCGAGTGGAGTGCGTTCATGCCCGATCAGCCCGGGTGCTGCACCATCATGGGGTGGGCTCGGCATGTCGCATGAATCGCGTGTTCCGCTCGTCAATGAGCCGGATGCAGGCTGCACGCTTGTGGTGAGCCCGCGCAAGCCCACGGGTGGTGCTATGGTCTCTAGGCTTCAGGAGGCTCCCTGATCACACGTTTGTGGTATGGTACAGCATGCTTCGAGCCTCATTCTGCTGTACGGGTGCCGGATGGTGTCGCGCCTTGCAGAGTAGCGCATCTCTCCCGCGCCATGCAGACGTGTTAGCCCCATCAACTCACCACAAGCGTGCAGCCTGCATCCGGCTCATTGACGAGCGGAACACGCGATTCATGCGACATGCCGAGCCACCCCGCATGATGGTGCAGCACACGGGTTGATCGGGCGTGAACGCACGACACTCGATGTGCGGAACATGCGCATGCCAGTGTTGCGGCATCCCCTCCATGCAACACCACTCCGCGCCGACCGGGCCGGGTTCCCGCCTGAGCGGGTGGCCGCGTGTCGCAGGGCAGCATGCGCCCTGTCGGCCCCGGGACGGGCTCTATGGCTCGCTCCAACCCGTTGGTCATCTCCTGTTTCTGTGGTGTAGTGGTTATCACGTCAGATTTACACTCTGAAGGTCTCCGGTTCAATCCCGGACAGAAACAGCCGTACAGCGCCGTACGGTCGCCTTTTTGCCCGCGCAAGGCATGTCACCCAGTCGTCGAGGACTGAGGGAGACCCGCATGCATTCTGCCTGGGTACCTTACTTTTGTGCGCGGTGGCATAGCCCGTGAAGGGACACACCTCATGCGGCTCGAACCCTAGAGTCTGTCACACATTCCCTAGCGCTGCCTTTGTGTCCATGGTGGGCGACGATGATGGGGCTAACACGTCTGCATGGCGCGGGAGAGATGCGCTACCCTGCAAGGCGCGACACCATCCGGCACCCGTACAGCAGAATGAGGCTCGAAGCATGCTGTACCATACCACAAACGTGTGATCAGGGAGCCTCCTGAAGCCTAGAGACCATAGCACCACCCGTGGGCTTGCGCGGGCTCACCACAAGCGTGCAGCCTGCATCCGGCTCATTGACGAGCGGAACACGCGATTCATGCGACATGCCGAGCCCACCCCATGATGGTGCAGCACCCGGGCTGATCGGGCGTGAACGCACGACACTCGATGTGCGGAACATGCGCATGCCAGTGTTGCGGCATCCCCTCCATGCAACACCACTCCGCGCCGACCGGGCCGGGTTCCCGCCTGAGCGGGTGGCCGCGTGTCGCAGGGCAGCATGCGCCCTGTCGGCCCCGGGACGGGCTCTCTGGCTCGCTCCAACCCGTTGGTCATCTCCTGTTTCTGTGGTGTAGTGGTTATCACGTCAGATTTACACTCTGAAGGTCTCCGGTTCAATCCCGGACAGAAACAGCCGTACAGCGCCGTACGGTCGCCTTTTTGCCCGCGCAAGGCATGTCACGCAGTCGTCGAGGACTGAGGGAGACCCGCATGCAATCTGCCTGGGTACCTTACTTTTGTGCGCGGTGGCATAGCCCGTGAAGGGACACACCCCATGCGGCTCGAACCCTAGAGTCTGTCACACATTCCCTAGCGCTGCCTTTGTGTCCATGGTGGGCGACGATGATGGGGCTAACACGTCTGCATGGCGCGGGAGAGATGCGCTACCCTGCAAGGCGCGACACCATCCGGCACCCGTACAGCAGAATGAGGCTCGAAGCATGCTGTACCATACCACAAACGTGTGATCAGGGAGCCTCCTGAAGCCTAGAGACCATAGCACCACCCGTGGGCTTGCGCGGGCTCACCACAAGCGTGCAGCCTGCATCCGGCTCATTGACGAGCGGAACACGCGATTCATGCGACATGCCGAGCCACCCCGCATGATGGTGCAGCACACGGGTTGATCGGGCGTGAACGCACGACACTCGATGTGCGGAACATGCGCATGCCAGTGTTGCGGCATCCCCTCCATGCAACCACTCCGCGCCGAGCGGGCCGGGCTCCCGCCTGAGCGGGTGGCCGCGTGCCGCAGGGCAGCATGCGCCCTGTCGGCCCCGGGACGGGCTCTCTGGCTCGCTCCAACCCGTTGGTCATCTCCTGTTTCTGTGGTGTAGTGGTTATCACGTCAGATTTACACTCTGAAGGTCTCCGGTTCAATCCCGGACAGAAACAGCCGTACAGCGCCGTACGGTCGCCTTTTTGCCCGCGCAAGGCATGTCACGCAGTCGTCGAGGACTGAGGGAGACCCGCATGCAATCTGCCTGGGTACCTTACTTTTGTGCGCGGTGGCATAGCCCGTGAAGGGACACACCCCATGCGGCTCGAACCCTAGAGTCTGTCACACATTCCCTAGCGCTGCCTTTGTGTCCATGGTGGGCGACGATGATGGGGCTAACACGTCTGCATGGCGCGGGAGAGATGCGCTACCCTGCAAGGCGCGACACCATCCGGCACCCGTACAGCAGAATGAGGCTCGAAGCATGCTGTACCATACCACAAACGTGTGATCAGGGAGCCTCCTGAAGCCTAGAGACCATAGCACCACCCGTGGGCTTGCGCGGGCTCACCACAAGCGTGCAGCCTGCATCCGGCTCATTGACGAGCGGAACACGCGATTCATGCGACATGCCGAGCCCACCCCATGATGGTGCAGCACCCGGGTTGATCGGGCGTGAACGCACGACACTCGATGTGCGGAACATGCGCATGCCAGTGTTGCGGCATCCCCTCCATGCAACACCACTCCGCGCCGAGCGGGCCGGGCTCCCGCCTGAGCGGGTGGCCGCGTGTCGCAGGGCAGCATGCGCCCTGTCGGCCCCGGGACGGGCTCTATGGCTCGCTCCAACCCATTGGTCATCTCCTGTTTCTGTGGTGTAGTGGTTATCACGTCAGATTTACACTCTGAAGGTCTCCGGTTCAATCCCGGACAGAAACAGCCGTACAGCGCCGTACGGTCGCCTTTTTGCCCGCGCAAGGCATGTCACGCAGTCGTCGAGGACTGAGGGAGACCCGCATGCATTCTGCCTGGGTACCTTACTTTTGTGCGCGGTGGCATAGCCCGTGAAGGGACACACCCCATGCGGCTCGAACCCTAGAGTCTGTCACACATTCCCTAGCGCTGCCTTTGTGTCCATGGTGGGCGACGGATGGTGTCGCGCCTTGCAGGGTAGCGCATCTCTCCCGCGCCATGCAGACGTGTTAGCCCCATCATCGTCGCCCACCATGGACACAAAGGCAGCGCTAGGGAATGTGTGACAGACTCTAGGGTTCGAGCCGCATGGGGTGTGTCCCTTCACGGGCTATGCCACCGCGCACAAAAGTAAGGTACCCAGGCAGAATGCATGCGGGTCTCCCTCAGTCCTCGACGACTGGGTGACATGCCTTGCGCGGGCAAAAAGGATTGGGCGTGAGGTGCAAGGGATTGGGCGCTTTATTGGAGCTACTTTGCATGCGAAGATCCCTGCGAAGTGTTCTGGATGTCACGGCTGTGTACCTTTAAAATGTGCTGCTGCGATGTGGGGGGGGCCGTGGAAACGTGGGTCACGATGGCTTTCATGCTGCATGCACGGTTGATTCGAAACGAGGAAGCCGCACACGTGGCGACTAAACAATGACGTGTGTGTAAATGTCGAGGCCTACGCCCTACCACCACTCTTGCATATCCGTACGTCCCATTCAAGTGCCTATACCACACACCACACTCTGTCCTATTGTGTCACACCCACCTCCGGCGCCCACGTCGCCCCATCACTACCCTAAAAGCCATAAACCACAAATCAATAAGCCACATCCCACCATTTACCAGACTAGGGACCCCCAACGCACCGCACGCACCGCCCGTGAGTCGGCAGTATCCACCCTCGCCTCGTGACGCACCTGTCCAACCATCGCGGCATGTCCAAGCCCACTGCAGCTTCGCCGACTCCATGCAAAGCAGCACACGCATCGCTCCCGGCCCCGCTCCCTCCCCATGTCCACACCTCGGCCTCGCGCCCTCATGCCACCCTGGCCCCACCGTCCTTAACACCAAAGCCAGCCCCACTCTCAACACAGCGACACCACACCACACCACACCACGCGGCGCTGCGCAGCTCATCACGGGACGTCCACCCCCCGCTTGAGCCCCCACGGCAGGTGCTTCTTGTGGTACACCTCCCGCACGTACATGCCGGTGGCCTCCACACCGTCGTGCGGGGTGGTCTGCTTCAGGAGCGCCTCCTGGAAGCACTGCGGGGCGGGGAGGAGGAGGAGGAGGAGGAGGAAGGGGGAGAGAGGCGGTGGGGCATGCCGGGATGGGAGGGTTCACCAATCCAGGGTCACAAAGGGGAGATAAGAGGAGAGGTTGGGCCCGTAATCATTGCTCATGTTTTTATCTCCATCTTCAACCTCCTTCCACCACCCTACCCCCCCTTTGTCGATCCCTACCTGTGCCACAAAGAACTTGTTGACTCGGCGGCCCCGGATCTTGATGGAGATGTTGCGGATGCCCACCACGTTGCACAGCTCGTACATCAGGTCGGAGCAGCACAGGCCCCAGCCCTCGGGGCGAGGCTGGATGCGGATCTGGGGGGGAGAAGACGAACCGGTGTGCTGAAATGAGGATGGCAAACTAGGTGAGGGGCGGAGCGTGGCCGGCGGGGAACAGCGGGGCAGCAGAGAGGGGGTCTATAGAGAGGCATTCGCTGACACTCCCTCCCGCCCCCTCCTCCCACACAGGTTTCTTCTCCCCCCCTTCCCCTTCTTTGCTTTGCCTCCCCTCCTTTGCTTTGCCCTAACCTGTGGGCTTCCTATGGCATGGTATGGCCGTTAACCCCCCCTCCCCCTCACCTTCATGTGGTGGTAACCCCCCCCTCCCCCCCTCACCTTCATGTGGTGGTAACCCCCCCCTCCCCCCCTCACCTTCATGTGGTGGTTACCCCCCCCCCTCACCTGTGTTATTAGTGCCTCCGAATGCGCTCACTGCATGAGTCGGGCTATGGGATTGGGAGTCGTTGTTTCACTTTTATATAATTTTCCCCCCTCACCTTCATGTGGTGGTAACCCCCCCCCTCCCCCCCTCACCTTCATGTGGTGGTACTCGTGGTCCAGCTGGTGGAACACGGTGTGCCCCCGGTACAGCGGCACGGCGGTGAGGCGGGTCAGGCTGTCCAGGTGCGCGCGAGCCATCGCCAGCTGGGCCGTCTCGGCGGTGCCCAGACCCAGACCCAGCAGGCCCTGACGGCAGGGGAAGAGGCAGGGGAAGGGGCCGGTTGCATACACGCCTCCAATGCAACCCCCCACTACAGACACCCACCCCATTCCACCAACTCACCCCATTCCACCAACTCACCCCTGTCCACCGCAGCCTTCTGCTCTCCTCCCAGTTGCTTCGCTTCTCCTTCACTACCCCCTCCCCCACCTGTCCCCCCCCCGCCCTTACCGCCATGTTCCCACTCGCCACCATGGCCGTGTACTGCTCCACCTTGCCCTCCCCGGGCGGCCGCAGCACCGCCCGCCGCACGTCCACCAGCACGCGCTCCCAGCGGTGACCGAACATGGCCTCACGCAGCTCGCGAGGCAGCGGGGGCAGCGGGCCGCCGTGAGGGGCGTCGGGGCGCCTGGGGGAGGGGGGAGCGGGTGGGAAAGGGAGGAGGGGGTGTGGTCCTAGGTATCGTGGGTTGGGGTAGGAAGGGTCCTGCGCGGGCCTATACGGGCCCTATCGTCGCAGCCGCACAGCACATGGGCTATATCCCTGCTTACTGTGCCATCCACGCTACACCAGCAATGCAACCCCTTGCACTGCCTGTCCGCTCCCCTCCATAGCATTCACCCACTCACCCACATTCACGTGCACACGCACCCACACGCCTGCGCATACCCTCCTCACTGCCATCCCCCTGACACGTCGAGTTCTCCCTCCCTTGCAGCCACCCGCCCTCTCCACCCACCCACCCTACCCTGCACACCGTTCTCGTTAACCCCCCGCCCTCCCTCTCCACCCAACCCGCCGCCAGCCCCACCTGGTGAATGTCTCCCGGGCGGCCGCCAGCAGCTCAAACGCGGCAGCATCCGGGTTCTCCTCGCGCCGGGGCCCCCGCGGACCGCCGGGACCCTGCATGCGGAGGTGGGGGTGGCCGGTGGCAGGTGCGGGTGTGGGTGCAGGGATATTTATGGAGTAGAAAAACAGGGAGGCTGGGATGGGGGCATCGCAACCACCTACGCTAAGCGACCACGGGGTAAGCGAGGGGTACAAGCCCTTTCTTGGCGACCTCCAGTGGCGTGGCCCGCCCAGCCCTCTTTGCTTTCCTTTACCCCTGTCTGCATCGCGACACACAGTCTGCATCATGATAACCTGTTTGCATCGCGACACGAAACGCACCGGTTGGCGACGGGGGTCCTCTGCCTCCCTGGATCCACCCGCCAGCAAGCCCTGTTAGACCAGGAGGCGGGAGAGGAAAGGGTGAGGGGAGGCGACATGTGAGGAACTCGACGTGGCGAGGCAACCCAGGCGAAACCAACTTGCATCTGGGAGTTGCGTGTAGGTAAAGCGCAATGTTATAGACTGGCGGTAAGCGGTTCGCATTCCAAGCAGTGGTAACGGGCGGTGAGGTTCGATTAGGGGACAAGGGGCGGGATGTGGCGTGGGAACCGAGGGTGGAGGTTTCCTAAGGCCAGAGCAATGGGGGAAAGAGGTGCCTGCCCGCTTACCATTAAGTCTGGAGGTTCGTCCTCGCCAGCGGAAGGTCTTAGAGAGTTCTGCAGGTCGACACGCCGCAAATAGGTTGGATCCTGTGCAGGCGTAGAGGCCTGCTCAGCGTGTGCTTGGGAGGAGGGTAGTGAGCGTACATTCCCCAACCCGAACTTACTGCATCCTCGCCATCAGCCTCCTCAGCTAGCTCCGTTGACGACACTCCACGGTGCTGCAAGCCAGATTCCAGTCCCGATTAACGAACAACGCTGCGGCATTGCCAGCTTCGAAGGACTTTAAATTTACCTGTGCAACAGAGCCCAGCACGGAGATAGGTCCTGCAACTGATGGCGCTGATGCCGCAAAGCCCATCGGCGAGGTCGTCTGGAACGCCGACACCTGGTGTAGGCCGATTGAATCAGAGTCCCCAGGAATCAGTGTCTGGGCGCCTCCTTTACAAATGATGTAAATTTGATTCACATGTACATATATTGCGTACCGGCATGCCTGAAAACTGAAGACCTCGCAGCGTTGCACCCTGGGACAGCCCAGCAGCCGGCGCAGCGCCACCGTGCACCTTCCCTAACACTGACCGCAACGTAGAGGCATTGTTGCCATGTTTACTGCTTGCAGAAGCGGCAAAAGAAGCACGCGTCTCCGCGAGCACGCGGCAGGCACCTCTTAGTAGATGTCGCTGCGCCATTTGATTGTTAGCAGGGACGGCCGTCAACTAAATCACTGTTGCTGTTTTTGCAACACTAACGCGACTGAAGCTGCAGCAAGGCTGCGTCCGTCATGCACGACTAATTCCGTTGCCGGTCTTCGTTCCAACCGATGTGTTGTGCTCTTGTGCACAGAATAGATGTTTAAAGCATGGATACATGTTCGAGGTGCTGATTGACGCAGTTCAGGTTACGGATTTCTTCGTCCAGGATGACGAAGTTGCGGTTGGAGGTAGGCTCGGCACCCCGGCATCCATATGATTGGCACCATAAGCGGACTCGCACGTCACTCTGTGCGATATGCTGTACACACTGGTTAGCAGGTCGGTCTTTCACCGAAGACAGGCGACAGCTCCCCAATTTCAATGCATGTATCAAAACCCTCTGAGCATGAGCATGCCAGTGGGGTTCTGGCTGACCGGCCTCACGTGGCAAGGATGTAAAACTTTCAGCATGCAGGTACAGGTAACGAAAGCCGAAACGCTGCTATGGCTCTGCATTTGGTGTTGTATCCCTTTCACGCAATTTGCACGTCCAAACCATGCCCGATAGTAGTTCGCCACCTACAAGCTACCAGCCCTCAATTGGCCCTGCCCCAACCCCTCGAGCGGCTCTGCTCATCAATATAAATAAGACAGAGGCCAAGAACACCAGTTCAGGAAAACCCCCGCATGTGTACATATGCACCAATTGCATGTGTCCTCTCTTATCGCAAAAGGGTTCAAATTGGCATGCGTCCAGTCCAGCACTACAATAGTATCACGCATACAAACGCCCCATGCCGTGCCGACAAGGAAGTTGCGCTCACGTCACGTCATGTCACCACCGTGCCGCCCTCAGTTTCAATTACGGTACTAGCCATCGCAGTGCAGCCACATTGTCATCGCATATGGCATAGACGTCCCTCCATTCCTTAACACATCAAACGTTCTCCCATTCCTTACCACAAAACACAGCGGACGGCATTCAAGTCAGCGACAGCAGGCCGCACCTCACACTGCGCATGCTGCCGCCATCAGTAGCGGGAAACGTACGACACGACAGGATGACAAAGATGAAAGAAAGCCTTCTAGTAAAAGAGCCACGTAGGCGATTGTCCTGTACTTAAAGGCCATCAAAGGAAGGTCCTGGTTGCAGTCACGGCCATGCCCGCCACCACCACATGGGTGTCTCACGCGGCCTCCGAGAGGGGAAAGCAACACGACGGGTTGAGTACAAACGACAGGACGAGACAGCTGATGAGTACGACATGAACGTGTGTGTTTGTGTCCTCGTACCGGTAACAATAACCCAACGCAGCAGCGGAGGCGTGTCCCCACGCCCCGTCATGACACACAATCCCTGCGTTAACATCAGTCCCCGACGCGACCCACACAGTACACAGCACAGTGAAGCAGACAACTGCTCCGTGTACCGGCCCCGGGGCACAATAAGCAGCACACATGAGTCGCGACAAAAGTCCGAGGCGCAAGGTAGAGTGCAGCGGAGACATGACATGTCCTCATTGATTCATGATTGCGCCTCCTGACGTGTGGGAATCTCAGTAAAATTTTTAAAAACTATTAGCGACGTCGTCCCAACAGAGTATAAAAGTACAATACGCAACGTCAGCAACCCAGCCACAACACCCCGAGGGTTTACGTGCGAGCGGCGACCGCAGCAGAGCAGTAGCAAGCTCATGTCCTTCCGTCACGAACAAACAAAAGGAAGCTCGGGTAACTTGCAACACAGGGGATCCCAAGCATTTGCTTCCAGGCGCAACTGCCAGCCAGGCCTGCGGCGGCACAGCCGCGAGCAAGACAGAGGCAAGGCGCAACCCTTATGTTCGGCCCAGAACGCCGATGCCGGGCAGGGAGACGTACAAACTGCTCGGCCGCTCATTGGAAACCGACAATGCATGCATGAATACCTAGATGCAGTGCGGGCTTTGCTTCTTCAATAGGTCAGACCCGACTACCCATATACTGTAACCCGCCAGCCGCTATTAGGTTCCTGATCCTGTATGCGTTGTCATTGGCACCGTTCACGAGCCATTCAACAGCGCAGCCAATTTATACTGCCGAAAGGAAAGGCCCACGCTCAGAAGTGGAATGCAAGTCACCAGCACCGCAATAATGCAGCCCCTTCCACCTCATGCCCACACACGCCCACACGAGCCCTCATGCGTACCGTTGCCGCCATACACTGAGAGCGCAAGCGCCCTCCACACAAAGCTACAGACAAGTAGTAAAACCGCAACTAAGATGTCCACACCAGCAGTGCCGGTTTCTCACCAGCACACCGGTCTTACCGCCATAGCGTAAACCCACAGCAGATTTTGCAAGGCGAAGACAAACCCTGCAGGGTTGCAACATCGCACATGCCTACAATAAGAGTACTTCAGCGTTCGAGCGTAACATACTAACCGTCCGCTTCCCACCGCTTGCAAGCGCCCCCGAGCCTCAGGAACGCGAAATTTCCTTGGGTCTCTCGGTCATGTCATATGCGGTAAAACACCTCGGAAGTCCCCCTTGCATGCTTGCTTCAGGCATGCGTCGGCCCTTCCCCAAGGCCCAGCCATGCCGACTCACACGCATCGTGCTTCTTCACAACACAAGCTAATCCCAACACCATCCTTAACAGCATCCTTGTACCTAACCTTTGTTCGACCATCCTATACAATCCCATAAGGGGCACCTGCCGTGTCTTTTAGCGGGGCTTTCCAGCTGCCACGCAGATACAGCAGTCGTCACGCCTCCCGCTTTCCTCCCACCTCCCATCACAGCCCCCGCAATGCCGGCGCAGTTGGCGCCGTCAACTGCAACGGCGTTGGCGTTGTCGGCAGCGGTGTGGGCGGCGTTGGCACCTCACTCACCACCCAGCCCCCTCCCACCTTACCCCCGCCTCCCTCCCCACCAGCGCCAGCCACAGCGACGCCGGCACTGGCGCCGGTGTTGCCCAACCGCATGGAAGACCTGCCATGCTGGGCTGAAACCAGCGGCCACTGTGGCCGGGGGCTGGCACCAGCGCCGCGGCAGTCAGCGCGTGGGGAGGCGGGTTGCAGGTAGCGCGAATGGCTCAAGTTGGGCGCCGTTGGGAGGTCCTCCAAGCCTGTATCAGCAGCTGCAGCACATGCAACGGCAGTCGTTAGCGGGCTGTTGAGCACCGCTTTGCAACTGCTGGGAGGGGTTGGGGAGCTTATGCCACTGAGGACGGTGCCGCCACCGCCGGAGCTTGGAGTGCTTACTGTGCTGCTGCCGCCGCCGCTAGCGCCGCTGCTGCCGCCTGCCAGGCTTCGGGAGTTACTGGGGTTGGGGGCGGCGGGCAAGTCCTCCAGCCGTCGGTAGGTTCCCATGCCGGCGTGAGGCGCCAAGGAGGGGCTGTGGAGCGGCGCTTGGAGGCGCGTGGGGGCACCGCAGGGGTTGGGCAAAGCAGGGGAGTGCGGAACACGTGCGGTGGTGGTGGAGGCGGTGGTGGTGTGGAATGTGTGCGCCCTGCTCCTGACGTTGACGCTGCTTCCGCCATCGGAACTGTCGCAGCGGGAGGGCGTACTGGTGTGGATGGTAAGGAACCGGCCCCTGCCGTTGTTGTTATTGGCGCTGATGCTGATGCTACCATTCTTGAAAGCTGAGGCGGTGCCAGCTGTGGGGGCGCTAAGAACACTGGAGGCCCCTGTTCCCGCAGTAATACTGCTGGCAGTGGGAATGCTGGTGGTGGTGGCGCTTCCCCGGACAGCATGCGGTGAGCTGTCATCGTCAAAGTCATCGCAATGCAGGTCGTCCATGTCGTCCTCTGCTTCGAATGGCTGCACACGCATGGCATCGTCAAAGAATGCAGCATTGCGGACGGCTGAGCCGACTGCGGTTGACCCCTGCCGTTGTTGTTGCTGCTGTGGTGGTGGAAAGCCGGAGGCCTGCGGTTTAAGGGGGTGGGTGAGGTCGGTGCCGCGGCAATGATTAGTATAGGCTCTATACGTGCAACACCCAAACACAGCGCTTCCCAATGACAAACACGGAAACTAGGCAAAGCCCACATCACAGCACTACAACGGGCAACGTAGGGAAGGCGACTCCGTCTTTTAACCCCCCCCCCCCAAAAACACAACCAGAACAACAGCGACACGACAACAGGACCAAAACAATGTCCACAGAGTCCGTCCCAAGTACCCCTTTTCATGTGTGACCCAGCTGACCAAGCATACTCACTATAGTCACAGGAGGAGCAGCTGTCCGCTCGCAGGAGCCCTGCAAAGGCTGCTGCTGCTGCTGTGGCGGCTGCGGATGCTTCTGAGGACTGGACGGAGTGCTCGGACCGCTCCCACCTCCGCCCGCCAGGCTACGGGACTGGCCGGGGTTGGGCGCCGCCGGCAGGTCCTCGAGACGCCGCGTAAACCCCACGAATCGGGCACTGCCTGCAGCTACGAGAGCAGGGCGCGAAGCAGCAGCACCCATCCTTGGCGGGCTGCTGTTGCCCGCACCTCCGCCGCTACCGCGGCTGCTGCTGTTGCTGTTGCCGCCTGCTAGGCTACGGGAGTTGGCGGGGTCCGGAGCTGCGGGTAGGTCCTCGAGTCGCCGGGAGAACCCCACCAACGACGACCGACCGATCTGTGAAATGAGCGGTGGGTGGTGGTGCTGCTGCTCTGTGCTTGACGCCGTGCCACCGAAGCAGCTGGGGCTGCTGTGGGGCGTAGGCCCGGCCAAGCTGCGCGAGTTGCTGGGGCTGGGGGCTGGGAGGAGGTCCTCGGGTCGCCGGGAAAAGGAACCTGAAGAGGTGCCGGTTTGGGAGGTGGCAACTGGACGCAGGGAGCTGGGCGCATCGGCGGTGTGTGTCATGGTGGCGGTGGTGGTGCTCATGCTGCCGGGCGGGCTGTTGCTGGAGTTGTCTCGCCTGGAAAAGGCACTTGCCACGGGTGCACCTTCTGAGGTCAATGGCTGCGGGTGGGATGCTGCTGCCGCGGCAGGCGGTTGGGAAGGCCGGACAAACATGACGGAGCTGTCAGTCCCTGCAACTGCGCCGCTGCTGCCAGCGCCATCACTACCGGCAACTGCTCCGCCGCTGCTGTTACCGGGTGCCAGGCTGCGAGCGGCACTAGGACTGGGAGCTGCCGGGACGTCCTCTGGCCGCCGCGAATAGGATCTGAGGAATGCAGGGGTGTCCGAACTCCTGGTGGGGAGCGGCGGCTCGGCCGCAATCGGGCGAACGTGTACAAGCGCGCTTACGTTATCGTAGCTGCCGCTGGCGGCAAGGCTGCGGGCTTGACTGGGGCTGGGAGCTGCAGGAAGGTCCTCTGGACGACGGGAGAACGTGCGAGCGAACACGCTGGGAGGATGAGGGTTCGCCACATGACGCGGCGCCTCGGAGGCTGCTGCCGCCGCCGCAGTAGCAGCTGGGCGCACGAGCACCACGTGGCCGCTGTCAGCACCCGGCCCCGCCAGGCTTCGCGCGTTCCTAGGCGAGGGAGCTGGCGGCACGTCATCAGGTCGCCGCGAATACGAGCGTGTCAGCAAGCTGGGATTCGGTGCAGCAGCCGTGGAAGCAGCAGCCGCAACACGGTGTGAGTCGGCAGCTGGCCGAACAAGCACCACCGAGCCGCCGCCGCCCACGCCGCTGATGCTTGCCAGGCTTCTGGACTGACTGGGGCAGGGAGCCGCAGGCACATCCTCCGGCCGTCGGGAGTAGGAACGGGTCATGAGGCTGGCGTTGGGCGCGGCAATGCTGCGCGGAGGAGCATCGAGACCGGCACCAAGAGCGGCAGGGCTGCTGCCGACGCCGCCGCCTGCCAGGCTACGTGAGTTGCTGGGGCTTGGGGCCGCCGGCATCTCATCCGCACGTCGGGAATAGGACCGGCCGAACTTGCTCGGCGGCGAGGCCCCACTGGCGCGGGGGGGATCGGCAGCAGCTGGCTTGACGTGGATCACACCGCCGCCGTCCTCCTGAGCCACGTTGCCGCTGCTGCTGTTGGTGTCATTGACAGCTACGCTGGCAGCAAGACTGCTGGCTTTGCTGCGGCTGGAGATGGAGCCGGCGTCCTCGGTTCGCCGCGAAAATGTCCTCATGAGCAGCTTGAGGCCTGGAAAGCCGTGACTGCGCGGCGATTGAGCTGCCGCTGGGGCGGCAGCGGGTGTTCCCTTAGGGTTAGGGCTGGGGCCGGGGCCGGAGCTGGTATTGGGGTCGCGGGAGTCGGCATCGTCAATCAAAACACGGAGGCTCCGGCCGTGGCCAAAGCTAGGGGCAGCAGGCCCCGCCCCCAGGCGCCGAAAGCTGATCGCCCCTGACTCCTTCCCAGCAGTCGGCGCGCTAGTCCGAGCGCAGAGGTCCTTCGTGGGGTGATCGTCGGGGTCACCTGCATGGACAAGGGCGGTTGCGAATGAAGCGCCGCTTAGGCAGGGTAGCCCCTAGCCACCCCTATCAACCGAGTACCAAAGCTGTGAAGGATGGACGATGACTTCACTAACGCGAACACACTAACGTAACAGCCCGCGGAAAGTTTTAACAACAGTACCGCCAAACACCACAGCAACCACTTGGCCTCTGCCGACCCCAGTACGAGTCGAAGACCACCCTCCTGTCAGCGCTATTAGTACGGCACCCCACATCGAGCACCAGCCCAGAGCATCACCCTGAATGCTCGTACTGTGCCTCACCTAATGCACAGCCCGCGGCTGCTGCCCCCCACGCGAGGGTGGAGCTCCGAGACCGGGAAACCAGCTTGTCAGGCCCGCACTCGTCCTCCAACACCAGCACCTTTGCCTGCATCCCGCATGGCTGCTGTTTCCCTAGTCCATCGTCCGGCACTGCGATTGCCGCCTCAGCCGCAGCGGCCAGCTTCAACACGGGCGACATCGGAGATGACGAGGCCGCGGATGTGTTTGTGTCATTTACGGCTGTCCTTGCAGGGTATGCGGCCCCGGCTGGGTCGCAATGGTCTGTAGAGGGCGACACGAGCGGTGCAGGTGTCACACCCTCGACTGACGAAGACCAGGCGGCAAAGGACGCCTTGGCACGCAGACTACGGGGGTGCCCGTAGGTGGGAGAGCTCGGCGGAACAAAGCTGGAGGAACCGCGCTGGCTGCTCACCACGGCGCCCCCGCCACTGTGGCCGGCCCCAGCCCCACCATCACTGCCGGGGATACCGCAGTCATGGATGTCCTGATCCAGCCCCCCTGAAGCCCTGACTCCTGCAGGCCGCATTAGGGCTGCAGACGGGTGGTGGTATTGCTGCTCCTCCTGTTGCAAGGCGTCTGTTTGCTGTAAGTACAGCTGGCTGTTCCTGCGGGAGGTCCCGAGTGGGGCTGGCATAGCCACGGGGTTCTGCGGGTCCGGCACCATGCACGGTAACGCCTGGTCAACGTCGAACCCATGCGCCGCCGGATTCATGCTGTCAGCATCAGCAGCCGTGACCGGCCCAGCACCAGCCATGAACGGGTTGCCAAAGCCGTTAACCGCGGGCTCCATGCCCATCGGCTGCGCTGCTACAAGTGAGGTGACACGAGAAGACACTTCCACCCTTCGTGGCGCCTGCGCTGCGCCATTGCCGTTACTTCGATTATTGCTGCCTCCAGCTGACCCTCCCGTGGCCATTGAAGAGGTCTGCGCCTGCAGCAGCACGGGCTTGCGGAAGGCGGTTGCTTGCTGTTGAGATGCTGACGTGGCTGGCAACCCAGATCCCCAAGCTCCAGGGCCCATCCCCGTGAGAGGATCCAGCGCCAGAAGGGCCCCTGGAAGCGCGGGCAGGTCGTACATAAACCCGTTCACTGGTCGCCGCCTGACTGCGGTTTTGTCAGCGTGTCAGGCGGTCAATGCTGCTGCGTGCGTTTGTCCTTGCTATCAGCCCTTGCTTATGGGCGCAATGATTGTTGCTGCTGTTGCTCCCCCTTCTAACGCCTAGTATATGAACCAAGCAGGCACGGGCAGCGGCTGAAGTTAGACGGCGGCTTTTGCCGCCGTCCCCACACCACCTTCACCGTGCACAACCGCCACCGGCACGGCGCCACGGGCGCCGCACGGCGGCGGTGGCGTCGTCCACGAGTCGCCTGGAGGGGCACGTTTGCATATGTTGCGGTCGTCGGTATGAGTGCATACCAAACCAACATGACAATCCTATAGGTTTCGTAAAGATAGCGTATTGAAGGGATATCGGGAAGAGTTAAAGGCAGACTGATAACAAAGGCACGTGGCTTAACCGCCACCGTGGGAAGGAACATCAGCAATAACTCATCACGACATACTTCAACAGCCTTCCAAGCACTTATATTTCTGTGCTAGGCCGCCGAACTTCACAGTGACAGGCTTGGCATAAACGGTCTATAATCACCTTTCCTCTTTCAGAGCAGCTTTTAGATTGAGTTTATGGAGGGATAACCGCAGTGGAAGCGTAAACCAGTTGCCTGACGCTGGTCTGACGCGTTGTGGTCGTCCAGGTTGTACCCCATAACTATAACCCAGCGCACCTTGATTAGAGAGTAGAATTTCGATAAGTTATTTCTACATAGCTGGACGCCCACATGTAGAGTCTGCGCAGCAGTTCGCGTCCACTCTGTGTGTCCAAATCCTCGGCAAGGGTAGCCCCCAGTCCTTCGCGGACCGTACAGTGAGCTGTCTTAGGTATCTTCGTAAGAACGACTCTATTAGCAGAGTTTCGGTTTGTGCTAAAGCTCCAAACCGCATCCCTTTGTCGGGACTGTAATTTGTGTGAAGCACCACGGTTTAGGGAAACACAAGGTAAGACAGCAAAGCTCTATCATAGTTTCCAGGCAAATCCGTTCTCTGGCATTACCTCGACACTATTGACAAAGTTGGCCTGGCATTCGGGTGTACGGATACCTACATAACTAGACAAGCCATTCCCCATTTCCCCTGCACTGTGTATCTGCTTATAACGAGTGGGTTATAGCTGTTACAAGTTGGTGCTTAATCTCCAGATGTGTATTGCCTAACCGGATACTTGTATAGCGCCTTGGTGCCGTGTGCCATAACAGGTGGAGTTCGCGCAAGCAAAGATAGTTACATGCCTGGCAACCAACCTAGGAATGAATGCTCCTGTCCTCCCCAGCATATGCCCTAGGCGTTTGACTCGCATTTTGCAGGCAGGCCTGATTGCGTCTGTCTGTTAAGAAATAGTCGCATCTGTGTGTCTAAGTAGTGCTCCCCTCTGAGCGCTGTTCGATAAGCATAAGTAAGCCCTTTTCCGCTTACAATTCCCGGTCCTTTGCGGGCATCGCTATCTTTCAGCCTTGCATACATAAACCTAAACGCTTGCCATGGCTTGGCTTTCAACCAAACGCAAGTATGGCTCCAAATGACGGGCAAGTATATCGCCCACGTCTAGCTAAATTTCCCCTATCCATAACTACATAGAACGACATTTGTGGTCGTGCGCATTTTACTACCTCGTTCATGTCCACCTGCCCTAACGCGGGCCGCGCTGCAAAATGCCAGACATATTCAAGTCCAGGGTGGGTCCGTCGCCCCTGCTGCGTTGGCCCCGGGATTAGGGTCCTCCCTGCTAATTCGATGGAGGACTACTGTCCAAGCTTGCAAGTGCTCAGGACAGCTAAGTGCAGGAGGAGAACACATTGCCAGTCACGGCAATTCAGTACGGACTCCGTCTATCATAAATGGAACAGTTCTAAACGGCCCCAGCTGCACTGGCCCTTGCTGTTGTCGTCCCGTGTCGGGCACACCCACGCCTACTGCCAAAAGCTGCAAAAGAGATGCCAGAAAGCCTGGACGGTATGTGCACGTGTTGCGAGGCATGCCTACTGCCAACCATGTGTATGCGTTATTGGGCCCCTGCCCTAAACAGTTGGCGACAACTTGGCGACAAGCTCCCCAACACACTCCATGAAGCGCACCCATGAGCTAACAGTCCCCCAACTGTAAACTCAATGGGATGATAGGCCGCAAGAACAGCCCCAGCTACACACCTGACGACATGCAATCAAGCAGCAGCCACAGGAACAGCCCCAGCTGTCAGATCCTGCAGATGCCGTCGCAGCACGGGGACATCGTAGCCAAATGCCGGCAAAAGCGGTTCAAACGTCTGAGGGCGCCCGTCGACGGATAGTCGCGTCCAGGGAATTCGGCGAAGCCCCCATCACCCATCCCAACGCTGAGCCCAAGCCGCCATACTCGACGATATGTAGACGAGCCAGCAAATAAGGGAGGATTTTGCCCGTATCAGGGGCTGTCCAATGTTACAAGGGGCGGGTCAAAAGCACCCCCACGGGTGCGTGCCTCCGTCCGCCATGAAGGACGACGTGTTTCCCAAAGTGAAGTGCCATCTCTCCCTACTTCCAAACACTGCAGCAAGCAAGGCGCTGCACCCCTCCCGCAGCTAGCTCTGGCATACGCGCAGCCAGGCTCCCACCCCACCCCCATGCACCATGCATGGTCTTTGACCCCCATGCACCACCAACGCTTGCGTCACCTGGGTTCAAGTACCTTCTTACTTACTCTCCTGCACCTTCACCAGCGCAAGAAACGTTGCCATGCAATCCTCAACTACCCAACACCCTGCCCGAAGACCAGCTCAGCAGCCCCCAAAAGCTGCGGCCCCCCAACACAATACGACTATAGTGGTAATGCAAGCAGCAGCGGTCGATATGCAACGAGGTAAAGCGTGAAGGTAGGCGAGAAGCATGTCATTCCCAAACTCCCGGGACACAGGAACGTACATACACGCTTCAGCGCCGCAGCATCAGTGTGTGACAAAACAGCGGCGTCCGGTTGTAGACCTGTGACATGGATACCCGGTAAGTGCGGCGATGTACAGCCTCACGGTGCTGCAAATGTCGTACTATACGACCCGTACTTCACGGCAATCGGCATATCGTACAACATTTCGGATATGCGCAAAATACCTTAGATAGATACCTCGTAACCGTTATATATATGCACAGAGTTATTATAACACGTAAATGCTATCAGCACGGGGACCTTCCGTCGTACAGGATTCGATGCACGACCGTGAGACGTACGAAGAGCGTGAATCACGACACCAATTGCCGTACAATGCAAGTACGACACGCCAGGCAGTACGACAACAGGCCTTAACGTGCAGCCCATATACATCGGTACCGCGTGCAGCCTCTTCCGTACTTTCTTCCTGGCGCATGAAAGATTTGCGAGAGTGGTTCCGAACGCAGTGTTCGGTTGCCGGTACTAATGACAGCATCAACCTCCCAACAACGGGAGCAATAGTGGGAATGCAGCCTGAATAGCAAATCTATCCCTGGAACACCACATCAAGTCACGCCACAAACCAATCGAAAGGTATGCCCAACAATGTCGGCAGGCCTGACGGCCCTGGCGAAACGGAAAGTCCCAAGGGCATGGCAAGTAACAGTTTGTCTCCCATCTTTATCTCTGTAACAATCCACATCGAAAAAGAACAGGACCACGTAATACCATCGCTGCCGCCTCTCCTGCATTTGCTACTGTTACGAAATAATTATTCCCGGAGGTGCAGTTCCGGGGCATATGCACAAAATCCTACGAAGGACGGTACTTTCATGTGTCGTACGCACAGCCTGACAACTAAAACCACCAACTAGAACCGCCAACTGAAACCACGACAACTAACTGTCTGCCTCTGTCGTACTCCGCACATGTAAAGCCCAGCACACGCGCAACCCAACACAACACAAGGTGAGTAGCAGTACCCACTAAACCTGTACCTCAGGCCGCAGCGGCATGCCTGTAACGCAGGACATAGCGCCCGTGGTATCCGCCCAAGGCACCTACTTCCTGCCTTTGTCGTACTGACGCCTCTAGCAAAAGACGAAAGAGGCGCCCAGGCCGCAGGGGCCTGGCATTAAGTTCATACCATTAAGTTCGTCGCATGTGTTGCAATTCCTTATCGACGCCAGCGTGTGCTGCTCCTCGACGATTATTATACCGGTAAACCGGTGACACCGCTGCCAAGATCATAAAAAGCTCTATAGCGGCGACAACCGCCAATTTTGCAATCCTTGTCGTACCAAACAAATTCCATTAATTCGCACCTCCGCCTCCACCACAGTTGCCCTAAACCCTTCAAGCCAGCCCGCGCGCATAAAACTGCTGAGACGTATCCAACGGACGTGCAGGGATGGCGGCGGAGGTGGAGGCGGAGGCGGTCGTGATGGAGGCTAGGTTGTCGTACAACCTACTCGCCTGACGCAACCTGGATAAGGCCTCCGACTTGGAGCCGCCGCCACCGCCGCCGCCGCCAAGCCCATCCGTCGCGGCGTTGACGGGATCACCGCCGACGGCTCGCCGCGGAAAAAGCCGACTCCCTGCGGTGCCAGTGCTTCCGAACCGGGCCGGTGACGAAGCGCCTGAACCCGGGGTGCCCAGATCCTGATCCTCTCGGGTGTCCAGGAGGCTACCCGGCAGCGGCGGCGGCTGGGGAGATGCAGGGCTGTAGCAGTCCCAACCGCCGCTGCCGCCATTGCCGTACATGTCTGTGGTCTTGACGCGGCCACCGGCGGTGCTGCCGACGGCGGAGGTGAGGGAGGTGGGGTCGGCCATGTGTCGCAGGGAGCCGGGACCAGCAGCCAGAAGAGCTCTACTGGTGGTGCGGCGATGAACGGAGGATTCCGCTGGAGGGCAGGGAGTGGGTTGTGGAGGGCAAGGAGGTGTTGGCATGTGCTGCAATTGAAGGACAGCGCGGTGTAATGCAGCAAGGCAATAAACACGTGTGTATTGTCACTCTGGTACCGTAATCCGTACAGCACGTCCTCTTCTTTCATGCACGCCACTCACCCATCACGCCATGGACCGAGGCCTCAGACGACACACCCGGCATCCCACCGGCGGAGCCCTGAATGGCCGGGGCACCGGCGGCAGCGGGGGCCAGGGGCAGCAGCGGCGACCCACACACGGACGCTCCGACCCCGGTTGTTGTCTGGGTGGTGACTCCTGGCCCCGTGCCCGTGAAGAGCCTTGAGGGCCCCCTCATGGGCGGCGGGGCCTTTGAAAAGCCGCCGCCGCCGCCGCCGCTGCTGCCGGCTGGCGGTACGGCAAAGTCGCCGCCGCCGCTAGCGCCGTCATCGTCCCCTTCGTTGGTGCCCAGTATCTCTCTTAGCTTGTGCGCATACCACATGGGCGATTTGCCGGGCGGCAAGCTGCGCAGTATGTCCTCCCGCTTCGCAGCCGTCAGCTCATTCCGACGGGCGCGGCTGCCGGCGTTGCTGTTGGCGGAGGCGGAGACGGCGGAGGTGGGGCCTGCCGGCATGGGGGCGGACGGCGAGGGCTGCAAAGCAGGCGTCGCGGAAATGGTGGTGAAGGGGAAGTCCGGTGCCGCTTCGGGGGGTATTTTCGTACCGGCATCGCAGGAGGAGTACGCGACGGGAAGCAGCAGCGCCGCCGCCGCCATCGGCGGTGGCGGCCGGAGCTGGCGAGACGTCAACGACAGGTGCCGTGCGGCGACAACTGTTTCTGAGCCGCACTCCTCGTCAATACATGGAGCTAGGCGGGAACCAAACCTAGCGGAACGCGCGGCAAAGGCATCGCCGCCCGACGCCAGTACGGAAGCAGGATGACCGCCGCCATTGCCGTCGTCGTTGTAACCACCGCCCATGCCACTGCCGGCGGCCAGTCGCGACGTCGACGATGCCGCCGCCGCCGTAGGGCCGCCGGCACCTCCGCCGCCGCTGGCAGAACCACTCTTAAACCGCAACGCTGCACCGCTGCCGCCAGCCATGAACCGTACGGCATTGCTGACGCCGCTGCTACCTAGAGAGCAGCTCACCCCTCGCGTCAGCTGCTTGCTCGCTGCGTCTGAACCCCCGCCGGCCTCGCCGCCGTCACACGAGGGAGCTACGGCTGACGAGCCGCCAGGTGGGCCAACACCGGCACCGGCACCGACACCATCTGGGTCATTCACCCAGCCTCCCGCTGCGACGAGGCCGCCGCCACCCACGCTGCCGCCAGCCTCCAGCACCACCTGGCCCACACTGAGCGTTGAGGGCGTTAGGGAAAACGGCGGAGCGGTGGCGGCGGTGGCGGCGCCGCCGGCTCTGGTGCTGACGTCACGCATGCTGTTGTTGTTGATGTTGCTGCCGCTGCTAGGCACGATGGGTGCGAAGCCGGGCCGGGCAAAGGGCGACACCCCCGCCAGGGCGGATGCGATGCGCATGAGGGCCTCCTCGTCGCCGCCCGCTGCGGCGTCGAGCGCGGTGTTGGCCTTCTTGAGGATTCCCCTCTGCATTTGAGCGAGGAAGGGAAAATACGACGCGCTTAAGCGAACGGAAAGCGCTTCGGGGACGCGACGCGACCGCATCCTGCCCGTCACCCACCCACCCAGCACCCACCCAGGCCTCACACACGTACCTTGGGCTGCACTTTCTTCAAGTGCTCCCTTATTGCTGCTTGAGCCTGTCGCTTGCCCTCGTCATCAGTAGCCCCTCCGTCACCGTCACTCCCGCCCTCCTCGCCTTCCGACCCCGCGCCGTCGCCCTCCCCATCCTCCTCCTCCTCCCCACTATCGCCGCCTTCGCTGCTTCCTCCTGCCTTGCCGCGCAGCGGCTTCTTGGCCGTCTTCTGTGCAGCTGGTTTCTTCCAACTGCCGCCCAAGCCCAGTCCTGACAGACGGGATGTGAAGGAGTTTCCGGAAGCTGCCGCCGCCTTCGCGCCTATGAAGCTGCTACCGGCGCCGCCACCGGCGCCGCTGGACGCTCCTAGCTTTGAGGATTGGGAGGCTAGCGTGAACGCCGGGGTGGGTCCGGTGACGGAGGCCGAGAAGGAGGGCTTGGAGAACAGCCCGGAAAGCATGCTGCGGCTGGCCTGCGGTGGAGGGGGTGGTGGCGGCAGGATGCACACAGGGAGCAGCAAACGCACCCACCCAGGGGCACAGGGACAGAAGGGCACAGGTGAGGTGGTGTGGGGTGCAAGAGAAGTAGCGGGCGGTTGTTAACAACCGCCCGCAGACTGCAGACTGCCATGGTAAAAGTGTTACTCTCAAGCCCTTGAGTTTTGCCACCGTAGCCACCCAGTTCTGCCACCCTAGCCCCGCCATCCACCTCCCCAACAGGACCCCTATCTGCCCCCACCATGAGCTCCTCCAAGTCCGTGTCCTGGTAGCCGGCGGCATGGGCCGCAGCAGCGCCCTTCTTGCTGCTGCCGCCAGCATTGCTGGCAATGCGCTGTGGTGAGGGGAATGGGGCATACCGGCGTTAGTTGTCATTGATGGGCCAATGGGATGTTTGTTGAGAAGGGCGTTCAAGAAGCGCGGAGGGGAAGGGGCAGGGGTGTGTGAGCGCAGGGTCGATGGTTGAGTCGCGGGAGGTGGTGACAATGCTGGGTGGTTGGGAGCAGTACGGCAGTTGTGGATTATTGTGTTGCGGAGGACCTATTAGGTAGTTCGTTGTTCCATGCTGTTTATTTGGGTTTGTCAGCAGTGCCAAGTTCGCACGAGGGCGTTGTACAAACGGTGTAGGCCGACCAGTGTGGTTTGCATTGGGGTTGGGAAAGACGGTGGAGGTTGACTAAGGGTTGGTGACGACTAGGATAGGAGGGTCAAAGACCATACCAAACCATAGGAGACCACAAGTTAGGGCAAAACAATGGGGGTAGGAGTCGGCAGGGTGCCACAAGACAAAGAAAGGAGGGAGGGAGGGGACTGCGGGACGGACAGCTGTCAAGAGAGATTAAATGCTCGACGTGCTAAAAGGTGATAGGGGTTGCATGTGCAGGTTGGCATCCCCGAATCCCTGACATCCCAAATCCTAACGTTCCTAAGGCGGCCGAAATATGAATTAAATACTGCCAACAGGTGGCATCTTGCTGCCAAAACCTAGACCCACCTGGGAAGACGTCAGCAGTTGCCCACGCTTTGAGTCGCCTGCTGGTACATCAGCAGGCACAACCCTACTCCTGGCTTGGCTAGGTGGCGAGGCCGAAAGTGTAGTAAGAATGGTGTCCTCATGGTCTACCGGCGAGCAAAAGCAGCATAGAACCATTGGCTGCGCTTGCTTACTGTACGTGCGCAATTCGACAAGCTTGCGCACTAAGAATGGGCTGCTCTCATTTCTACACTTGTTCAAGGCCCAATAACCTCCCTATACTCTAGGCCATAGCTGGCTAATAGCTAGGACCCGTAGGTACTCAGCCGATGGTGGACATTCGCTGTGTACACAAGAAGGTATTGATATTGTATGGTTGTTTATTAAAGCGCATTTGAAGAATGGCGCCCATTGCATACACAGAAAGCTAGCCAGAAATGAGCTGGTTTCCGGTCAGAGTAACGGTTGTAAAGACTGCTTACACATAACAAAAATATATACGAGGCTAAGTGGCCTTGTGAAAAGAGGGACATGACCCAGATTCAAGGGACATTGTTGGACCCGCAGGGGGGTGTCATTGTACCGCAATTAAACTGGGAAACCAAACGCAATGCAGTGGGGGATCTAAACCCACCGCTCCAGGCAATGTTAAAAAGCTTTCATGTGCTGCCAGTTACGGTACTGCAACGCGGATGTGACAGGCCTCTTGCTTAGTAGGCAAAGTAGTACCGGTACTCCTTGCCTTCCCTCACCCCGGTGGTGACAATACCGTATGACAAACTATTAACGGATTCACTCTCTTAGTGTGGGCCCAAGCGCTGGTGGATTTATGCAAACCAACCGCTCCCACTTGATCATTGTCACTTCACCGGTTGTTCAAGGCAGAAACAAATCACGCCCAGTATAAAAAGATCAATGGCCGGCATCTACGCGGCCACTATATAAGCACGTGTGATCCCTGTCTAGCTAGCTAGGAGAACCACGCGCTGTTCGTCCAATTGTTAGGGCGATCTTGGAAAGTAGTATGCGATACCTCATGGGTACGATTTATATGAAACTGGTATCAAAAGGCAGCCAACACGCGCCACTTACGTAGTGCTATACCGGGCTTTTCTATGTCGCGCTGTCGTGCAACTGCTCAGCCTTTGCGTACCAACAACGAGCATCCTGGTTGCTTCGGTGCGTCCTGAGCCAGGTCTCATGTTACACAACTACAAGGATGTCGTCGGTGTTGCTTAGGTTGCTTAGGCTCCCTCCTGCCTACTTTCCATCGTGAGCTTCCAGTGTGCGGAACCTGGCAAATGCATACCGGTACCAGGTCTCACCATGGCTCATTAAATCGTTATACATGTTAAACTATGCCGTACATCTTCGTCTGCTGCCGTACATACGACCGACATGCACTCCCCGGCACTGCCTCCCTGCCCGTCCAAGCAGGGACCAGCACCCCAACCACACTAGCAGTTACCGTTAACGGTACAATCCGCCGCGGCAGGTTCTCCACTTTGTGACACAACTAAGGCAGCAACCCATCCCGTCAAGATTGCTGCTGCCTGCCGTTGCAGAAGAGAACCACCCTTCTGAATCGTTAACCACTACACGCCGCTGACATCGCCACTGCCCACCTATCTCTTCGGTCCTTGTGAACAGCAACGCCGCATTCTCACCGCATGCAGCCGCAGTCCTGCAGTCCTGCAGCCGCGGCCCTGCAGCGCACCGCATCATGCCGTACAGCAGCCCCACCGGGTCCCAAAAATCGCAACAAAGAGCCGGGCCCTAACAGCCAACACACCACCAGCTGCTGTCCCATCCTCTTCCTTGCCACCTCCGACCGTACGACACTCCATGCGTGCCGTACATGCCGTGCGTGCCGTACATGCTGACACGACAGTACGGCAGGCCTGCGAGCGGCAGCCGGCGCAAGGCAACTGCGAAGCCTCCCTCCGCGCGCGCCCTTAGTCCACATGTGCCCATGCGCCCATGCAGGCTGCGCCCCATCCCCAGGCCGCATGCGTGTGTTGCCTAGCTCGCTGGGCTGAGTGGCGCGGGTGCGGGTGCTGTGACGACCGCGGCATCACGCAACGCACATGTGACCTCACCACAACACACCGCCCCCCTCGCAGCTCCCTCGCGCCCACCACCACCCCCACCCCTAGAGCTCCAGGGCGGTGGTAAGATCACCCCCTCCGCTGCTGCCCCCACCCCGACCCCCACCTCGTATTCTTCTATTCCCCACCCCGGCCCCACCCCCCACCCCTCCCCTCCGCCCCTCAGAACACCACGGTGTCCAGCATGGTGCCCATGCACTGCGCGATGTTGGAGGCCATCAGGGAGCCAACCTGACAGGGGGGCGGGGTGGGGGTTAGGAGGTGGAAGAAAGGGGGGAGGGGAAGAATGAGACCAGGGCATAGATGGTGGCAACCACGCAACCCCCATGCTGTACCCCTTCCCACGGGCCCCGTGTTTCCAGCATAAGGCAGATGTCTTGTGTTACCTTCCTTGGCCCCCCTGGCTTGGCTGGACGAAGCCGCTGCCTCAAGGCAGACCCCAGCCCCTAGCACCCTGCTTACATTCCACCTACTCCAACCCCTTTTACTCCCTCCAACCCCCGCCTTCCCCCCTTCCTCCGCCCCCACCTGCGCCGCCAGATGCTTCTTGGCGTCCATCTTGCCCGCCCCCGCCACCACACGCGCCTCAGGGGACAGCTCCTGCTCCTCAACGACGGCCTTGTCGTACCTGCGGGGCGGGGAGGGGAGGGGAGGGGGGGCGTGTGTTTGTATTAAAACCGGGTGCGAAGTGGCGGAGTGGCCTCGTGCCAAGGTTTGGGGTTATTACAACAAGCCCGCTTGTTTGATTCCCCTCTCCCCGCGTGTGCATCCGCTTCCCCCCTGCGCATGAGTCGCGCCATGGACTTGGGGTTCCATTGCCTTACTTCTATGTTTATTACCCTCACCCACCCACCCACCCACGCACGTTGGATATACTTATTTCCAATCCCCCTCCCTCCCACCTGTCCGCCAGGCCCTTGAGCTCCTTGACCACCTTGTCGTTGCCCTCCGCGTGCGCCGCGAAGTCTCCCAGCTGCAGCCCCGCGGTCCAGCCGCGCTTGGACAGGTTAAGCAGCATGCGCTCCTCCAGCTGGTTCTTGCTGCGGGGGGGGGGAGGGGGGGAGAGAGGGGAAAAGTAAATGAGAAGTGAAGCAACGGAGGGGGGGAGGAGGGCGCATGCTGCATGCGGGGCTCTGCCAGTGTGCCGGAGTGAATGAATGAATGAGTGAAGTGCGTGTCTGTCCGGCGCCACAATAGCTGCAAGCAGCCTCACACCGCCCCATGCTGCCACCGTCCCTTCCCTCGTCCCCCTTCCGCTCCTCCCTCCCTGCCTCCCTCACCGGTAGTTGATAGCGATGGAGTAGTAGTGGCGGTTGAGACCGTGGATGAGCGCCTGAGGGGGGGAGAGGGCAATGTTAATCAACTGACGAGGCAACTGACGAGGCAACTAACGAGCTGGGGAGAGAAGCGAGGCACGGGGAAAGTTGAGGTGCGCAGCGTGCAGGTAGGCGGGGTGTGCCCATGCGGAGGCGGCGATAGCCGGTGCAGACCGCCGCCCTGCTTGCTTCCCTTCACCACTCCTTCCCTGCTCCCTCCACCAGTGGTGAAGCCTCGTCATACAGCTCATCCGTTTCCTCACCGATCACCCAATCTTTTCTTTTCACCCAATCTTTCCTCATTATATATCCCCCCCCCCGCCCACACACACACCTGTATGGAGGGCTTGTTCAGGTGCCCAATGTTGCTGGTGGTCTGCCGCGGCTCCTGACCCAGCATCATGGTCTGCGGGCTGATGAGCCGGAATGCGTCGATCACCACCTTGCCCTTCACGCTCTGCACAGGGTCCACCACCACCGCCACGGCGCGGTTGTTGAGCGCCTCGAAGGACTGGGGGGGGGGGGGGCGGGGAGGGGAAGAGAGGGGAGGGGTAACAATTAGTAGGCAGAGGGAAGAAGGGCAACACAGAGTTGGCAGGAAGGTGCTGGCATGTGGCTGGTGGGAGGTACGGGAAGCGGGAGGCAGGGAGGGGCAACAGGGTCGAGGGAAGGGCAGGCAGGCGGGCAGCCCCCATCAAGCAATGCCAGCCTGGACTGCCGCCCTGCGCAGGAGCTCCCAGCCAAGCAGCCCTCTCCCCGCCTCAGTCTCCCCTCGTCAGTCTCCTATCCCCTTTGACTTCCTCTCTGTATCTTGTGGCTTGGTGTTTCCCTGACCCCCGCCCCCCGCACCTGCTGCGTGTTGATGTCCACTCCCGACAGCCAGCAGCCGAAGCCGGGGTGGCTGTGGTACCAGCCCACAACCATCTCCGGACTGGCGGGCAGGAGGGGGGGGGGAATAAACAAGAAGGGAGGGGGAGGGGAGGTAAGAGAGGCAGCGAGCAGGCGGATGGCGAGAGGTTGGGAACCCACGTCCATGTGGAGGGGACATGCGGAGCATCGCAGAACACGTTGCAAGTGCAAGGTATCCGGCACAATGTGGATCGTCCACCTGGAAGTGTCTGGGTAGAGCAAGTGCTGGGGTGATGCCAGCGCGCCTGTGATGTGGCGTGTGTGTGACGGGAAGGATGTTTTTTTTTGTCGTACAACTTACCGGCCCACTTGCTTCAGCATGTCAAGCATCTTTGTCTGGAAGACCGGGTCAACGGCCTCCACGCTGACCCCCGTGCCAGACTGTGGCATGGCGAAGACGTCCACCACACGTACTGTGTAGTCATCGACAAACTCTCCCAGCATGAGGCCCATGACTTCCATGGGCACACCGGCACGACCTGCAAGCAAAGCCAGGGAGAATATTAATATCTAGTAGATGTTTGTTTTCGTGCAAGCGGCGGTGCATTCAACACGTTTAGGCTGAGATGACCATGTCGCATGACAGGATACCCAGCGGTCTCGCTTAGCACCGACCATGTTATTGTGGTAAGTCAATGCATATATTGGTTGGAGCCATTCCAGTTGCATCGTACCGTGCTTGAGCATTTTGAGCAGCGCGAGAGACGAAATGTAGATCTGCTCAGCGGTGTCCACCTGAGGCGTGTCCGTTGGAGGCCCAGCAGCAGCTGCACCTCGCATTCCAGCAATCATGCGCTGGATGCCGTCCATTTTCCCTAAAGCTGCTCCAAGCGGGCAAGTCCTGTTAAGGGTCGGACTTCACCAATGCACCTGATCAGAGTTAAGCACTTGTGCTCTTTCAAGTTCGTTTAAACAGTTCTTATACGGTAGGCAGCTTTCAAAATGGCAGTCGAGAATGTGAGAACGGTGTATCAACAGTTGGCGCTTGCTGCATGTAGCACGTTAGAACAATTATGGTATACAATACTTGGTGTTGTATAGAATAGAATAGTCAGCAAACAACAGAAAAGGCCGCGCTCGCTCCTGTAATGCGATTGGCTTCACGTAAGCGCGAACCGCAGGCATTCACCCAGCGGGCGTAAGCTATTGGGATATAGACGCATGTTAATTTATTACATAGCAACAGTATCTCCCAAGTGGAATTCACATTCAGTGCATTCTTCGTTAACCAACGGCCCACGGGACGCATTTTCTCGGCTGCATGGTCCAAAGCCGCACTGCCTTCTTAGCAGGTGTCACAGCCCCGCATGTTGTTCATTCGCGAGCCGTCGAACCGGCGTGAGGTGAGGAACGGCTCTGCCACCGTATCTTCCCTTGCGGTTTCGGACCAGGGGACTCATGCCATGACAACTCCGCTTCTTTGCTCCGCTCCACTTTTTTGATTACCCCTGCTGACGTCTGCCCCATGCCGTGTTCCAATCGCCCTTGTGCGACAAAGGCAGCCCTCCAAATGGGTCCGGGGCTTAGGCTTATACAACTTAATCCCCAACCATGCCCTTAAGGAGGTAAGGACAGAGATCAGTACTCTTTTTGCAAATGCAAAACGCACTCCCTTCCAGTACTTGTGTCCTATCCACAGTGCACCTTTCGTTCTTAGGCCTCAAGTACGGTCAAGCGGTTTCCACATGCATGCACTTGCATCACGTCTAACGTAAGATCTTATAAGGAGGGCCGCTCACACCGCAATGCATCCCACATGTTGCAAGCAGCCAAGCACCTCCTCCGGCTCATCTATCCTCCGGCCCACAAGGCGACTGGCCTGATGTCCCAGCACACTGCCCAGTAGGCTGCAGGGAGCACACCCGCACACCGTGAACCCCCTCCCTAGGGAGCGCAGTTGTCGCGTGCTGCATGCGGCATGCCACGCCAATACTACGGTACGGTACCCATACCCTCAGGTGACGCACGCTTACTGGTAAGTATAAAACGGACGCAACCGCCGCCGCTTATTAGCTATAGCCCATCCCATGCTGTCCTCCTCACCCCAAGCACGCTGCAATCTCGCGCCTACCCAGTCCCCCGGGACTACTTACGCGCGCACTCCCACCCAAGCACCTGGCCAGTACCTTCAGCACCCAGAGCCAACAGCCCACCAGATACTGCACCGTGTCATCTGCCACAGCCCCCTGCAAACCCCACAAACCCGCCCCCCCCCCACTATCATGCAGCCGCCAGCCGTGTCTCCTCACTACTGCACCAGCGCCACGCCCCCCGCACCAAACGCCCCTTCAAACAGCGCCGTGACCTGCAGCTCCGCCGCAGCAGGGCTGTGCGACACGCTCACGCAGGGGCCCACCGCCGCCAGCGCAGCAACAGCCGCACGCTGCCCCGGCGGCCCCCGCGACGCCGCAACCAAGGAGGCTCCTCCGCCAGCAACTGCAGCCCCGGCAGCAGCCCCCACACCGGCAGCAGCCCCCACACCGCGGCCCTGCAACCCGCTCACCCCCGCCGCCCTGCTTGCCTCATCCAGCAAGATCTGCAGTGACGTCACCGCGTTGTCACGCGCCAGGGCCAGCATGACGAGGTTGCTCGGCGGCGGCAGCGTCGCGGCGGCGGATGTCGTACAGCCCTTGGCGTCGCCAGCAGCCACAGTGCTGGCAGCAGCAGCAGCAGTAGCCGCGGCCGCCGCAGCAGCCGATGCAGATGCATGCAGCGCTTGTTGCTGTGGCTGGGAGATGCGGCAGGAGGCTCGGCCCAGGTCCGCCACGTCGCGGGGGTGTGCTGCAACGGCTCGTACGGCTGCCAATCGGAAGCCCTCCGCGTGAAGGCCCTCCAGCATGTCCGCGAGGCGGGGCCAGTCCAGGGAGGGGGCGGGGCCCAGGGGCGGGAGGAGCAGGGGAGCAGCAGGGGAACTGCCACTACTGCCACCTGCATGACAAGGGAGTGAATGAAGGGCAAAGGTTAAGGGTCAGAGGGACGGTCGACATCTACGCATAGCAAACCTTTCTTTAGGCCTTCCAACGACTTCCGGCGGTTCTCTGTGAACGAGCCAACCCTGTAAAGCCCCTTAAAAGACATGAACTCCAACCAATGGAAAGCTCTCTCAAGGGCCCATGCTCCAAATCTCCAATCATCACTTCTTCCGCCCACTCACCCCATCCCAGTCCTCCCAACCCACCTTGCGCCGCTGCTGCACTCGGCGTCACCACCATCGCAGTCAGCTGCAGCAACCGGGAGCCATCCGGCCGCACAAACCGCCGCTGCGGCGCCCCGGGGGCGGCCCCAGGCTGCAGCAAGCCGCCAGCCGACGAAGAAGCAGCTCCTGCCGACCCTGCGGGTACCGGTAGAGCCGCACACGCCGCTGCCGACGACGACGCCGGCCATGTCTCCGATACGACCGCCGCCGCCTCATGCCATGTCGTACAAGTGTAAAGGCCTCCGCCGTTGCTGACAGAGGCGGCAGCAGCGGTGCTGCCCACCAGGCTCCCAAGGCTGCTGACGACGCCAGCAGGCCCCGCCGCAGCCGCCGTAAGAGCCGCCGCCAAGGCACGCACGTGCAGTACGGCGTTGCTGCGACTGACGTACAGCAACACCGCTGGCTTGCCGGCAAGCTCGGGCATGGCGGCGGCGGCGGCGCCACCGGGTTGTACAACACAGGTGGCGGCGGCGTGGAGGCAGTAGCCCTCCCGCCAGAGCTGCTTCAGCAACCGCGGCAGCAGGTTGCGGTGAAGCGCGGGCAGGTCCAGTGCGACCACCGCCGGCAAGCTCTCCGGACCGGACAGCAGCCGCTGCAGAGGCGATAAGTCGGCGGCAGCGGCTGCAGAGGCGGCTGCAGAGGTATTGCACGACGACGACAACGGCAACGGCGGGCGGTGCACTCCGTCATGAAAGGCTGCGTCTAGAAACACGTGGCCCGCGCCAAACGCATGCGCTAGAGCCCGCTTGGCAGACTCCTGAGAGCCGCTCACGGCGGCTAGCAGGAGCGGCGGCGGCGCCGTCGTCGCCGCCGCTGTCGTGGGATAGTATTGCCGCAGCATCTTGTCCAGTACGGCAAGCCATGTGACGCCATCAGGATCGTCACTGTTACTGCCGCCGCCGCCGCCACTGGCGGCGGCCGGTGCTGCTACGGCGGCCGCCAAGCCAGAGGACTGCAACCGCTGCGTGGCCGCCTGCAGCAGCCGCACCACACGCTCTTGCGCTGAGGGGCCATGGAACACGGCCAGCAGCGCAGGCTGGCTGATCACCAGACGCTGAGCCGGGCGGCCTCCTTGACCCATGGGTCCGTTGCTGCTGCTGGCGCTTGTTGCTGATGAGGCGCCGCCGCTGCCTGCGGCGGACGCGGGTACCGTCGCCTGAGACGGTAGCACTGCTAGGCAGCCTGCCACGTCCGAAGGCACCTGTCGGAGCAGTCGGCATGCCACCAGCTCCAGTCTAGCAGGCGGCGGGGTCTGCTGCTGCTGTACGGCACATGCGCCTACGCCGCCGCTGACGTTGGCGTTGGCGTTAGCGCATGTGGTGACGTGTGCGGCCAGGGCCGCTAGCACCAGCGCAGCCGCATGGAGCTGCCGCGCTTGCAGCGCCACCACCGCAATGCCGTCCTCCTCGTGGTGTTGCTGCGGTGCCGCCTGCTGTGACGCCGCCATTGATGAGGACGACGAGGGGTGGAGGGAGCTCCAAACAGTGCTGGCAGCGGTTCCGCAGCTCCGGTCTAGCAGCTCTGAAGCGACGTGCGGTTGCGGCAGACTGTGGAAGTCGGAGGGAAGCAGGCGGACGTCCGGGGCTAGCAGCGATATCGTGGCAGGAGGTGGTGACAACGCCGCCGCCGATGCGGGTGCAGATGTGGGAGGCGGCGGCAGGCTTGAAAGCAGCACTGGCAGCTGCTCTACTGCCTCCTCCTTGCGAAGCTCTAGCAGCAGCGCCGGCCGGGACTGCTGGGGCTGCGAGGCGGTTGGAGAGGCCCCTGGGGGCAGCTGCGACAGCAGCAGCCCGCGGACGCCGAAGCCGCACCACAACAGGTGTTGCGCGCACCAGAGTGCCTGCGCCTGCTGCGCAGCGCCGCAGGAGGGCAGCGCCAGCCACTGCGTCTGCGCAGGGCCGCCGCTGACGAGACCGCAACCAGCTACAGCCGCTGCTGCTGTTGCAGCTCCGGAGCTATGCGACTGCGGTGAAGCCGGCGGCGTCCCCGTCGGCTCTCCATCGCCGCCACCGGCACTGCTCCCGTAAAACAGCGCGGAGACCTCCCGCACGGCAGCAGCGCTGTCGTACGAGCATGTAATCTGCCGTGCAACATCGCCGTACAGCGCATGCAGGGAGGTGGGATCGGTACGGGCCGCCAGACGTGCTTCCGGGGGCCCCAGCTGCGCCTGCCACCGTCGCAACGGCTCGTTGCCGCCGTACAGCGAGAGTACGGCGGCACCGGTGTACGGCAGAGGCCGATGCGGTGTGGACGAAACAATCGCTGCGGTTCCCTCCTCTGACGCGTACAGCACCTGCAGCCCAGTCAGGGTAAGACCCAGACATGCGGCTCTGCCCAGAAGCCCCGATAGGAGGTGGGCGTGCTGCAGCACCCCGCTGGTGACCATGCACAGGAACGTTCCAGCCGGAGCTGCACCCGCAGCGGCAGCAGCGTGAGAGCCAGGCGAAGGGGCACCGCCAGACGCGCTCGTGCGTGGATGCTGACTCAGATGCTGACTCAGCGCATGCGGTCCCAGACGCAACGGACCGAACAGCTGCTGTGAGCCTGGCAGCACCCGCACCCATGCAGCCAGCTGCTGCTTGGATGCGGCCGCCGCTGCTGGCGTCACGGCGCCACCCTCACGGCCCACGGCGGAGGGCGACGAGGCGCTTCTGAGGACCTCACTCAGCGGCACGGCAGCAAGCGCGGAGGCCAGCTCGCGAGCAGCGCTGGCAGCCTCTGCAGCCGCAGGCGGCTCATGGTTATACAAGTCCGCGTCCAAGCCCGCACGAGGCACGCATGCGACAGCCAGCACGCGGACTTCACCGCTGGTAGCAGCTGCGGCGCTGCTGCTGCTAACACTGACCGGCTTTGCCGTAGCCGATGGTGATGCCGCCGGGGAGGATGCTGCGGCTGCGGGCGGTAGCAGCGGCCAGCTGGGTGGCACCCCCAGCAGCCGAACACCTACAAGCGAGAAGGCTGGCAGGCTGCAAGATGCGGATGCGGATGATGGTGACGAGCGCTGCGACGGCGAGGAGGCCCGCAGTAGCCACTCCAGCACCGCTCCCACTTCCAGACTAGGAAGATTGGATGGGGAGGTGATCAGCAGCGTGAAGCAGCTGTCGGGTGGAAGCCATGCGGGCAGCCGGCCCAGGTCAGTGGGTAGCGACGCAGCGGCAGCGCCGCGCGGAGCACTGCCGGCAGGGGAACCGCCCGCTGGGGATTTTGGAGCAGGTCGTGTGGGCGCGGATGGGTGACGGGGGCTGGGCTGGTCGGTTGGCGAGGGCAGCTGCAGCGCGGATGGCCGGGAGGGGCCGTCGCTCAGCTCAGCAGTTGCTGAGATGGGCGCAGTAGCTGTAGCCGTAGCAGCCGGAGCGGCTGCTTGGGTCTTCGCCTGCGCAGTAGCAGGACCAGCAGCGCTTGTTGAACCGGCAAGTCCGTCCTCAAGCTTGCTAGCAGCAGCGTTGCTGTTGCTGAACGCTGCGGGGGGCTGGTTTCGGGACTGGTTCCGGAGTGGAATAACGGTGCCCGCCGCAGCCATCCGCGAACCGCGCTCCAGCTTCGCGTCCACGACGGATGCCGCTGCGGGCTCCGCAAGCCAGGCCTCGTCGCCCTCCGTGCTGCAGCCCGCAAACGCTCGCGATACCGCAGCGTCCGTAGAGGGCGAGGAGGAGGAGGAGCCATCCGCACTGCCGCTGCCGGTGTTGGCTGCAGCTGCAAGAGGCTGATGCCCCTTCTGCGCCGTGCCCGCGCACGAGCTGGCATTGTTGCTGACGTTGCTGGTGGTAGACGGCAGAATGGACGCGGATGTCACGGAGCTATCGGACAGGGCACCACCGTGGCCGCCTGCAAACGTTACAACGCGTCGGGACTTGGGCTGTGACCCGTTGGACGCCGCTGCTGCAGCAGCAGCAACGGTAGCGGCAACGACTGATGTGGTCTCGGCGGCCATCCGCTGCTGCTGTGTTGCAAGCGTAGATACGCGCTGCGCTACTTCCAGCGGCGGCTCCGGCCAACGTCGTTCCGCAGCGGAGGCAGCCGCCGCCGCTGCGGCGTCCCTCTGGCGCTGCTGCTCCGCCGCCGCTGCTGCAGCTGCCGCTGCGCTGCGCGCTCGGAGGTACTCCCGAATGTCCCGCGCCCGCTCCTCCTCCTCTGCGGCCCGATCCGCTGTGCACACGAACACGGAACGTGAGGTGGGGCGCAGGTCGGCGCAGTCCGTGCCGACACTGCTGGACGGCTTGGCGGCGACAGCTGTGGCGCCGCCGCCGTCGCTGCCGACAGCCGCTGAAGCCGCTGAAGAAGGAAGGGAATTGCCGGTAGCTGCAGCTGCAGCAGGGACCGTGGCGACGGGGGGCCTAGCGGTCCGCGGCTGAACAGCGGACGCGGCGCCTTGCTGCCTCGCGGAGCCAATGCTAATCACAGCATCAGCATCAGTGCCGACAGCAGCATGGTTAACAGGCGGCCTAGCCTCCGGCGCCGGCGGCGGCGGCACTGGACGCGCCTTGCCACCGCCACCACCGCCGCCATCGTCACCGCTAACATCATCATCGTCATCGCTACTGTCCACCAAGCGCCGCCGGGCAGCCGCGGCCTTGGCCTCCGACTCACGCTGCGCTGCAGCGGAGGCGACCTCCCGAGAGCTCCGCTGCACCACCTCGGCTATGGACTGACGGAGGTCGAGTACGACAGGGCCAGCGCCGCCGCCGCTGGGGTTGACGGAGGCGGACCCGGTTGGGAGCATGGGCGGTGCCGGCGGCAACGGTGGCATGGCGCCTGGCTGGCTGCCCTGCGGCGGCGGTGCCGCGAAGAACTTGAACTTGGCCGGGAGGGGTGCGGGCAGGGACGATGAGGGGGATGGGGACGGCATCGGCGCCGGACCTGAGGAGCGTGGAGGGTGGACGCATGGGGCAGACAGCCCGGGGAACGTGGGGTTTGTTAGGAGAGTTTCGCAGGTTCAGACCAGCCGACCCAGCCGCATACCATGATTACCCTCACGACGATCAAGGTAGGCCACACCCCTCCATGGCTAGGTAAAGCTAGTGGTCCTGCAGGTTCTCGGGCGGCAGGGCATCCGAGGCATTCGTGTGCCGCAACCATTTCAATAATGCCCCCCTGCAGCAGCAGCACGTACCTGTACTTGCCACAAGCATTGGAGCTGGCGCCGCTGAAACCACTGGCGCCGCCATCCCTGCTGCTCCCGTCACCGGGCTCCTCCCCGGGGCCACCGTTGCCGCTGCTGTTGCTGCCCCTGCTTCGCCAACAGCAACAGCAGCAGCAGTAGCAGCAGCACTAGTAGCGGGCTGCACAGGTTGCCGTGCAAAAGGCTCGGCCCTTCCCGCATCCTCCCCCTCCTCATCGCTCCAGAGACTATCCGCGGCCGGCAACTCCAGCGCCCACAAACCGCCGCTAGCCCCATCGCTGCCGGCAGCTCCTGCTCCTGCTGCGGCCGCAGGTGGCGCCGCCGGCCCTGGCGCGGCAAGGTCTGCTGCTCCCGCAGCAAGCCGGGCGATGAGCGCGTCCAAATCATCCAGGCCCAGCCCAGCCACCGGGGCGTCTAGGTGGAGGCTGAGGTCGCTGGGGGCCACCAGAGGGGGCTCAGCCTCAGCAGCCTGGGAGGCGTCGGGAGGGAGGAGCAGGGGCGAAGGAAAAGGGCGGGTATCGGTACTAAGGGAAGGAGGAAGATGTAGGCACGATGTTTGCATGGTGGAGGGCAGACGGGACTGTATGAACTGGGGTGGGCGGAAATCGCAGGAGCCCCACAGCTGCAAATCGTGAGCTGCGGCGGACCGCGGGCCACACAAGAAGTAGGCACCTATGGTGAGACTCACCAGGATGGCTTCATGGAAGTCCCTCGCGATCCGCTGCTCCTCCTCCACCACCTGATCCCGCTGCTTCTCAACAGCCACACCATTAGCAGCAGCAGCAGCACCCACTGCTATTGCTGCCTGATCCGTAACGCCTGCTGCGTTGCCTTCGGTGCCCTCCACCATGGACCCCGCGGCCGCCGCGCCAGCAGCCCTAGCGCCCTGCGGCTCCTCCTGCAGCTGCTGCTGTCCTTCTCCTCCTTCTTGTCGCCCTTGTTGCTGCTGCTGCATCCTTTGCTGTTGCAGGTGCAGTCGCAGCGCTGCGGCATCCCGAGCGGCTGCAGCCACCTGCTCCGCATCGGTGGCTGCGGCGGCGGCCTGCATGGGTTGCATTTACAGGTCTAGAGTAGACAACGGATATGCGTTCGGAAGGTGTGAGTGATACACATACACCCCGACATCGCTGCGACGCCCGCTCTTCCCAACGGCTGTCCTTCTCCCTACTTCATGCGTTTGGTACCCCTCATATGTATGGGAATGTACCCTTTAGGCCCGATGTGCCACGCACCCTCTTCCGCTCCGTCACGTTTGCAAGACGACCCGCCGCGCCTGATAACCAGCCGCGCCCCTCATAAAGCTGCAAGCTGCCAGCGTCGTGCTCCTCCTCCTCTTCGTCGTCGTCCTCATCTTCGTCATCGGCGTCTGGCAGCTCTGCCGCCTTTGTCCGGTCGGTAGCATAGGCCCCGCCGCCTGTTTACGGGTGACGTTTGGGGGTGCGTGTGCTTTGATGGTTGACCGGCAGGGCATGCAGCATTCTGTACGGCGATGCATGGGAGGACGCGTTTGGGCTGCCGGCTATGCAACGTAGGGCATTGAGGCCCCGCACCGTTTACGGGTGTAAGATAAGGCCACAGTGTTGCGATCCTCGCCAACAGGCCTAGGTACAAAGCCACGCACCGTTCGCAGCGGGCTGCGGAGGAGTCGAGGCCGTGGGTTGGCCTGAAGGGCCCCCTGTGTTCCTTGTTTGGGCGGGGCTCCTTGCCGAATCATACTCTTTCGGCTCTCCTGCCGCGATCCCGCTGCTGCCGGACGCATCCGCAGCTGCTGTGACAGGGCGCGTAGGGACAACATTACCTCCGGCAGGGCGGGGAACACCCGACGCAGGTGGAGCAGGCCAAGTCCGCAGCCCTCCAGGACTGATCGCCTCCTGCAATTCGAGAAAGCCGCGCCCTTGGTGGGTATGTATCGGCCCGGCAAGGCGACAGCTTACGGGATCAGTCACCTCAAGCCCCGTTGACTCTTGCGCGCTCCAGTTTATGCTGCTAAAAACCACCTCCGTATCGCTTGAGGAGCTATCATCCTCCGTGTCGTGATCAACAATAATTGAAGGCAGGCTCTGTATTTGTGCGTATTCGAAAGGAGACGAAACGTTGGTTTGCGATGTCGCATATGCATTTTCTGTAAACAATACTAAAGTTACGTACAGTTATCGCTGGGCGCAGCACAAAAGTCCCCCGCGGACGGTCAGCATCTTCACGGGAGTCATCCTCCGAGTCCGTATCTGAGAGCCGGTTCATATCGAATCAATGCAATTTAATCACTCCTCAGTACGATCTTTGTCTTCAACGCATCGGCACTGTCGTTTGACGCTAAACATTTAGTAGAAGCGGTTTGAAATCCTGCGGACGGGGCACCAAATGTTATGACGTGCGTGGTCCCGAACTTCTAGGAACTCATATGCACTTTTAGTAAGTGGGCATCGCCGCAGTTGTGACAGGCACGGTCCATGGCGCCGTGTCGTACAATGCCCTACCACAGATGCTCAGATCAGCCATTTTTCACGGCAGCTGAGCACGTCCCTACCTTCCGGCGCCAAGGCTACAGCTTCGGCACTTAAGGGGTCCCTATAATGGGGCAGTGCGGTGGGCTCTTGGAAGAAGGTAACTATCATTTACCCTAGACTGTTACAAAAGGAGTGGGGTTGCCGGATACTCTAGCTAACAGCCGAACACATCCCGCGTTCCCGTCACATCCCCGTGTTACACCAACAGCTAACAACCACAGCTGCGCCACAGCGCCACAAAACGTAGTATACTCGCAGCACTCATACAAGCGCAGTAAGGGAGCGGCATCCGCCTACACGGCTCCCTTCCGGCCCACATCGTAGCCACAGCGTGTGGCTTGCACAGCTGGTGAACGAGGAAAAACTTAGCCCTAGAAAGACAACACTAGGTACCCGTTGCGCGGGTGGAGGAGGTCCACAAACGCACCAAACACCCCGACATGCACCCCTGCAGTCTTCGGTACGTGGATACCACACTACGGTGGTGTACTTGGGTGCACTGGGGTCGCCCAGGTTATCAAACTCCCTGCTCCTAGCAAGCCTACGCTATCCAGCCGCCCGCCCGTACTTAACCATACGGGTAATCACCGTTCAGCTTCCCAGCCCAACCTGGGCTCTCGCCACGTCGCCAGGCTCCAGAGGACAACCCTTTAGGAATGCTTCACCAGCGTTACAACGGCGGCAAGAAAAGGCAACCGCCGATACCAGCTGTGCCCATCGATTCCACGTCATTTGCATAAAAGTCGCATACATATATAACCTCTTCCAACGCGTAACAGAACCCCCTCCACACTACCAGTAGTATTAAACTCAGCCCTAATTCCGGCCGCCGCATCGCCCTAGCAGTGCACGACGTGCCAAAGCCGTGGGATTCCTTCCAGTCCAGTGCAGGCACCCCGGCATATGTACGCGGCAGCGCTACAGGCATGCACGCACCGCCTGCAGACCCCCAGACCACAACCTCCCTGACCCTGACAACTAGAACATTACTCCTGCGCTTAAACCGCTACTGCTGCCAAGCGCCCAACACACTTCCCTTGCACCTTGCGTAGCTCGGCCACCGGCAAACGAAACATGGTGGAGGCCTTCTTTCTTCACGTTTCATTTCATGTTTCATTAATCTTACCAAGCCGGACGTCGCCAGCAGTAACGCAACAAGCAGGCCGCATGTGGAAAGAGGGGAAGCACGCACAGCCTCGGCGTCAGGGGCGGAGGGCCCTGGACCTGGCCACCAACTGATGAGTTTTAACCGTTTGGGCACATCAGCCCCTCCTCACAATAAACACACACCATACACACGCCCGCTTACAGTGGCCGCATGCCGCCAGTGTCTTAGCACAACGCGGCAAGTCCGGAAAACGGCGCCTCTTCCACCAATTTGCCTACAAACCCCACGTGAAGCTAGGAAAAAAATAATTTCGCACACCATTTTAAAGCCTCCTTAATTCCATTTACGGCATACACTGCTTGACTGTGGCTTCAAACCATCCTAAGACACGCGCACTGCGCGTCTGCGCGCACATCGCAATACACACCAAAACACGCGCCATGGCACACACCCCGCCGAAACACATGTGAGGCCCCACGCGAACGGCTCCATTGCTTTAACATACCTCGCTCTTACACACACATAACGCTCAAACAGACATAAGAAGACAAGCTAACCATGGCCCTCGAAAAAAGCAACCGTCAACAAAACAGCGACAGCGTCCCTTGCATCTCTCACATAGCCTAGCCCTCCGACCATTCCAAAGTGGCTCCTGCATACATGGCTATCCCTTTTCCTCATATATGCCCAGGCATTGCTTAAATTGCATTGCTTAGTCCAATGCGGAAACAGCCGCGTGGTAACACGGTTGTATGAAGTCATGACATGTGAAAGCCTTGACACGCATGGTAATCATAGGTAGCGCAGGGTTGAGGAGCAGCCGTACGTTCCAGCCATAACATTCAGAAACTTGCCTCGTGGGGTCGCCATAATACCTTATACGTTGTGGCGTGTCGTACCATGTGCTGCAACCGTTTTTCGCTGCAACTCATTCGGATAAACTTGCTGCCGGTAGACCGGACAGCCCTAAGCTTTCCAACCACACCTAATTAACCTCCGTTATTCACTTCATGCTACTATTGTATACTCCTTGCGTCATTTCCTCCACCACCTTTCCTTCTATGCTCTCGTCGCCCGCCCGTTGCCTCCTCATCCCTCTTCTGCCCATCCATCCATCCCATGCCCTCCAGACCCACGCCCAAATCCCTCGTCCCCCTCGCCATCTCCTAGCAGCCCCCTCTCCGTAACCCTGCCGCCGTGAGCTCGTGACCATACCTGCCTCTGCCTCGAACCGCCACCACACAGCCCCCCTCACTCGCACTTGTGCTTCCCCAACAAGCACCCGTCCGCGCCGCTGGACACCCCACCGGCCACCATCACCGCTCTGCCCCCGCCAGCAGCACCCGCACCCCCACCACCAGCAGCAGCAGCACGGCGACGCTGGCGAATGTACGCGGCCCGCAGGCTGAGGTCCATGAACACCGACATGACGAGTCCGGTGCCGCTCACTGCGGCGCTGCGCAGCAGCGCTTCGCCGTACGACTGCCGTACCCCGTGCACCAGCATGAAGGCGGCGGTGATGGGCCACTCCACCAGCCGGGCGACTGAGATGAACTTGAAGCGAGCCTGGGGGGGATAAGAGCAGGACTCAGTGCGCATGAAATGGGGAGGGTGTGGGCGCGGGTTGTGTGTGTAGAGGAAGTGAGCGAGAGGGAGGATGGGTGTGGAGAGAGGTACGGGGCTGGAGCGTGTTTGGGTGATGGAGGCAGGATTGTCGGGAGCGCAACTGGAAGCGTAAACACTGACTTCTACGCGCTCTACACTGACCGTCAATTCCTCCTAAATCCCGCATTGAGGCCGTGCGTAGGGCCCCACCTGCTCACCCCATGCGACCCATGGCGGAGCCTGCATGACGTCACAGGTGTAGCACCGCACTCCTACCTTTTCCTTCAGCCCCTCTCTACCCACCTTCCCTGTGCTCAAACCCTCCCTCCAGGCCCCCACCAACCCCCACCCGCCCCATGCCCCCTGCTACACCCCGCCCCCCGCCACACACCTGCTCAAACGCCCCCTCCATGAAGCCGTCCAGCAGCAGGTCCAGCCCCGTGAGCACGTACTTCACCACCGCATCCGACATGCGGAAGGCCCCGGGCGCCACCACCATCAGCAGCCGGCAGCCGGTGCGACCCAGCAGGCAGCCCAGCATCAGCGGCTCGCGCCAGACCGCGTAGCGGCGCGGGCGCAGCAGCATGAGCAGCAGGGAGAGGAAGTAGGCTGCGCCGCCGATGGCAGCCTGAATGGGAGTAAAAGGAAAACCAAACCACAAGTGTGGGCAAGACGAAGAAGAGGTAAAGGAGAGGAGCAGTTGGGAGCAGGGCAAGGGTGAGGGTAGGAAGCGCATGTAACCGGTCCCCAGCACCCACCTGCCGGTCAATATGTCACAGCGGCCACATGGTCCAACACCCACATGCCGTGAGCCCCCCCGCTCCCACTATCATTCAACGCATGGTTCTTCTTCTTCTTCTTTTGCCCCACCTGCCGCGCCTCCCCCGTGGACAGGCTCTTGCAGTACGCGGCCGCATGCGCCAGCACCATCAGCACCAGCCAGAGGGCGGTGCAGGGCGCAGTGGCGGCCGTCACGTACGACACATAGCGCCGCTCCTCGCGCCCGCTGCGCAGCATGCCGTACATGCGGCGCCAGCAGGTGTCGTACGGCAGTGCTCCGCCTCCACTTTCTGCATGGAGGCGGCCGGCCCCGCGCTGCTCATGCTGCCTGGTGCTGTTCGCGCAGTCCTGTTGCCGCTGGTGCTGTTGTGGCTGATGCTGCTCCTGGGAGAGGTCCTCGGCGTCGGTATCCGGGAAGCCGCGGATAGACAGCAGCAGCAGCTGGCGCAGACTGGGTTGCAGCCAGGGAGGCAGGGGTCGAGGAGCGGGCTGCGGCTGGTGGTGGGGGTTGCACGAGGGGTTAGCCGAGCTGCTGGCTTGGTGGTCCCAGGGTGCTGCACCTGCCTTTGCAACAGCAACAGCAGCGGCAGCGGCTGCGGCGATGCTGACAGTGGGGGTATCAATGGGAGAGGCGATGGCTACGACAGGGACTGAGGAGGAGGGTGCAAGGCTGTGGGCGGAGGAGGTAGTACTGGCATCCTTCTCCACATCCTCTTGCTCCTCCAAGCCACTAGCCAGCACCGCTGCCGTCGCTACCGTCGCCCCCAGCTGCTCCTCCCGGCCCCCCAGCGCCTCCCACAGCATGGCCGGGGTGCGTCCGGCGGCGTCCCGCGCGCCGCTCCACACCGCCACCGCCGCCGGGAAGCTGCGAAGCACCCACCGCAACAGAGCCGCGTAATCCCCTCCTGCTACATCCTCTCCAACCCCGCCACAACCGTCGCCATAATCGGCGTCATCAGCACCCTCATCCGCATCCGTGGTTGCGTAGGTGCCGTACGGCAGTGCTGCAGCAGCGGCTGGACCGGCCTCTTCAACGTTGCATGTCTCCGCCGCGTCCGCTGCCAAGAGGTGCAGCGGCGTCATGCCAGTGGGCCCACACGCAGCCCACCACACAGCCGAGGCATCCGCGCAGCCGCCGCCGCTGCTGCTGTCGTTGTTGTTGATGCTGTTGCCGCTTGCCAGCCAACCCAGCACGGTTCGCACCATTACCTGACTGCCGCTCCGCACCGCCTTATGCAACAGCGTAACCTCAACATCCTCCTCCTCCTCTTCTCCACCTCCTTCTCCTCCTCCGTTGGGACTCGCCCGCCCGTCCTCCCCCGCCTCTCCCTCCTCCTCCTCCTCCCCCAGCAGCGGCGCCAGGTCGGCGTGTACGGCAGTCGCCAGGCCCACCGCCCCATGCAACACAAAGTGCCCCAGCAGGTGCCGCCCCGCGCCCAGCAGCGTGCGCCGCGCGTCCGGCTTGCACAGCACGCCCCGCAACTGCTCCGATAAGTCCAACGGGTCGGCCTCGCTGACGTCACCGCCGCTGCCGCCGTCGCCGTTGCCATTGAGCATCACCTGCTGCACATCGCCGGCATCGTGGGACGTCGCCGTGGGCTGAAAGCAGCTTCCTGCACTCCTCGACCCTGCTGCAACGGCCGCACCTGCCGGGGCGGCGTCCGTCACCGCCGCTGCGAAGTCCAGCCATGCACCCAGGTCCGACAGCAGCTGCTGCATTTCCTGCCGTTGCTCCTGCTCCTGCTGCTGCTGGGCAACCAAAAACCATCCTTGCTCCTCCTCTCCCCCTTCCCATTCCTGAGGTTCCGCTCCCGCTGCTGCTGCTGCCAGCTGATGTTGCAGCGCCCGCAGCTCGGTCACGCAGGCGCCCTCTCGCAGGCAGGCGATGCGCGCGGCGTCCAGCACGCGGCGCCCCCGCCAGAGCTCCACTCGCACCACACAACCGGGAGAGGAGGCGGGGCGGCCGGCGGCCAGCTGACCCAGATCGAGTTCGGCGCAGACGGCCCAGAGGGGCACGGGCGCGTCGGTGGGTACGTCGGTGGGTAGGCTTGAGGTCATGACGGGGGAGGGGAAGGAGGAGGAGGGGGAGGAGATGGGCGTGGCAGACAGGACAGGTAGCAGGACGGACCGGCCGTTGGCTTTGGCAATCAACCGCAGAGGCTGCTGCTGCTGTTGATGATGTTGGCGCGGTTGGCTGCCAGGCGTGCTGTCGTCTCCCGTGGCGGGGGCCCCCAAACCTTCAAAGTCAGCCTGGCCCTGCACGATAAGGTCCACTCGTAAAAAGCGCCGTTGCCTTGCCTCCTCCGCCTCCGCTGTATCTCCTTCGGGGCCGGCTGAGGCCGCACACGTCATATCTGCAGCAGCGGCAGCGGCCAGCTGCACGGCCGCGAGGACCGCCAGCGGCGACCCTATCAGCGCCGCTCCTCCTCCTCCTCCGCTGTTGCCTCCCAACACCATCCCGCTGCCTCCAAGCACGGCGTCGCTGCCTTGCTGCTGCATACCCGCATGCGACCGCAGCCCACCCGCCTCCTCCCCCTCACCCTCCTCCACCTCCTCCTCCCCCGTCACCACCCGCCACTGCGACCCGGGCGAGTCCCAAACTAGGCTCCAACACGCGCCTCCGTACTGAACCAACACCTGCTGCTGCTGCTGTCGCCGTCGCTGCTGCTGACTCCGTCCCTCCTCATCGCCGCGCTCCCCACTGGAAGCCCCCTCGGCGGCTGCTGCTGCCACAGCTGCCTCCGGCTCCGAAACCCCCTCCTCAGGCGGAGGCGGCGGCGGAGGCACCCCAAGCGCCTCCATAATCAGCGCAGGCAGTTCCAGCAGCCACCGCTCATGCGACTCGAGACCCTGCTGCGGAGCCGCGCCGCCCGAGGATGGGCTGCCACCGGTAGTACCTGGGCGTCCCACGCCACCGCTGCCGCTGCCGTCTGGGTCGGTGATGCAGGCGAGGCGACCCGCGGGTCGGTGCGGTGCGACTCGTTCCATGAGGTCCAGCGTCAACTCCACGCAGCTGCGGCGCATGAGAGAGCGGGGGTATGGCCACAGGGTTTCGGAGTAATGCAAACACCAGGGAGTATGTAGAAAAGCCTGAAGGAAAGCCGTCCGACATGCCCATGTAGGACCTGGGATAAGCTCGGCCTAACCCTGACATTCCACGGTATCCGTGTCCCTCGCTGCATCCGTCATCGGTGTGCTCCGCACCGCTGACCTCCGGCTTCGATGCTGCCCAACAGCCATTTCACATCCCATCACCGTTTATTTTCTTTACCCCAGCCCCTTTCAGAATCCCAACAGCTCCCCAACGCACCCGTGACGCACGGCAGCGCCCACCACCAGCAAGCCTCCACCGCTGCTGCTGCTGCTGCTGCCACCGTCAACGTCGCCTCCATGCCGCGCTCCCCGCAGCGCCTTGTTGATGGCGGCCAGGAAGCCCGGCGGCAGCTGCTGCGGCTCCAGGTGGGGCAGCTTCAGGTGTAGCGGCACGCGAACACAGCAGCCACCCCCGACAGCACGACCAGTAGCATTATCCCCTGCTTCACCATAGCAGCTGCTGATGTACGTTTGGGGTGTTAGGGGTGCATCAGCGCCTTCCCCGTGTGCTGCCACCGCAGCAGCTGCGGATGCAGGTAGTGAGAGGTCTGCAGGAGGAGCAGCATCAGCTGCTGCTGGAGGGCTGCTGTGGGCTTTGCAGCCGATGCCACGGATGACGGCGTTGGCGTTGCGTTGGTAGCGCATGTAGCGGCGGCGGCAAAGTATCGCGGCACCGCTGGGGGAAAAAGCTTCCGGCGGGGCCGAGGGGGCCAAGCGGCGGGATCCTATGCACGGGACCGGTGAGTGCGGGACGTGCAAAATGATGTCCCTGTCGCTGCTGCTGTCACTGCTGCTGCTGCTAATGCTGTGGGAGGTGCACGTGCTGGAGCTGTTGGCAGCTTTCGTCAGCAGGCAGATGGGTGAGGAGGCGCCGCTGAGGACCGTGGAGCTGTACTTGGAGCTGTTGGGCTTGCTGGGTTGAGCGGTTGAGGAGGTGCGTTGCGTAGTAATGACGGGCAGGAGAGTGGGCGGCTGCGATGTGGGTTGGTGGGTGGCGAGATGCGGGACTGGTGTGTGAGAAGGCGTGGCATTGGGCGAGGAGGCTCCGGAGTGAAGTCTGTATGCTGCAGTAGGCGGCGTACCTTGCTGTGAAACAAGGTGGGCATGGTCCTTTTGTTGTTGCGAGTTTTGCGAGTCATCGGTACGCGGGACGATAGTACCGGGGCTGTCCATGATACGGGTGCTCGTGCGCTGTGGCTGCTCCGTCCGCGCAGTCCGCGTTGCATCGCCAATCGCCATGGATTGGATGACATCTGAAAGTTATTCATTTGGTGGCAATTAGGGAGGGAGCCGGTTAAAAGGCTGACGGCGGTAGTTAAAAGGACGACGTGATCACGTGAACTCAAAGCAAACAGAGCACACACCTGTATTTCGATACGTAGCGAAGATCGCCACGGCCGCAAGTGTCGCAACAAGCGAACATAGCGGGCAGGCAATGCCCTGAACAGTCCCTGTTCGCGGCAGCAGCGTCACAGCGGCCAGGCCCACCAGAAGCCATGCAAGAATGACCTGATAACACCAGCCGCGCGAAAAAGCAGCATCCTGTGGGCAAAAGGATGGCGTCGAAAGTTCAGATAACGCTGCCTGAAGGAAGATGTGAAGTTCTCAAGGATACTTGCGGCCATAAGAGTACAACCCCCAAGAAGTTGAGACCTTGCATGCTGCAGGCCAGCATATGGTGAATTTTGCAGCGCCCATGCGTCCGACCCGGCAAAGGACTTCGCTCATATAGGAATCGATGTACTAGCTAGGCTGACAAAGCTACATTTAGTAACTTCTGCTCAAAAGTAGAACCGGAGTTAATACTAGCACCCTTGAGTGAGACTGACATCGCACTTGTTTAACATACTTCAATTATTCGGGCGCTAAGGGTGCTTGTTTCTGTGCGTCTTGACCTCGCATGCAGGTGCCATGGCTCCCGTGGTTCGCATGTGTCGGATGGGAAGTACAATTGCCGTATCTCCCAACTGTTCGCGGTGAAGAAATGTTGTGATCCCAGCCCATGCAGTCTTCTCCAACGGACATCAGCCTAGGATGGCATCCGGAATGCCGGCAGGAAAGAGAGGGAAATGTCGTTGCCCAGGCTAGACTCAATGCAATTTTAACCGCCGGCCCCGCTTCTCTGAGGCTCTTTCCCCCACAATGACAGTGCCCTACTTCCTGCCACCAGCTTCCGCAAGCTGCCATGGAAAGCTCTTGGCTACCGCCTTGCAGCGTTGCCAGCAGCGAACCGGACACTTCAAAAGCTGCCGCCGGCAATGGTAAGTTCTCCCCGCCTTTCATCGCCCGTTCCCCCTCCCCCACGTGCAACCCTCAAATAAGGATAAACCTGGTATTGCCACGACACAACCGCCAGGACAACTTCCAAAGCCCAAAGTCCACAGCCGCCCAGCATGAAACAAAACCAGCCCAATTGGGACAAGTCACATGATTCATACTTACACCCGCACCTCCCCGCATTTTCCCACCACAAATATACACACTCCAGTCGCGGCCAGGTGTGTTACCATACTTACAGTTGCCATCCCCGATACGCACCACTCCAAACACAGCGTGCTCAACATGCGAAATTGCAATCATGCAAATTGCACTTGCCGGCAGACGCAGACCGCTGCCGGCAGACGCACACCCACGCAACACCCCCACCCACGCCCAAGCAATCATGCTAATGCACCTCCAAGCACAGCCGCAGCTCAACGCAGCAGCCACAGCCAGCACCCCCTCCCCCCCCTCAATGCCTCGTCGTACAGTTCGTCAGTTTCCTTTTTCCTTTTACCCCCATTCAGTACCCCCATGTGTCACCGGAACACCCTGCGCGCATTCGCCCTGTGCGGCAGCTTCCCCGCCGCCCCCAGCTGCTGGTAGGCCCGGTGGATGTGGCGCGGCAGCAGCGGCCCCGTGTGCCCCTCCTGGGAGGCACACCCGCGGGCTGAGGGAGGTGCGGGGGAGCAGAGGGGTTGAAAGGGGGGGACAGGAGGCGGGGTGGGGAGTGAAGGTCAGTAAACCGGTCAACCGAGGTTTCTGGGATGGAGGGGGAAAGGCAAGGCAAGGGGGGCAGGCCCCTGTGGATGCGGGTGAGTCAGGTGGCGGCCATGGACGCCTTGCCCCCTGCCATCACAGCGCTCGCATTGCCCCGCCCGCCAGCCCCACCCTCGGGGCTACCTCCACCCTCGTCCCCTTCCGCGCTCACATCCCCCAACCGTCTCTACTGGCTACGGGTTTGGGTTCCCCTACCCACCCGTCTCCACCAGCTCCCCCACGAACAGCTTGCTGATGCCGCACATGGCGATGACGGCCTTCTCGTTGGGCACCGCATTGCGCAGGATGGCCTGCATCAGCTGCGGGGGGAGGAGGGGGGGGGAGGGGCGAAATAAACAACAGTGAGAGTGCAGCAACTGGATCCCCAATCCCATATCGGGATGGGGGGAAATTATATAATAAGTGCGAACAACTAGAGTCCCAATCCCCACTCATGCAATGAGTGCATTCGGAGACACTATCGGGAGGCGGGGGAGGGAGGAGAAGATCCAACGTGTTGAATGGTAATGGCAAGCCACAAAGAGGGAGGAGAAGGGAGGGAGGGACGCAAGGGTTCTGCTCAGCTCGGTGGCTCCGGCGGGTTCACCTAGCCACCATACTGTAGTCAGTGGCTCCTCTTAACGTCTTAAGGCAGACCACCGTGCGCGCCCCTTCCCGCTGTGCTCTCGGGGCCACCCCTCCCCCCCGGGCTGGGCCTCACCCGCTTCATCTTGGGTTTGGGCAGCGAGGAGCGCATGAAGACCTCGTAGCGGTTCTTCTGCTCCTCCGTAAGCGAGTCAAACACCCTGTGTACGGGGGAGTACGGCGTGCCAGGAGGGGAGGGGGGGGGTGAGGGTGGGAAAGGGGATTGCAGGGGATCTAGCGCAGGCATGTGGGGGATCGCCGATTTTCCCGGCGGCCGCCATGCCAGGGACTTGGCGCGCGAAAGCCGTACACCAGCGCGGCTACTGCTTCCCTCCAGCAGCCCCATCCCTGTGGCAAGGACCCAGGCATGCATCCAGCTTACTCTTTCTTGTAGGCCGCAGCTGCTTCCTGTGCTGGCGCTGCTTCAGTAGTCACCCGATCCTGCTGCCGGCCACCTGGGCCCTCACGCAACATGTGAAACACCTGGATGCTGCCATCCGCGTCAGCGGCACGCTGTGGCTCGCCTCTTGCGGGGCCCTCGGTATCATCGTAGTCGTCCTCATCTCTGCAAGGGAACAGCATACCCTGAATAATAAATATAGCCGTACCAATTGCTACGAGAGAGGTGACTGGTAAAGGGGAAAAGCAGTGTGGCTTGCGCAGGCTCACAAGTAATCGGGCGCACCATCCTGCCCCGTCGCGACATTGTCCGCTGTCGCGGGCTCTTCAACGCCGGCCGCTTCATCTTCGGCGAACGCGGCCTCAAAAGCATCCTCTAGCTGCTCATCAACATCCATCTTTACAGGGCCGTAGTTCACGGCTGGAGTTCAGGAGACGCGCATAGCGGGTTCAGTAATGGAGTGCGGATGAACCCGGCAACCCCCTACTTCTGATTAAGACAAGTGCGTTGCGTTATTCATGACTGTTTCTGGCAGCGAGCCAATTGGGTTGAACGACAAACTTTGCCTTTCTTACAGCTATAGGCAGTATGGAAATGTAACTCCAGGTGGCAGTATCAATACATCTGCACTGATCCCGTCCTAAGCTACCTGGACAGTGCATCAAGTCAACTGTACGGCAGCCGGGTACGGTACTTAGGCCATCTCCACTCCATGAATCCCCTCCATTCAGGCACCGATTCTGCAGTGTGGTCCAACCAATTGGCATGTCGCAAAGGACCACCAAACCCCCCAAATTGCCACCCAGCTGCCACCCAAGCCTACCTTCCATCACCCACTTCCAAACTTACCGGTCAGGGAAAGCCCGCACGGTCATTGCTTGCTTCATGCATGAAAGATTGTATACTACAGCTTCCATCCACGACTACTACCCAGTGCCCCCTCCTGCAGGACACGCAAGGGCTGCTGCCCCAAGTGGCACATTAAACGTTCAGCCCGAGTCTCGTAACGTAAACATATGTCCAATTAGGCGGCACTTGATACCCCCTCATGCAGACCCTCCTGCACTACTACCATTCCTTTCCGGCACTGCAAAAAATACAACACCTGCTGCAGCATCATGCCTGCCTGGAAACCAACAACCTAACAAGCTTACCAACAACACCAACGAACACCTAACCGCCATAATCTCAACATCAACTACCAATTACAACACCCCCAGGTGCTCCGCATGCCGTAGGTCCATGGCTCATGTACACAGCTTTCTAGGTTTCAATGAAGCAGTAGCAGACCCGCAGCCACAGTAGGTTCTGTAAGAGGTCTGTTGCGGCATGTTTCATGCGTTCCGTACGTGCCAGGGGGTCCAAAGGACACTGGGAAAAGCAGCGGCGGACGCCTCGACTCTTGCTTGGCAAGCATGGAACGGGGCGAAACCCGCACGCAAGCATTCCTGTTCCCAACAGCCAACGCCAACAACCTACCTGCGCACAACCGCTCTTGTTTGCTCAACTACACAACCGCCCGCATGCACAACATGCCCACTCGGTGCCGTAGCTACGGCCAAGCAAACCGGCCATCCCATCCTGCCCATCCCCTTTTCCTGCCTTACCGTATCCTCGCCCCCACCATCCTGCGGCTCTACCCAACATTCCCGCCCCTGCCAACCCCTTACTCAACACGCAACTGTCCCCTCAAACCCCTCCTCCCCGCCATCACCCTCCTCCTCCTCCTCCTCCTCCTCTAAGGACTCCAAGCAGCCCGACGCAGCCACCAAGCATAGCCCACCTACCACCCTGCCCGCCCCTCCTACCACCCCGCCCGCCCCTCCTACCACCCCGCCCGCCCCTCCTACCACCCTGCCCGCCCCTCCTACCACCCCGCCCGCCCCTCCCCCCGCATGCGGAGTCTCCCTTCCTACTAATCCCCCCGCATCGCCCCCCGCACCCAGCCCTCCAGCAGCTGCTGCGCCGCCGCCGGCTGGTCGTGCGGCACCATGTGTCCCGCCCGGTACACCACCGCGTGTGTCAGACCGCCGGCGCGCCGCAGCCAGCCAGCAACCTGCGGGCGGGCGGGGGGCAGGGGGGCAGCAGCAGCAGCAGCGGCAGGAGAAGGGCGCGGGGGGGGGGGCAGGGCACGTGAAAGCTGAGAGCGGGGGGGTGGCGGGGGAGGGATGGGGAGCGGCAGCAGGGTTAAGGGTGCAGGGGAGGTGCAGGGGAGGATGTGCAGTGCGGCTTTCAAAGCCATCACCAATCACCGCATTCCCGCTCTTCCCTCTACCCTGGTCCACCCAAACCTGTCAACCCCCGGCTGAACCACCTACCTCTCCCTCCTGCTCCTCCCCACCCCTCCCGGCCCCTCCTCCTCCTCCTCCTCTCCCCGTCCTGCTCTCCCCCCGCCCCCCCGCCGCCTCCAGCCTCCACAGCCTGCCCCGTTGCGCCGCCAGCTCCGCCTGCCGGCCCCACTCCAGGGAGGCCAGCCAGGCGCTCACGGAGGCGGGGCCGTCAAGGATGTCGTACTGGCCCTGGAGGGGGAAGCCGGGGGGGTCAAATTAGACCAAGTGGAACTATATGTAAAAACATAAAGGGCAAAAAAGAACGGAAGGACGGGAGGACGGGGGCCGATAGGGTGGGGTATTGCAGCAGCGTGCATGGTAAGTCGGCGAACGCATGCTACCGGTAGGCTTGCAGGGTGGTCCAGCACCACGAAGGAACGAGGGGAACAGATCCTCAAAGGATGCAACCAAGTGCCTCCTTCCCTCTCCCTCCCATCCCTCCAGTGCGCTCTCCTCCGCCCCTCTCCCTCCCACCCCTCCACCCCCCCACCGCGCCCCGCCCTTCCACACTTTGGAATTTCTTTTCCCCCCCACCTGGTACAGCAGCACGGGCAGCCTGGCCAGCAGGTCCGGCAGCAGCTGCTTCACGCTGCGCATCACGTCCGCGCCCATGGCCGCACCGACCGCCGCACTGCAGCTGGAGTAGGGCACGTCGGGCCGGGCACCCAGCAGGGACTTGACCTGTTCGGGGGGAGGCGGGTCAGAGATGTATCACATAATCACAGGTTAGGGCAAAGCAAGGGGAATGGAGGGAAGCAGTTTGTCACGAAACAAAAGAGGGTTAGTTGACCAGTTTGGGGGGGGGGGCGGTGGGGCGGGGACCGGAGGAAGGGGACTGGGGATGCATTAGGGCAGTTTGGTGCCGACAGCGGAGGAAGAGGGGCAGCGGGCGGGAGGGGGAGGGAAATGAGGGAGGGGAGCCGTTGGTGGTAGTGGTCGCGGGGGGAAAAAGGAAATTCCATTGTGTGGTGGTGGTGGTGGGGAGGGGTTCGGTAGAAGAGCGAGAGGGCACTAGGAGATTGGCATACAACCCGATACATGTCGTACTGCCGCTACAGTCATTTATTGGGCGTCGTACTGCCGTATTGCCGTACTGTCGTACCTCTGGAAGGTTCAAGAAGCGGTCGACGGTTTTGTTGGGGTCATAGTCCTGCAGGGTGCAGGAGGCGGGGGGCGCAAACCTCACATGCAGCTTATATCACGAGACATAGGCATACCAACATTGACCAATTGGATTACCCTGGACACGGTGTATGCGTGTACTGTCGTGCTCCTAGACCCCATGTCTCTCTACCACTCCCCGGATATGGGATTGGGACTCGTTGTTTCACTTATATAATCCCCCCCCCCTCCCCAGCCTCTCTATTCCCCGGCCAGCGCCCTGCCCCCTACGCGCCGGGCTGCCCCTCCGCGCCCGCCCCACCTGCGTCCTCCGGGTGTCGAACATGGTGGCCAGGCCCGTCACATTGCTGATGAAGCTGCGCAGGTGGGGGCGGGGTGGGGTGGGGCGGGGTGGGGTGGGATGGGGTGCGGAAAGGGGGAAGTGGGGGTGAGGTGGGGCAGGCCACATGCGGGCCAGGGGAGCAGGCGTGTGGGGTATACGGTAGAACACCTCCCATAACGCGGGGCGGGGGAGGGTGGGGGAGTCACCCGGACCATGTGCCTTCGGATGGCAGCTGCGAGAGAGGGAGAGAGGTGGGGGGGTGCGTGCGGTGCGGTGCGTGCGGAACACCCCACGAACTCCCTACCCCCCACCTTCCCCTCCCCCTCGCCCTGCGGTGAGTCCCTTCCTCCTCATCGGTTCCTTCCTCTTTCCCTCCCTTGAAGTCTTACCGATATATTCCATCCCCAACCACCTCCAGCCGCCATCCCCCGCACAGCCCTACTCCCATTCCCCAAAACCCCCCACCCCCAACCACCCACCCCACAGCCTCGTCATACAGTACGTCTATTTCCTTATTGTTACCCGCCCTTAAAGCCTTACTCCACCCCCACCCACCCCCCACCTGCGCAGCTCCTCCCGCTGCTGGTGCGCCTCCGCCCACTTGCCGTCATCTATCAGCGCCACCACCGCCGCCGCCCGCCCCGCCACCTCGTCCCTCAGAGCGGGCGGCAGCAACCCCGCGTAGAAGGCGGCCGCAGCCAGGGTCTGGGTTTGGGCCCGTGGGTCGGTCAGGCCGTTGCCGATTGCCAGACCCGTGAGGCGGAACAGCGGGGGGACGATGTTGGGTGGTAGGGCGCGGCGTTGGCGTAGGGAAGGAGGAGCAGGCGGCTGGGAGGAGGGAGGAGTAGGGGTGGTGGCGGTGGAGGCGGTGGTGGTGGTGGTGGCGGTGGAGGCGGTGGTGGTGGTGAGGTAGTCATCTTGGGCTTGTAGGATGTAGTGGGCGATGGAGGGAACGTACTTGCCCGCATAGCTCTGAGAGAGCGCGAGTGGGAGGGGTGGTTGTGGAGGTCAGCGGTTGGGAATTGGGTAGGGGCGGGAGAGGACGCCATGGGTAAGGGATGAGGGACAGGGAGGGGGGGTGGGCAGGACAACGCGTGACGACGTGCGGAACGCGCATGTATCCGTCTGCCCAGCGGCAGTTGGGGGTCTGGGCAAGAACGAAACATAGGTGTGGTGGAGTGAGTGGGGTATGTGAGTGAGCGAGGTTCACTATGTAAGGGATGTGTGGTCCCGGTATGGTGTCAGGGCTGGTTGTCGCCGCATGAGAGGTGCATGAGAGGTGCCGGAGGTGCGTGCTATTGGTACGTGTCTCTCTGGGTTGCGTGAGGTGCTTGTGTGATGCGTGGGGTGCATGAGGCCTTTGCATTGCTTGAGATGATAGTAGGGTGCATGATGTGCATGTCATGTCGTTTGCCTGAAGGAGGTGTGTGTGTGATGCCTGGGATGCGTTAGGTGCTTCTACATGAGACAGAAGTGAGGTGCGTGAGTGGTGGTGCCTGAGGTGGTGGAGCATGAAGTGCTTTGGTGTACCTGGCATGCATGAAATGCGTGCATGGTAACTGAGAAGATGCACAATGGACGTACCTTTATAGTCTGTATTTTGTGTTCTATATAGCTTTGCATTCGTCGATTTGACAAGCTGTTTCCGTGGTGTAGTGGTCATCACGTCAGATTTACACTCTGAAGGTCTCCGGTTCAATCCCGGACGGAAACAGATGTGTATTTTGTCCCCCAACGCTTAACATTGGCGGCTGGAGTCATTTTTTGTATTCAAGGGCAGCCCCAACCCATTGCCGCATTTGTGGTTTCGCGATTCCGCACAGTGGCCGAGCCGCACTCTGGCAGGAGCCTTTCAGCGCCATCCCATGCGCGCATCCACACATCCCATCCCGATTCGATTTGTCCTTGCATGGTGACGACTCTAAATATTTATATTACAAGGATTGCCCATCCAAGCAAAAACCCTGCACGAACATACACAGGCAACATGCTGCACAGCCCTCCCCTTGTGTATCACACGGCACCGCACCTCTCCGGTAATGAACAGCGGCCGGGTCGCCAGCTCCGCATGCGCCCGGTAGAAGCCCTGCAGCGCGGTGTACAGGTGGGTGGCCATGCCCATCTCGTCGGTGGGTATGCTGCTGTTGCCGGCGCCCGCCACGCTGTAGCCGGTGCCCACCGGCTGGTCCACAAGGAGCAGCCCGAACAGCCGGTTCCATGAGCCTGTGAAGCAGGAGTAGTACCGGTATCGTGAGTCTGAAATGCTTTGTGCTACGATGTTGTGACGTGGTTGCACAATTGCAAGGAAGGCGTGAGGGCTGTTGGTGAAAGAATAGTTTTATAGTGTTCAGCATTTGTCCGTAGGCCCGGCATGCGATAGTGGGCCTTGCATTTGGCTTGTGCAATTCGGGACATGTCCTGAGGATCGGGCAAAGAGCTCTGAGCCGACAAGCCTACCAGGATTTGGCTCCACACTAAGGTCAGGAGTTACGGACCAGGGGCCCAACTCGTAGAAGCCGCCAAACGTGCTGGCACATCCCGGGCCACCCTGGTCGAGCATTCGCGGCAGATGAAGAGTCGGTTAGGGCGACGGCAACAATGCTAAGGATTGTTTGTACGTACGAGCTCCAGAGCATTGACAAAGACGCCTATAAGCAGGATAATGTCCTGGATTCGGACGTGGTGAGGCGAGCATGTGGCGACCCATCCGAATTATTACCGCACCTGAAGCCAAAGGATAACAGGAGTCTCGGAAAGATCCACAGGTTTGTTTTGGGCCTCATAGTAAGCATAATAAATGGCGGATCCATTGGCATCGACCGGGAGGTAACCGGAGTACGTGGGCTTAATTGCAGCAAGCTTGCTGGTGTGCAACCGCTTATCATCCGCTAGGTTATAGCGTGCTGTTAGTGAAGCTGGAATCCAACAAGGTGCCAACAAAAGGGCTAGCCTTGCTGCCCGCGTCGCTTGGCGCGCCATTATCTTCTATCTGTCGGCCAGGCGACGCCCAAACACGCCAAGCTGTGACTGATACTCCAAAAGCTGTACACCTTACTTGCCGGATGCGATGAGCCACTGACATGTGCGACAGCATCGCCTTTCGCATCGGTTTCGGGGCAGATGGAGCGGCTCGATCGCTCGAAGGGACCAGGAGGACATCCCGGCACCACAGGCAATCCGCCTTTTACAGGCATAACTTTGAAACCACCTCAAGCCTTAAGACAAGGGCCCATGCTCGATGTTAACAGAAACAATCAGTGCAAGAGCCCCTTATGTCCTGTTACCGTTACGGATCGATGCCGTCCGACATGGTACGGCATGCGGCCTAGAAGCATGGCCTAGCTGCGCCGGTCCCCCTTCTAACCTTCGCATTCTAGCTGCGACACACTGCACAAGACTGGCCCCAGATATCCCATCCCACCGCATCCCACCGTAACAAATTCCCAAGCTCAACACAGCATTTCCCCTAGCCTACGGCGCTGTAGCCTACGTCACTGTACTCCCTTCCGCTGCACATAGCCGCCCGTCCCTGCTTATTACCTGTTAACCCTGTCACATACGCACACGCAGAACCAGAACCACCTTACCCGCCTAACCCGCGCTCATTAAGCCCGCACGCGGCAACTCATCAGCCAACCCAGAGGGCCTCCAAGCATCCAAGCATCCAAGTAAGCCAACATCCTTACCACGTTACCAGCGCTAACCACCTGCTCGCCCTCACCCTCACACCGCATGGGCAACATACCGTATCAGCTACTACCGGTACCTCCTCCCATTGCCTCCCTCCTCCAAGCCCTTAAATTCCCCCCTCTCCCCGCCTAGGAGGGCGCACCATACTACACCCCGCACCATACTACACCCCAGCGCTCACACTCCACAGTGCGCAACTGAACGCCGCTTGTATGACAACATCTATACGAAATCCTATAATCCAGCCAGATGCGGAAAACATGCATCCCTATTAATCCCCCCCCCTACTTGTCCTTTCCCTTGACCTGCCTCCAGCTGCCCTCGCCCGTCTCCTCGTCCACCACAAACTCCTCCTCCACGTCCGTGATGCTCATGCCCGCGGGCGCGAAGCCGCTTAGCAGCGCCAGCAGGTCGCGCTCCACGGCCGCCACCTCGGAAGGGTCCACCTTGGTGGGGCGTGGAGGAGCGCGGGGGGCCGTGGGGGGGCGTAGTGGGGTGTAGAGCGGCGAAGAGGGGCGGGTAAGAGGAGGTGGTAGTATCGTGCTGTGGACGGCAGTTGGGTGGTTAGGCGGGCGGTGCAGGCGAACGGTCAAGCATCCTGGCCTGCTTGCGGCCATATGGCCCTCAGACGAAGTGCTTAGGTTGACTGCACAACCTCCTCCTCCTCATGCAATGCAGCGAGGGCCGTCGCTAGCTCCTCTCTAGGATACCCTGTTTGCTTCCGCTGTGGACTGGTACAGAGAGAGAGCACAGCCCCCTGCCTCCCAAGGCGCCCACCTTGGGTAGCGGCTTGAAGTGGCGCTGGCGGGCGTTGCGCATGGGCGGCGTGACGCCGTCCGCGCACTCCGGCCCCTCGGGCAGTGTGCTGCCGGGCGGCCCCACCAGCAGCAGCTGGGCAGCGGGGAAACCAGGTGGGCAGCAGCAGCGGCAGCAGCGGAGGTAGTGGTGCCAGGAGTATTGTGAGAGTGGTGAGTTTTGGGGGCCGTGCCAGTCGTGGCGGTGTAGTAGCGGAAGGGTGTAGTAGCATGGAGCATAGGTAGCAGGGAGGCGTGGAGGGCAGTGGGAGGCAAGGAATGCTACGCCAGAGCAAGACATAAGGATGCATGCAAGCTGTCCTGCCACCTTGTGACCGAGCCCGCAGCAAGTGGCAATCAGAGGCGTGTACGGCTCACCTGACCGATGTCGTTGATTTTCACCAGGTTAATATCATCGTACGTTTTGTAGGCCTCCACAACCGTTGGCAGGTTCAGCAGCTTAACAGGGTATGGCATGCCATCGACCGTCAGCACTCCGTCCTGGTTGTTATCTGCGGTTACAGTCGGCGACAAGTTCGGACGATGAAGATAGGGTGCAGGTTCGCAACGCTGCCACTGACGGGGTGCTCTGTGGACATCATGGCGTCCCCTGGGCCCGCAGCAATGAAAGGAGCGGGCGGGCACCACAGCTTGCCTGAGAATGTGAGCTCGATGTGGCCGTGTACAGTGAGCTCCTCCCGTAGTATCCGATGCAGCTTGTCGGCAAGAGCCTCGTCGAGTACACGGAGGACGAATAGCTCCTCAAGCCCGCCACCCTCAGCCATATTGTAGCCGTTGTAGACTACTACTTAGGACATCTATCTCCGTGGAATCATGCCGGCCTCAACAAATTTCCCTTAAAGTGCAGTTATGCAACTTGGGCTTGTGCCGTGTATACCTGTAAGTTCTGTAGTTATCTAACAAACATAACATGTGAAAGTAAAACATCGACGTCCTTACTTGTCCACAAACAGGATACATAGCTGCTCCAGTTCCAACCAACTTGACTTGGCGACGACAGCTTGCCTAGGGTGAAGCCCTGAGCGCTGCGTCTCTCCTCTACGTTACTGACGTCAAATCCTTCATGACAATGCTATCAGACAGCTTTCGCCTGCAAGGTCCTTATAGGCTACCTCTGTAGACGACTTCTACTCGACGCATTCCTAGGCTTCTTAGCTAGAGACTATGCCTTTAACGCTTGAGATATTAGCCCAAATTTACATAAGGTAGCCCATATAGGCGAACGCCCTTCGACGTTGTTAGGTCTCTTTCGACATGGCGTGCAGCCCGAAAAGGCCCGACCCTCTCCGCGACGCGGAGGCGCGTGTCCGGGCTCTTACACGGGAGGTTGGGACGCTCCGGGAGGACTTGCGACGCGAAGTCAAGCGGCGCGAGCGCGCAGTTGCACAGGTCGGTCACATGTTCCCTCCGCACCCAAGAGCTGTGAGACAAGGCACGCTGGTGTAAACTTTGGCAGCATGACAGCAGGCGCAACTATAAGCGCAACCCATGTTAAAGCCTACACCACGTCTCTGCTTATCCGCTGCCCCTAACACCAACCGGACTCCAATCAATCCTCTCCCGAACCTCCTCTCCCACCCACCCCACACCGCCCCTGCACGCCACCTTCCCTCCCAAGGCCAAGGAGCACGAGGAGGCCCGCCGTGAGAGCGAGGGGCGCTGCCAGGAGCTCTCCTACAGCAACCGCAAGCTCGCATCAGAGCTCGAGTCCCTTCACGAGACAGCACGCGCGGGCCAAGAACGCGACCGCCGCGCGCTGCGAGGCCTGCGGGAGGGCCTAGCAGCAGTGGAATCCGCCGTAGCCGCACGCGCCCGACGCGGCTACGCGCACGTACGGCAACTTCAGACGGCCCACCAGCAGCTGCGTGCGCTGCTCCTAGGCCTCGCCAGCTCCTGCTCCCCGCATGCTGCCGCCGGCTCCTCCTCCTTAGCAGCAGCAGCAGCGGCAGGGTTCCCTGGAGGGGCGGTTGATGCGTCGCTGCTTGCCAATGTGACGGTGCTGTCCTCCGTTGCCGCCCCCCGAGTGGAGCAGTTGCTGGGGGCGGCGCAGGCGCATGCGGCGCGGCTAGCGGAGCTGCTAGCGGGCGGGGAGGGAGGCGACGGGCTGGGAGGGGAGGGGGAGGCGGGTGGCGGCATGGAGGAGGCGGAACAGCCGGCGGCAGGCTGGGGTGGCGGCATGCTGGGGGCTGGAGTGGGAGGCCGAGGGGAGGAGGGGCGGGTGGCTGCAGCGGCAGTAGCAGCTGCTGCTGCTGCGGGCGAGGGCGAGCGGCAGCAGCTGCGTGAGGAGGTGGTGCGGCTGCGAGGGGAGCTGCGGGCGCTGGCGGAGAGCGGCAGGGCGCAGGAGGGTGAGGACGCAGCGGAGGGTAACGCATGGCAGGGCGGGAGCTTCGGGGGGGCGGGGGTAGAGAGGCCATGGGGCAACGAGCAACTGCAACATATAGGGGGCGGGGTTGGGGTTTAGCGGTTAGTTGGCGGTGGTGAAAAGGACACAGCGATACTGTGAACGCGAAGTTCTTGTAGGTGCAGGGGCTGAAGACATAAGGAAGGAAAGCTTTCACTTCCAAACCTTCCCACCCCACCTCGCTGTCCCTGCTGCGCTCCTCCCCACCCGCTCTCCCCACCCCGCAGCTCCCGCCGCCCCCAGCGCCACCGCCCTGGAGCTGCAGCACTCCCTCCGCGAGGCGCAGGGCGAGCTGCTGCGGCTGCGGGCGGAGGTGCTGCACCTCAACGCGGCGGCGGCAGCGGGCGCACGGGAGCAGCAGGCCACCGCGGCAGCGCTGGAGGAGGCCAAGGCCAGGTGGGAGGGCGGGGGGGAACGTTGCACGGACGGCTGTGATACCCTGAGGATCTGATGCGGGGTTGAAAAACAAAAGGGCGGGGGGTGGGATGCGAGGGCGAGGTATGACCAAGTCTGTGACCAAGCCTGTCCCTTCGTGAGATCGTGACCCCCTTCTCCCCCTCACATGCAGCCCACCTGCCTCCCACCTTCATCCCTCCCCCCAGGCTGCGTGAGCAGGACTCGCTGCACGCTGCGCTTGTGAGCTCGCTGCGTCAGCAGGAGGACAGCAGCCTGGGGCTGGTGGCGGAGCTGAGCGCTAAGAGGGTGGCGCTGGAGGGGGAGGTGAGCCAGGTTGTGAGAGGGCGAGATGATAGGGATAGGAGGCGGCAGGGTGCCGGGAGGGTGGCGCTGGAGCGGGAGATGAGTGCTGCGTGTGGGGCTGCGTGGGGCTGCGGTAGTTACAGCTGGTCCCCGGGTGGCAGCGGGGTGGGGTGGGGGGGTAGGCGTCACCATCCTCCGCTACGCCTCCAAGCTGCGAGGGGGCTGTGCTGGAGCGCCCTCCATGCCCTTCCTCTGCCCAACACCACATGTGCCCGATAGCCCCTACCCCTGCACTTCCTCCTCCTCAACCGTCTCCTCCTCCTCTGCCTCCTCCCTCCCGCCCCCGCATGGTCCCCAGGTGTCCAGCCTGCACCAGCAGCTGGGCGCCCTGCGCAACCAGGTTTCGGAGCTGCTGGCGGAGCGGGCGGAACTGGAGGGCGCGCTGAAGCAGCGGGAGCAGGAGCTGCGGGCGGCAAAGGTGTTTGCGGGTGTTGGGGAGGGATGGGGAGGGAGGTGTTGGGGAGGGATGGTGTTTGCGGATGTTGGGGAGGGACAAGGACGGGAAGCGTCGAGATCTGAGGTGGAGATTGGAAAGTAGGGAAAGAGAACACAACCGCCGGGCTTAGCAGGCCCGCAAGGCCCCATCTCCCATGTGTCAGGAGCCTTCCCCCAGGACGACATGGGGCCGACACGCTCGCTGCCCATGCTGCTCTTGCTGATGCTGATGCCGTACATCTCCCCACCGTCCCGCAGGCCAGCATGCTGGAGCAGGGAGCCGACATCCGCAGCGCGCTGTCCCTCATCAACCGGCCCCAGGGCGCGCCGCCGCCCCCAGCCGCGGCCCCCACCGCCATGGGCGGGGCCTCACCCGCGGTAGACGCGCCGCCTGCCGCACTGCAATGGAAGACCCTGCCGCCACCACAGCAGCAGCACCAGCAGGCCGCTGCACCGCAGCCGCTGGCATCAGCGGCGACGACAGCGGCAGGCGCAGCCACCGGAAAAGGCTCGTTGGACTCAGCACTGGCGGCAGCGCTCGCGCCGTACCATAACGCCAGCGCCGCCATTGGATCCGCACTGGCGGCGGCGGCCGCCATTGCGCCCATGCCACCGCCGCCGCCGCGGCCATCGGCCCACACGGGTTCGGGTTGTGGGTCGGCGGGAGGAGCCGGCGGCAGCACTGGGGTTGGGAGCGGACCAGGAGGTGCCGGCGGTTGGCTGGCGCCTGCGGCAGCACCCGCTCCCAATGCACTTGCGTCCCTGCCGCCGCCGCCGCCACCTCAGCCAACACAGACGCTGGTACCTGCAACGCTGCTACCGCACCAGCAACATCAGCAGTCTACGCAGCACCAGCAACTCTGTCAAGCACATGTGCCGCAGCTCCAGCAACCCTACCAACCGTCGCTCCAGCAACAGCATCCCCAGCAACACCAACACCTCCAGCCGCAGCAACACCAGCAGCAGCAGCAGCAGGCCCTAGCAGCTGAGCTGGCCGCAGTGCTCAGCCAGTGGTCAGGACTGGCCCGCGGTGGAGGGGCCGGGCGGCTGGGGTCTGAGGACCTGGCCCACGGAGTCCCCGCAACCGCACCACCTCAACCCGCCTCCATGGCTCCGACGGCAGCAGCAACAGGGGCCGCATGTGCACCGCAGTACGCAGCAGTCCCTCCTCCCGCTGCGGCTGCGGCTGCTGCGGCTTCGGCTGCCTTCGCCCCGCCCCACAGCGAGGGTTTCCTCGCCCCAGGAGCGCTAGCACGTGGTGGAGGCGGCGGCGGCGGCACGGGTTTCGACCCGGGGCGTTACGCGGGCCCCTCAGCTGCTGCTCCTGCGGCACACGAGCTGTTACAGCCGCAGCTGCAGGTGGGGCGAGCGGGTGCTGCTGCCAGGGGCTTCAGTGCCGAGGAGGGAGCTGAGGAACTGTACGGCGAGGACGGCGCAGCTGGAGGCAACGGCAGCGGTTGGCGGGGGCCGTTAGGGGGTGCTGTTGGGGGCGGCCGGCGGCTGGTGCCTGGGGAAGGGCTGGTGGTGCATGCGGTGCAGGGGGGCCGTGGGGCGGGGCTGAGAGGCGGAGGTGGGGGTGGGGGTGCTGGCGGGTGGCAGGAGGGTGGAGGTGCAGGGCGGGGGTTGGGGGCAGGAGGGGGAGGTGGAGGAGGAGGCGGAGGGGGCAGCAGTCGTCTGGCTGCGCTGCGGAGGGACATGTTGAGCCTGGATGAGGAGATGGCGGAGATGGAGGCGTCGCTGGCGGTGGCGGCAAGGAGGGCGAGGTAGGCAAGGAAAAGAGGAGGAAGAAGGAGACGTGAGGCACCCGAATGCCGAGGCCGGGTAGGAGGAACGCGGAAGGATGCCAGCATGTGACAGGCGGAGAGGGGAGGCATGAGAGGCGGGACAGGAGGCATGCTTTTGAGGTGTGCTTTGAGGGGGATGAGGGGTGCACATGAAGGGGTGGGAAGCCGTGCAACGTGTGGCCGTACCCGGTACTGTAGGGGTGTGGGTAATGGTGGGAATCACTTGCGGTAGGCAGGGGCGATAATAGGGGTCCGACAGAACCCCCATGGCACAATGGGGCTGCCACCGATGTGGGTGCCGAGGAGGGAGAGGGGGAGTCAGGTGGACGTGATCGGGCGGTGGGATCTAGCAGGTGGGACCAAGGGCCCCCGCGAGTTGAACGCGTGCGGCGTGCAGCAGACACGCAAATGAACATCTTGAAACGTCCTCTATAACGAATTGGATGAACTTGGTGTAGCGCACGCGTAACGGATGTGGGAATGCCTTTGCAAGCGGAGGAGTTATGCGCGCCCAAATGTTCGATGTCGTACGGTGGTTGACAGCGCAAGCATACTCGCCATCCGACATGCCAGCCGTGTACTTGATTGGGCTAAGCTCGTGCTGTAAGCAGGCTTAGACGAGAGGCGTTCAGTAGGGGGTGGATGCCCTGTAGTTTCAACTAGCTGCCACTGACTTCCGCGTTTCCGCCCGGACTTCGAGACTTTTATTTTTATTTGCCAAGCATTTCGAGAGACGAAGTAGTACAAAACGTAAGAAGCGGCGATACAAGTTGGCACACTGTAACGCTTGCATAGTAGCGACAGCATCTCGTCGGCAGATATGTGGAAGTTCGTGAGTGCTGGCAACAGTGGCGGCCACCCGCTCCTGCGTTCGCTAAACGAGTTCAAAGGGAGGCAGACATGGGAGTTCAATCCGACAGCCGGCACCCCCGAGCAGCGTGCCGAGGTGGAACGCTTGCGCAGGGAGTTTACCGAAAAGAAGGACGTGCATCACCATTCAGCGGATGAACTTCTAAGACTGCAATGTGCGGACCGCATCCGCGCCAAAAAGCATGCCCCGCCATCCGGCGAAATACCTGAGAATCTCACGCCCGAGCGCGTCGAGGATCACCTCAAGGGAGCTATCAGCTTCTACGAGTGCCTTCAGCAGGATGACGGTCACTGGCCTGGCGATTACGGTGGCCCGATGTTCCTCTTGCCGGGCCTTGTTATCGCGCTTTACACCACCGGTGTGCTGGATGAGGTGGGTTTTTAAGGTTCCTGCGCTCGGCCGTTAATATGGCATATGCGGCAACCATATGCTTGCACAAGGATGCGATGCTGGTGCCCGCTGTCCTGCGCAGGTCTTCACTCCCGCACACAAGCAGGAGGCTCTGCGCTACCTCACCAACCACCAGAACCCGGACGGCGGCTTCGGACTGCACATCGAGGGCGGCTCCACCATGTTTGGAACCGGACTCAAGTGAGCGAGGGAGAGAGGGAGGTGGCATGGAGGGAGGGAGGTAAGGAAGAAGACACCTAACCCCCCGCCCTTGCCTCTCCTTCCCCTTTCCCCTTCCCCTTCCCTCCTCCCTCAGCTACGTAATGGCTCGCTTGCTGGGTATGGGTCCGGATGAGGACCTCACGCGGAGGGCCAGGGAGTGGGTGGGTGGGGAAGGGGCAGGAGGGAGGGGGTCAAACAGTCAGTGGGGAGGGTGTCGGGGCAGGGGCGGCGTGACGTGACTTGGGGTGGGAGCGTGGAATGCAAGGCAATGGGTGCACGGGCATGGGCTAAGTGACTGCCGTGCAGAGCAGACTGGGGCGCGGGAGAGGGGCTACAAGAGTGGGGGCTCCACGGGAGGCTGACCGGCCTTCACCAACCCGCAGGAAGGCCGGTCCATCACGCAGCCGTGACCAGTGGGGCCGCCGTACTTCCCCCCGCGCCCCCTCCTCATCCACCCACCCTTCGCAACCCCGCTCCCCCCGCTCCCCCAGATCCACTCCCGCGGCGGCGCCACCTACATCACCAGCTGGGGCAAGTTCTGGCTTGCCGTACTGGGTGTGTACGACTGGTACGGCATGAACCCGCTGACCCCCGAGATGTGGCTGCTGCCGTACAGCTGGTGGAGCGGCATCGGCATGATGCACCCGGGCAGGTTCTGGTGCCACTGCCGCATGGTGGGGAGGAGGGGGGAGGAGGTGGTAAGGAGAGGAAATTGACGAGCTGTATGATCACGAAGCTTCACCATGGGTTGCTATATGAACCCGGCGCATCCCACCCCGCCAGACGGGAAGGGGGTGAGGAGGGGATGGAGGCTTGTGTGGATAGCAGAGGGGATAGCAGAGGGGGTAGCAGAGGGACACTGCGAATGGAGTTGCTAGCCCCCAGTCAGTTAGTTGTTTCCTCTTTACCCCTCTCCCCATGGCCTTCTCCCCTCCTCCCCCCCCCAGGTGTACCTGCCCATGAGCTACGTGTACGGCAAGCGAGGCACGTGCAAGGAGACCCCCCTCACTGCCGCTATCAGGTGGGGGGCTGGAGGGGGTGGAGGGGTGAGAAAATAAAAAAGTAAACAAAAAGTCCCAATCCCATATCCCGACTCATGCAGTGGTGGGGTGGAACGGGGCGGGGGCGGACGGGTGCAGTGGGGGCGGGGGCGGTGGGGGTGGGGGTGGGGGGGGGTGGAGAGTAGGCCGCACGGGGAGTACCGTATGCGCGGGTTGGGGGAGTGTGGGCGGAGGGAGCAGTGGCAGGTGGCTGTTACCTTGTCCTCCTTTGTCCTCTCTTTTGGTTCCTTTCTCCTGCCTGTTTGGCCCACAGCCCTACCACGCCCTGCATACCCCCCACCCTGGGCCTGATCCAAGCTAGCAACCCATGGCGAAGCCTCGTCGTACAGCTCGTCATTTCCCCTTTCTACCCCCCCCCTTTTCCCTGCCCCCACCTGCATGATCCCATGAAGCCCACCATGGCAGCCTAGTCCAGTCCAGCATGGTCAGCCCAACTCACACTGCCCCCACCCTCTCGCCCCCCATCCCCCGCCTGCTTGGGATTCTTCTTTTCCCGCCCGCCACCACACTTTGGAATTTCTTTTTTTTACCCCCCACCTCCCACTCCCCCAGGCAGGAGCTCTACCCGCAGCCCTACTCGCGTATCGACTGGAACGCGGCTCGCAACCAGTGTGCCAAGGAGGACCTGTACTACCCGCACCCGCTGGTGCAGGTGGGGGGAGAGGAGGGAAGAACCATGAGCGCTGTGAACGATCGCGATGTGCTTGAGGACCTAGCTGCGGAGGGTTAGACCCCCCCAAGGTCCTCTTCCTGCCCGCCCCTCCCTGTCCCCCCTCAATAAACACATTGGGTATTTCCCCCCTCCTTCCCCCTCCCCCCCCCTCCTTCCCTCCCCTCCCCCCCCCTCCTCCGCCCCCCCCAGGACGTGTTGTGGTGGACTCTGTACCAGGCGGAGGGGGTGCTGGCGGGCAGTGGGCTGCGGGAGCGGGCGCTGCGGGAGTGCATGAAGCACATACACTACGAGGTGTGTGGGGGGGGAGGGGGGAAGGGGGGGAGGGGAAGAAGAGTAGCATATGTGTTGCATGTGATTGGCATGGTGCGGGGGAGGGGGAGGGGGAGGAAATGCATGATGGAAGCGAGGCACAGAGGAGGGGGCTGCATGCGTTTGTGTGTGTGTGTGTTAAAATAACTGGCCGCGAGTAGGAACATACTGGGAGGTGTGTGTGTGTGTGTGTGTGTTTTGCATGACGTGTCTGGTCGTATGCGGCGGGACACGCAGCCGTCCCCGTCTCCTCCTGTCCCAACCAGCAGCGCCCCACACCCCACCCTCCTCATCCCTCCCCCTCGGGACATGGGAATACGCTTCACTCGTTTCCCTCTCTCCCTCCCTCCCCCCTTGGAATTTCCCTTTTTCCCTCCCTTCCCCCAGGATGAGAACACCCGCTATGTGGATATCGGCCCCGTGAACAAGGTGATCAACATGCTGGCGTGCTGGCTGGAGGAGCCGGGCGGGGAGGCGTTCAAGAAGTGAGGGGGGAAGAGGGCGGGGAGCGGGGAGGCGTTCAGGAAGTGAGGGGGGGGGAGGGCGGGGAGGGGAGGCGTTCAAGAAATGAGGGGGGGGGAGAGGAGGGGGGGACCAAAGAGGTTGAGATGTAAGGCCGCTAGGGAGGGGTGTGTTGGCGGCTTTGCTTGCCTATAGCCCGATGCCCAACCCAGGCCCCCTTCCAGAGTCTTCCTAGGTCCCAAGTCCCCACTTCCTTACCCTACTTCATACCCCCCTCCCCTTCTCCCCCCCTCCCGCCCCCCGCCCCCAGGCACCTCCCCCGCGTGCACGACTACCTGTGGCTCGCCGAGGACGGTCTCAAGATGCAGGGTTACAACGGCAGTCAGCTGTGGGACACGGCGTTCGCGGCGCAGGTGGGGGGCGGGAGGGGGGAAAGGGGGTTGGAGGTGCAGGTGGGGGTGGGTGGGGGGAAAGGTGGGTGGAGCCGGGTGGTGGGAGGGGAGTGGAGGGTTGGGGGCGGGTTTCGGGTGCGGGTGGCTGCTGGGTGGACCCGTACCGGCAGCACCCGAAGGCCTTGTGTCCACTGAAGTCCGTGGGTTGTGCTGGACCGCGCAAGCTCCTGTGCGCCTCTCGCGCCGCGCCCTCCTCGGGCCACTTACCGGTGCCTCCTCATCGCTCTTATCGGCATTCCCCCCCTCCTCCTCCCCACCCACTCTTCCTCCCTCCCCCTCTCCCTCCCTCCCTCCCCCCCCTCAGGCAATCGCCGAGACGGGGCTGCTGGACGTGTCGGCTGCCTGCCTGGCTCGGGCGCATGCGTACGTGGAGCAGTCGCAGGTGGGCGGGGGCGGGGGGCGGGGGCGGGGGGGGGGAGCAAGATAAGGAAAGGGCAAAAGGTGGGGGTGCGGAGGGGGGGCATGCATGCTAGAGCTGTAGGGGTAAGGGGCAGCCCCTTGCTTCCTCCCCTCCACCCCCCTCCCCTTCTCCTATATTCCCCCTCCCCTCCTCCCACCTTCCTCCCCCCTGCCCAGGTGATCGAGGAGGCCGCTCCCCCCCTGTCGGCCTACTACCGCCACATATCGCTGGGCGCCTGGCCCTTCTCCTCGCGCGATCACGGCTGGCCCATCAGCGACTGCTCCTCCGAGGGGCTCAAGGCGGCGCTGAGGCTGGCGAGCCTGCCGGAGGACAAGGTGGGCGGGATGGGGGGAGGGGGGAAATAAATGAAAAGTGCAGCAACGGGGTCCCAATCCCATATTCCGACTCATGCAGTGAGCGGGGAGGGGGAGGGCAAAAGAAGAATACCCAATGTGTGGGGAGGGGGAGGTGGGGGAGGAGGGAGGAGAGGGGAAGGGTGAGGGAGTGGAAGAACGAACCATGTTACAAGGCGACAGAGCAATGGGCGCGTGTTAAGAATACTGGCCGCGAGTGGCTAGTCGGAACGTACTGTGATTGCCGGAAGATGAAGTCCCCACAGAAACGCCACAGGAGGCGAGGAGTTTGGTGGCGTGTGTGTTTAGTCTCGTGCCATGACCCCCTTCCCTCGTCTCCTGTTCCCCCTCCTCTTGGGACTTCAGTGGCTCACTTCTCACTATTCTCCCCCCTCCCTCCTCCCCCCTCCCATACCATTGTCACACAACACATTGGGTTTTCTCTTTTCCCCCTCCCTCCCCCCCCAGGTGGGTGCGCCAATCCCCGCCGAGCGCCTGTACGACTGCGTCAACGTCATCCTGTCGTACCAGAACAGCGACGGGGGCATGGCCACCTACGAAAACACCCGCTCCTTCCATGCACTGGAGGTGAGGGGGAGGGAGGGGGGAGGATAGCTGGAAGGGAGGAGCCGCGTTTGGTGGTGGTGGTAGGTGTTTGGAGGTTGGTGCTGGATTGATGCCGCCGGGAAAAGCGAGTGGAAGTCACATCGTAGGCCTGTTCACCAAGGAATGCAGGCAACCCCCCGCCTGGCACCCTCCTCTCCTCTTCTGATCACACATTGGGTACTCTTCTTTTTCTTCCCTCCTGATCGCCCGGCTTTTGCCACTTTGGTTGCCACGATTTGGCATTGCTCTTTCCCCCTCACAGCATGGCATGTTTTGCTCCCTTCCCCTCACCCTTGTTCCCCTCCCCTCAGATCCTGAACCCCGCCGAGACGTTTGGCGACATTATCGTGGACTACTCGTACGTGGAGTGCACCTCGGCCTGCATCACCGCACTGGCGGAGTTTAGGAAGTGAGGGAGGAGTGGGGAGTGGGGAGGGAGGCGGGGGGTCAAAGATACCGGTATACCAGAGCCAGGGGGAGGGGGGGAGAGGGGGTGAGGAGGAAACAACCAACCAACCAACCATGTGATATCAGTTTTGTTTAGTTTGATGGGAAAGGTGGGAAACAGGGGGTGGTACCGTACAGTGCCGTCTGATATCCCTTCTCCAACAACCCCTTTCGGCATGTTCCGATAACGGTATAACGCTCGCGAAGAAGAACATACTGAGATACTGTATGATGCGTGGGGTCGCAGCTAGGCCCCCTTACGCCCCATTCTCACGCACGTCTTGCCCTGTTTCCGGCCTCTTGGCTCTTCCCCCACCTTCCTGCCTGCTTGCCCTCCTGCCTTGCCTCCCCCCCAGGCGCTACCCCTCCCACCGCCCCGCCGACATCTCCTCGGCGCTCCGGCGCGCGGAGGCCTTCATTCGCCGCATCCAGAGACCCGACGGATCATGGTGCGGGGGAGGGGAGGGGGCACGGGTGGGGGAGAGGAAAAGAAGGGGAAGAAGCGGAACCGTGCGTTGAATGGGAGGGGGGAGCAAAGCCCGGGAGGGGTTGAGGGCTCGAGGGCAGCAGGTGGGTTGGATAAGGGTCAGCAACCGGGGGGGCCACAACCGGCCTGTGTTCGTGGCTGGATGGCAGAGAGGACGGTGCTTTCCCCCTGCTACTGACGGTGCACCTCCTTCCCTCCTTCCATACACATTACCCTATCTTCTCACCCTCCCGCCCACCCCCGCCTCATGGGCCTGAGACCACTGTGCTTCACCTCGCCTCTACCCCCCCCCCCCACCTCGGCCCCCCCCTCGTCGTCAGGTACGGCTCCTGGGGTGTGTGTTTCACGTACGGCTGCTGGTTCGGCCTCACCGGCCTGGCCGCGCTGGGCCACTGCTGCCAGAACGACCCGGCGGTGCGCCGCTGCTGCGAGTTCCTGGTGGCTCGGCAGCAGCGGGAGGGGGACGGCGGCTGGGGGGAGAGCTACCTGTCATGCGAGAAGAAGGTAGGGGGGGGGCGGAGGGATGCGGAGGGGAAGACTGGGAGGGGCAAAGAGGTACCAGCCTGTTCGACAATCGCTACTATCATTCATAGCAGGGTATTGCCTTCTTTTCCCCCTTCCCCCTTCCTCCCTGACCGTACTTCACTTCTCATTGTTTCCCTCCCTCCCTTCCCCCCATGTCAGTCACTGCATAGGGTATTTTTCTCCCCCCCAACCAGTCTGTTGCTTCACTTCTCTTTTGTAACTCCCCTCCCCTCGCCCCCCCGCCACCAGGTCTACAGCCAGCTGGAGGGCGGCAGTCACGTGGTCAACACCGCGTGGGCCATGTTGGGGCTCATGGCGGCGGGATACCACAAGGTGCGATGGGGGGGGCGGGGAGGGGAGGGGAGGGGGACTGGGGAGAGAAGCAGAAGCGACCCTACGCCTTGATTGCTCTCCGCCCTGACTGCCTTCCCTCCCCCCTTCCCAACTACCCCCCCCCCCTTACCCCCATTGTTTTGCCCTAACTTGTGGTCTCCTATGGTTTGGTATGGTCTTTGACCCCCACCCCAGGTTGACCCCGCCCCCCTGCACGCCGGCGCTCGCTTCCTGCTGCGCGCGCAGCTGCCCTCGGGCGACTGGCCGCAGCAGCACATCTCCGGTGTCTTCAACCGCAACTGCATGATCACATACGCAAACTACAGGTGTGTGCGACTGCGGGGGGAGGGGAGAGGAAACAACTTACTGTGGGGGGGCCAAACGAATACCAAACCTCACCGGGGGGGGGTGGGGCAGGATCAAGGGGGCTAGGTGTGGGTCGGGGGTGCTGCGCCGGGCTGCGGCGCATGTGCTTGTATTAAGATATCGGGGTAACAGCGAGTAGGAGCGTGCTGAGTTGTCTAAACCGCCTCGGGGTGCGTGTGCGTGTGCCAGTTATAATAACAAAGCCGCGTGGACAGTAGTACTTACCATAGCTGTGCGTGCGTGTGTGTACACCGCCCCTTTCTCCCTGCCACCATCCAAACCCTGCCAATAGCACTACGTACCATGCAACACTCTAATGTTATTCTATCCCACCCCAACTCCTCCCCCCTAACCCAACTAGCCAGCCTAATGCGGAATGTGTATCCGTACCAATCCCCTCTCGCAGGAACATCTTCCCCATCTGGGCGCTGGGGCACTACCGGCGGCTGGCGCTGCTGGGAGAGCAGGACATCGCACACTGAGGGGAAAATAAATGAAACGTGCAGCAACTGAAGTCGACACTGAGGGGGGGCCAACAAGAAAACCGCACGGTCCCCTTTACCCCCTTCACTGTAGGAGGAAGGGGGGAGAGAAAGAGAGCAGCTAACCTTATGACAAAGCAAACACTGAGGGGGGGAGGACAAACACTGAGGGGGGTAAGGGGCGACAGCTGAAAGGGTTCGTGTCGAGGGCGGTATGGGCGAACGAGAAGGGAAACTGTGTGGCATGGATTGACCGAAGGAGGGGGATCCAAATGCGGGATCCACAGGCGCCACATTTGTGGGTGAGGGGGGGTTGTTGAGGGAGCAGGGGGAAGGCGGGGGATTGGGGCGTTTGCCGAGCTGGGTCTGAACGACTCATGGGTCACCAGCACAGTATATATGCCAAGATTGGAATTCATGCTGTATCATGTATGGCTGAATGCTGGTAATTTTGGCCTAGTTTAAGCAGGGGGCACTGATTCGTAAGTGCAGTGCTTGCTTGTGTTTTCTTTTCTTTCCTCAGTGAAGGGTACCGGCGAAGGGAAGGCCCTTACCAATCTGGGGATACGGCATGGTGGAACGTCGGCGTAGGGGGGCAACGACAAGGCGCGGCTTTCCAACGCCCCGCGGGGAACAGGAGGAGGCGGGTTTGTGTTCCAGAAAGGAAGGCTATGAAGTACCGTACGTGCGGTCGTGCAGCCTTTCCAACCACACCGCAGTGCTACCGGTGTGCAGGCGCGCAGTGCTGTTGTCGAGTTTGTGCTTGGTGCGTGAGGCAGCGGTGGTGGTGTGGAGTCAGTGACAGCTACCGGTCTACCTGACATGTCCCACCACCGGTAGCTGGGGGTACCGGTAGTCCTGGGCGCTGACGTCTGTTGGGGTCTTCGAAGGCAGTGGGGCCGTCCTGGTGGGGGGGAACGGCTGTGACGCTGAGAAGGGATGGGTGAAGAAGTCTCTTGGATGAAGGGGGTACCCGGCATACGAGCTTGGCGTTGCAGCAGCAATAGCAGTAGCTCGTGGCAGGTCCGCAGCGACGATTGAGTGTCCACAATGCAAGGACCTCTAGGTGCTATTGCGGCATGTACACTTTTGAGCAGAAAAAGGGAATTCGCTTTCAGCTCGGCTCTGTGACCCAGGGCATGCAGAGGGAAGTGCAGAGGCCGTTGCAGTTGGAACACCCCTCCTAAGGCCTAGAGAAAAGGCCTACATACCATACGGTTCCTGTATTGTATCAACACCGAGGCACGCGAGTCAGTACCCGCGATAGTGCGTTTGCAAGCTTAAGGCATTGACCCGAAGAGTTCCAGGGAAGAGGAGTCGAATCACATCATAACCAGGAGGTCATTCTGTAAGCCCCGGGTACAAGGACATCATATCGCGACCCAGAATGCGAATACTGTCTTGGTCTCCTCGCGGGAGGGCGGGACTCAGCAAGTTCGTTGGCAAACGGCAAGAGGCTGTGCTCCTTTGCTAGGAATGAAGGTACATGCGCTTCAAAGCCCCCACTCTGCTTCATGCTATACAATTTCCGGCAGTCATAGTTGCACAGCCGCTGGCTAGCTAGGTCAGCTGAGCCCATGCACATGGCTGTGCCGCAGCTAGGCGACAGAGCTTAAACAGGGCCTAAACCAAAGCCAAAACACATATGCGCAACAGCATTATTCATTTAGATTTAGACAGGAAAGCAAGGATATTGACTCCAATGCCCAGAACAATGCGCAGTATAGGATAACAGGAATGCCATCTAAAGTGCAGTGGTGCCTGATCGGCTGGTGGATGGTCAATGACCGCAAGCGCGCCGGAGCCATCCGTCCGAGCGTTACGGCGGTTTCACAGGAGGCCCTCCTGGCCTTCTGGGGATAAGCCGTACTCTTATCAGTGTGAATGAACATTTATCCGCGCCACCCTTCTCCCTGAGTACTCCACCTCAGGGTCTCAAAACAACATGTCAACCATGATGCAGAAGGTGCGTTGCGTAGCGTAGGCCAGCAACCCAGTTCACGTTTCAGTAGCGATCCTCAGCGACTTTACTTTCTCCGTCGCTTCTTCCACCGCTAAGCTGAAATATAACCAATCATGTACCTAACTTGGCAATTGCAGAGCGTCTTCACTGGCAGCCAGGTGGCTCAGAAGGCCAGCGTTCGCGCCAAGGTGAGGAGTCGGTCGCTCCTTGCACTTGCCCTTGCGCTCCCCTTAGCGACCGCCCATAGTAGTTGAAAAATGTTGATAAAGAACATGTGTCTTTCTATGTTCGACAGCACTGATCTTGCCAGGTCAGCCTTACATTGCCATTGCTTGCGCTTTTCGCCGCCCGCAGGCCACCCGCGCCGTTGTGGACGTTCGCGCTGAGAAGAAGCTCCGCGTCGCTATCAACGGCTTTGGTCGCATTGGCCGCAACTTCCTGCGCTGCTGGCACGGCCGCCAGAACACGCTGCTCGATGTGGTCGCCATCAACGACAGCGGTGGTGTCAAGCAGGCCAGCCACCTGCTCAAGTACGACTCCACGCTCGGCACCTTCGCTGCCGACGTGAAGGTCGTTGATGACTCGCACATCGCGGTCGATGGCAAGCAGATCAAGATTGTGTCCAGCCGCGACCCGCTGCAGCTGCCATGGAAGGAGATGGACATTGACCTGGTCATTGAGGGCACTGGTGTCTTCATTGACAAGGTTGGCGCTGGCAAACACATCCAGGTATGTAGAGAAGCAGGGCAGTCTTTTAGGTGTCCTTTGCGCGCTATTAACTATAAGCCAATACTTTTTGCGAAGTCCTTCTCTTGCGCTTGTCGTCGCTCCTGTCGCGTCTGTTACAGAATAGAATGAAAATAAATGGGTTGGAATCCCTATGCAGGCTGGTGCCAAGAAGGTGCTGATCACTGCCCCCGCTAAGGACAAGGACATCCCCACCTTCGTTGTTGGCGTGAACGAGGCCGACTACAAGCATGAGTACCCCATCATCTCCAACGCTTCTTGCACCACCAACTGCCTGGCTCCCTTCGTGAAGGTCAGTTTCAGTCCGTTGCAATGCGTCGCCGTGCAAGCCTGCGTTCCAGAAGCCGTCGATCGCACAATTTCCAGAGCTCAACGAACAACAGGACATTGCATAACGCCATCAATTTTTTTTGTCATTCGTGAAGGCTTCGCTTTACCTGCATAGCAATATGCTTGCAAGGTTGCAAAAATGCACTCCCCATCCGAAACAAACTATTATCGTAACCCTGCTATCGTCTATCTTCTCTCCCTTCCCTTTCCATTTTACAGGTTCTTCAGGAGAAGTTCGGTATTGTTAAGGGCACCATGACCACCACCCACTCCTACACCGGCGACCAGCGCCTGCTGGACGCCTCTCACCGCGACCTGCGCCGCGCCCGCGCCGCCGCGCTCAACATCGTGCCCACCACCACCGGCGCTGCCAAGGCGGTGTCGCTGGTGCTGCCCGCACTCAAGGGCAAGCTGAACGGCATTGCGCTGCGTGTGCCCACCCCCACCGTGTCCGTGGTGGATCTGGTGGTGCAGGTGGGAGGGGGCGAAAGAGAAGGGAGGATGAGAGGAGAACGGGATGGAGGCGGGGGAAATAAGGAAACTGACAGGCATTTAATGAGCTGAGTGACAGGGCTTCACCATGGATGGAGGGGGGGAGCCGGTGGTACACCAGAGCAACCCGACCCGACAATACCCGACCATGACCAAAGGTGTTAGTTCTGGTTCCTCTCGCGACACCCAACCCCGCACGCCAATCTTGGTGCCCCACCACTACTCCACAAGTGCCGCTAATGCCCTTCTCCTCTCTCCTCCCTCCTCGCTTCCCCCCACGCAGACCGAGAAGAAGACCTTTGCGGAGGAGGTCAACGCCGCCTTCCGTGAGGCGGCCGCGGGCCCGATGAAGGGCATCCTGCACGTGGAGGACTCGCCGCTGGTGTCCATCGACTTCAAGTGCACCGACCAGTCCACCTCCATCGACGCCAGCCTCACCATGGTGATGGGCGACGACATGGTCAAGGTGGTTGCCTGGTACGACAACGAGTGGGGCTACAGCCAGCGTGTGGTGGACCTGGCGGAGGTGGCTGCTCAGAAGTGGGTGGCGTAAGGGGGAGGAGGAGGAAGGGAGGTGGGGTGATGCGGTGTCGCCTCACCTCGCCTCGCCTCTTTTGACATGACGCTACATGACTAGCAATGGTGGTGTGGTATGGTATGTACATTGAGCTGCGCACTCTTGCGCGGCCTCGAAATGCGGAATACACGCTGGCGTCGGCCTGTTGTTGCCACTCCTGCCGGGGTTTCTGTAGTACGATTGTCGGTTGGCAGCCGTACACGGTGTTTTGGCGGTTGGCGAAAACGGTATGCGCTGCTTTCCCCTCTTCATGAACGGGGACACAGGGATCGTGGCGTTTGGGACATCAGCTCTATAGCGATCCGGCTTGTGACCCCAGAAGATGCGGGTTTTGGCTTACAAAAAGCCCGTAAAGCCTCTCGTCATGGCTTTCCGGCACACCCAATTTTGTCTGAGGCTCTGAGGGACAGAAGGGTTTGGTCGGTGCTGCTTGTGACTGCACAGACGGGTTTGTTTCATGGTAGGATGCCTCGAAGTGGAGAAGAAATGGAGTGGTGGCTGCGGTGAGGGACAATGTACGTATCGAATGCCGTACTCAGCGCTACGGCAGTGTACAGGATGTGGTCGTGTGTGAGCTGCACCATCAAGTGGAAGAGAACTTAATTGCGCTCGGCACGCATATGTGTTTCATTTCAGAGTGTGTGTGTTTGAATCTTGTTTTGAGTGAACCCAGAGTGATTGCTCAATTTTGTAACATTAACACGACGAAGATGGCAAAACTTTGACGGTCGGGGGAAATTTAAACCTGGGAAGAGGGAGGGAAACATGCACAGGCGTTAGGCAAACTAAATAAAGAACAACAGTCGGACGCACGAATGGGAAGATTCGTACAACAACGACTGTCGGGCGTACGAAAAGGAAGATAGGTGGAGAAGGCCGGAGTACATACACATACACTCCACGACAAGGAGAGAGGAAGTGAGGGGATAGGCATGGGGATATTAACCGCTACGTGTCACCCAACTTACTGGCGCGCCGCTTAGCATTCCACCAACGTATCGGGCTGCAGCATTATCTTACTGTAGGGCACATGTTTAAGAGCTGCGGCAGACATCATCCCCGGCTGAGGGCAGAGCGTGCAATAAATAGAAAATGCTTGTGACAGCTCTAGAGTCCCAACAATGAAGACGGGCATACGGGGTGTCAGGAAGTTAGGATGATGATGCAGATTACCAGCTTAAGGCTAGTAAGACCCAGACGAGCCAAAAGGCTCAAATACCACTGCAAGAGCAAAAGGCAAAAGTATGGAAAGGGTGCCGACCTGTCTTTAACTACTCAACAGTTGCCGTACGCTGATTGGTACATTGTTTTCAACGGACTGCGATGGTCATGAATCTGCGCATAGCTGCTATCTGCTTGCTGCTTTCGTTGCTGAAATGCATCCCCATCAGCGTACGCATTAGAGTATGGGAGCCGTCTGCACAAAGGCTGGGCGAGAGGAGGCAGCTTTCCTAAAAGCTGCAAAGGATGGGGACTGCCAAGAGGTTCAACGGGTAAGACTGCATGTGAAATCAAGCGAGCGGGGGCTTTAACTGCATGTAGATGCCAACTGGCAAGTGTGTAACACCCTGCTATCACGGTTAAAGCTTGTGAAAATAGCATAATGCTAATCCCGAAATCATGTGTGCGTCAGATCCTGCTTTACATGCATGGCCTGAGTTCAAACGGCCGACCCTGCTTGCATCTTTCCGCAGGCAATTCTGCGTCACGTTGATTGGACTTACAAGACCCAAACATGGAACGGCCAAACTGTGTTTCACTTAGCAGCTCGGCATGGGCGGCTAGACGTCTTGGATACCGTTGTGGAGGCGGTGCGGTTCAATCCTGCCGGACCAGCAGTATGGGAGAAGCTCCTGCGGTGCGTTGACTACCTTAGGAAGTTGGCTCTGCACTACACATGGCCCCTTATCCGTCTCTGTGTTGGTTGACGTCGTTGGGGTGGGTTGCAGCATGCCAAGGCATGCACTTGACTAACAGGGCAGTACCGACAGCTGGGTACGTTTCCCGCGTGGTGTCATCACTGGGACTACGCGGGCCACTGTGACGGGTACCCCGCTAAGCGGGTGGGAATTGCGCCCTGCACGAGGGGCGCCGGGTCGTCTCCAAAACATGCTACGCCAGTGATGCCCATGGATGGGCTTGGGTTTGCCCTCATGCTCAATCCTGGCTGGCTCCATGCTGGCAGATAGCACTGTCAGCATACCCGTTACCCCCATGCCCCTACGAAGCAACTGCGGCTGCTTTCAACCCGGTTCCATCCTCTCACCTCCCTCCCCTTCCCAGATTCCCATGCGCCTCAATCCTGCCCTCAACACAGGCAGCCATCCTCCCAAATCCACTTTCTGCTCCGATGTCCCATCCACTCCGCCATCCATCCCAACCCTCAACCGCTAAACCCTCCTCTCACCCCTACCTCCAACCCCACCTCCTCCCAATCCCTCCTCCCTCCGCCTCCCCCTCCCATGCGCTCACTGCATGAGTCGGGATATGGGATTGGGACTCGTTGTTTCACTTATTTAATTTTTCCCCCTCCCATCCCCGTCCCCATAGGTTAGGTCGCTCCACGGACGCCATCCTGCGCTCCCTGGTGTGCATGCGGGACGCGCGCTGCCAAACGGCGCTGCACCTCGCCTGCATCTACGGCCACGCGGATGTGGCGGAGCAGCTGCTGCGGCTGGGGGCCACGCCCTGGTGCTGGGATGACATTGGTGGGTTGGCGCTGGGAAGCAGATAAACCGGGCCGCTGAAACACTGGCCCTGAGCGTGGTATACCGGAGGATGTTGGCGTCCCGGGTTTGCGATGGGGAGGGCCTGTGGAGGGGTGGAGGAGTGGAAAGGGAGGAGGGTTTGGGAATTGGGTTATGGGTCAGGTTGGTTGATCTGGGTCGGGTTGGTTGGGACATGGAAGGAAGGGGCAACAGACCGGGAGGGAGTTGATGGTGGGGATACCGGTAGAGACGACGTAGGATACGGAGTAGGGACTGGGAAGGTGGGTGGCTCGGAAACATGGAGTGGCAAATCAGAAGGAGAGGGTACCGGTACTTCCCGTTGAGGCCTCCTCCCTCTGCCTCGGCTTGGCTGCTCCACCCCCATCTTCCATCCCACGTTTGCCTGCCCTACCACCACCCCCACCTCCATCTCCTCCCTCCATGATGCAACCCCCCATGGTGGAGCCCATGTCAACAGTTTAGTATACCATAGTTTCTTCCTCCTTACCTCCTCCCTGCCTCCCTGCCCTCCCCCTAGGCGGCCGCTCTCCGCTGCACTACGCCGCCTCCATGGGCCACGTGGACGTCATCCGGGCGGTGCTGTCGCACAACTGCCCGCAGCCCGGCGGCACGGAGCCGGGGGACAGCCTGAGGCCGCCCAACAGCGGCAGGACACGGTGAGGAGGACGTGGATGGGTGGGTCATTGGGTAACATGAGGGGAACGAAAGCAAGAACTGCATGTAAGGGAACGGCACTGGAGGCGGCGGGGTGCGGTACATGGGTGGGTGAGGAGGACGCCTCTGGCGATCGCGGCATGGAGAAACGATCCTCTTCCCAGCAGTGGCAATGTGGCACGCTGATTGGCCTCTATCCTGTCCCTCGCCCCTCCCATCTCTACTCCTACTCCTTCATTTCCCTTTTCTCCTCCCCGACCCACCGGCCCACTCCCACCCGCTCCCACTCCCCCTCCGCAGCCTGGTGGACGTGTCCAACGACGCGGGCTACACGCCGCTGCACTACGCGGTGTGGGCGGGCAACACCGCCGCCATCCGCGCGCTGACCTCGTTTGACGCCTCGCTGTCGGCACGCAACGTGGCGTCGGGGAACGACTGGATTGTGTCGTGCGCCAAGTGCACTCCGCTGCACCTGGCGGCGCACAAGGGCAGTGTGGAGATTGTGAAGATGCTGCTGTCGGCGTATGTGAGTGTGTGACGTGGTTTTGGGGGTGAAATAAAGGAAAGTGACGAAATGTTTGACGAGGCTTCGGGTTGGGAGAGAGGAGCGGAGAGGGCAGGTTTTAATGGGGGAAGGGTGATATGCAGGAGCAAAGGCGGAAAGGAAGGTGAAAGGGGGGGAAAGCTCATGCCGCAAGGAAGGGCAATGTGAAGCGGGGTTGGAATGCACAACTCCGCATGCTTCATTTGCTCCATTTGGGTCGTAGCACGCTTCTGCCACTATGTTGTCAGCCTTCTGCACCCGCATCTGCCCGCATCCGCACTTCACCTGTAGCAGAGGTCCCCCCCAGCCTGCCTGCTAGCCCCTTGCTTCTCTGACCGTGTCCTCACCACACACCGTCCACTAAACACATGCCTACTTCCTCCTCCCTCCCGCAGGTACAAGGCCTGGCGCCCACCACCGCCGCCGGCACCGTCAACCCATCAGACCGCCGCCGCCGCGACCCCCGCCGCCACGTCAACGCCAACCGCCAACTGCCGTACCACATGGCAATCGCCCGCGGCTTCACAGAGCTAGCAGAGGTGCTGCACCCTGATGTGCCGCTCTCCTTCATCCTCACGCCAGCTGACCTGGAGGCCACACAACGACTGTACGGTCCTCCCCGACTTGCCGTACTCGCCGCCAAAGCGCTGCAGGCGAAGCTGGTGGCGGAGATCGAGGCCTCCATGGCCGCTGTAAAGACGACGGCGGCGCGGTCAGGCAGTGTTGCCATTGCGGGCGCAACCCGTACGCGGTCCGGATCCCTGGCTGCGTTGTCAGGTGCCGTCGCCGCGGCGGCGGTGGCGGCGGGTCCGTCCGCTGCGACGGCGCAGCAGGTGCTGGCGGCGGCGGCTGCCAAGCTGCGGGAACGGTCGATTGACGCGGGGTCGGGTACAGCGACGCCCGGGGCGGCGGTGGATAGCCCGGCGGCGGCGGGCGGGGTTCGCCCACCCTCACGTAACGCTGCTGCAGCGGCGGCGGCGGCGGCGGCTTTGTTGTTGCCTTCCGGGCTGCAAGCCCAAAGCGGGGAAGCTCTGAGGATGCGGTCGACGCGTCCATCTCTTGACAGTGCGGCAGCGGCAGTCGTTGCAGCGGCGGCCGTGGCGGCGGCCGCAGCCGGCAAGACCGCATCCGTTACGGGGCCTTCTGGCGTTTCTGCGGCCGCTAAGACGCCATCTGTGACGGGCGTGAACGGCGGCAGCGTTACCGCAGGCGCGGCCTCCACTGGCGCTGCTGCCGCCGCTGCTGCTGCTACCGCTGCTGCTCCTGCCGGCGCCAGCGCGCCGGCTAGGGGCACGCTCGTCCCCCCGAGGATGGCGTTGCCCGCTGCGCCGGTATCGCACGGGTCGTCCGGCGGGTCGGATCACGAGGCCCTTGCGGTAGAGCCGCTGCAGGTGACCATGCCTGAGTAGGAGGGGGGTGTTTGTCATGGTTGAGACCTACCGTTGGGTAGGGTTGGGTACGTGTGGGTAGCTCCTGCGTAGGGGGGCTCTAGAAAGCAAACGCACTCATGACACCCTGTTTCCGATTAGCAAGTCCGTGCGCTGTGTCACCGCAAGCCCTAGTCAGCTACCGTCGCTAACACTGCCACCGACGCCTTCCTCCTCCACGCCTTCCCCCTTACACAGGACGTTCCCGTGGCTCGCTCCGTCCCCGCACGCCAAGCCTCGCTGCCCGTCCCACCCGCCCCCATCTCGCCCTTCCTCCCTACTTCACCAACCGCCGGCGCCGCAGGCGCCGCCGCCGGCGCGCCCACCCATACTTTCAACCAAGCCGCTTCCGCCTTTGCGATGTTCGCTGCCGAGCCCTTCGATGAGGACTTTGCTGTGCGCGCCGGCCAGCAGCTGCACCTGGACGGCACCGCCTCCGTCAACCTAGCCACACTGGCGCACAGCCGTGCCATGAACGGCGGCGGCGGCGGGGGAGCTGGGGCGGCAGCAGGAGAAGGGGAAGGGGGTGGAGGGGGTCGCATGCTGGAACTCACGGGTAACAACTCGGTGTCGCTGGCGGCGCTGGCACGCAGCCACGTGCGCGATGCGGTGACGGCTGGCATGGAGGGGCGCGGAGGCGATGGTAAAGCTGCAGCAGGTGCTGGTGCTGCCGGTGGTAACAACAGGGTGAGGTTGTTGCGGGGAGGGGAAGGGTATGCGTGGGGGGGACGAGGGCTTTTGCTCATAGATGTGCTCGGGCAGTTGCTGTCCCAGATAGTCTTCCACGTTATGCTTATTTCCTCTACCTGTGTCTGAACTGCTTCGGTGTGTTTGCATGCCGTCCGCATATCCCAAACCCCCCCCCCGCAGGCCGCCGCCAACCGCATGAACAGCCTCCGCTCCATCCTGACGCTCCGCCGGCTCCGCGCCACCACCCAAAACGGCGCCACCACCTCAAACGGCGCCACCACCAACGGCGTCACAACCACAACCAACAACAACAACCCCCAGCAGCTGCAGCGGCGCGAGCTGCTGCTTGCGGAGCAGCTGGGCATGGAGCTGGATGACAATGACGACCTGGACGACATCCTAACCGCCATGCAACCGCCAGAAGAGGCGGACAGGCAGGCTGCGTCTGCAGGAGCGCCGGTCGCCCGTGCCGCGGAGGACATGGCAGGCAGCCCGGCGGCCGCCACGCTAGCAGCCGCTGTGGCGGCAGCGGCCAGTGCGTCGGCTTCCACACCGGCAGGCGCCGCGCCAGCGACGCCGCGGTCGCGTGGCGGCACCCTGGCATTCTGGCGGCGGCCCACGTCAAGCACCGGCATCTCGCGGGCGTCCTTGGACCATCAGCGAGCGCTGTTGGCGGGTGCAGGCGGCACCCTGCCCACGCGGCCGGGAAGGACGTCCAGTGGCGGCTTTCGCGATCGTGCGCCACGAACCTCACTTGGCGGTATTCGGACTGGCAGGACGTCCAGCGGGGGCATTCGGGATGTACGGACGACGACCAGCAACGACGCTTCACCGCGCGCTGGAACGCCTCTTGCGGCATCGGCTGGTTCGGCATCAACGACACCGCATACGGCGGCCTCCACGGGACGCGCCCGGCGCTTCTTAAGCCCCTTTGCTGCCGCCGCAGCCGCACTGTCAGCTGGACCGGCGTCAAGTGCACCGCCGTCGCCATCGCCTGCGCAGACAGGCAACGACCTCCCAAGGCCGTCCATGCACGCACCTCGAGCCTCACCCTTGGCTGCGCCCGTCATTACCCGGGCATCCGTGGATGCGCCTCAGTCCTCTCATCCTGACAACGCCGAACTGCAGACGCCAGCCGCTGCCGACGCCTCCCTCCCTGCTGGTTCCGCCACGACCACCGCCCCCAATGACGACGACTCCACCTCCATCCCCGACGTTGACATCGACCGCTCCACCCGACTCTTGGGTCGCTCCTCAATCACCCTCGCAGTGCTGGCTCGCAACCCAACTGCTGCAGCTCCGCCGACGGAGACTTCCGAGCCGCAGGTGGACCGCGCCGTGTTGGCCATGCTGGCCGGTCTAGTGGAGGCGCCCCATCAGGTGCTGCGCCGCTACCGCCTGCTGCAGCTCACACACGGGCTGGACCTGCATGATCTGCTGCGGGACCACTCCGAGGCGGCGGCGGCAACGGCGGCTGCCGCGGCGTCGTCGACGCTGGGAGCCCCGACGGCGCTGGCGACGGGCATGGCAGCCGCAGGAGGAGCAACGGCGGCGGCCATGGTTGCTTCTGGTTCTTCCACCGTGACGGCGGCGGCAGGAGGGTTGCCTGGGGATGCCCCGGCGGCAGCAAAGGTAGCGCTGGTGTCGGCTTTGGCGCGAACCGCATCCGACGCCAAGTCGGCGCTGCCGAGCAGTCCTGCCGCTGCAGAGTGTGCGGCTGCTGCTGCCAGCGGGGCCGCAGGTGGTGCGGGCACGGGTCCTTCAAGCGGAATCATGCGGCGCTCGGCTAAGCTGCCGGAACCCACCGTGCCTGCGCTGTCGCTTGGAAGGAGCGGGGCCGCGGGCTTCCTGGATGACAGTATCGTAGCCGCCGCTGTTGCGGCAGGAGCAGCTTCGCCGGGGCCCGCCGCTGCTGCTGCTGCTGCCACGTCAAGCCCAGGTCCTTGTACCACCTCGGGGCGCGGCGTGGGCAACCGCTTGTCCCTTGAACTGCATGGCGGCGGCAAAGCGGACATCGCCGCTGGCGGCCCTGGCCATACCGTTAGCAGCTTGGCGCGCGCATCTGCGGGCGTGAGCCCGTTTGCTGCGGCGGCGATGGTGGCTGCCGGTGCTGTCGGTAGTGGCAGCGCGGGTGTTGCCAGCGCCAACGCCGCCAATGCGAGCTTGGCGGGTCAGCTGCTGCGCACGCTGTCTTCGCAGGCGCCTTCCGAGAGCGGCGACGGCGTGTGCGGCGTGTGCTTCGACCTGCCCGACTACCTGACCATCTCCACCTGCGGTCACCGGCTGTGTGCCGACTGCAGCCGTGAGCTGTGCAAGCTGAACGCCTTCAAGCCGGCACTGTGCCCCTTCTGCCGCGGCTTCATCGGGGGGTTCAAGTATGAGCGTCGCTGAGCTGGTAGGCCTGAGTCGGGGCCTTGCGTGGAGGGCCGTAAGAGAAATAGTTCTTCCGTTTTGCAAAGCTTTTATTTTTGCTTATATAGTAAGGCCAGGCAAGTTGGCCATAATTTATAACGTCTCCGGTTTTCGGGGAAGGCGAGGGTCAGTGAGCAATATATGTTTAGGACCGTGAGAGATTGTCACTGTTTGCGATTTCGGCCGAGGGCAGGGGCCGCTGTCAGATGGCTTTTAGATGGTAAGTGAAAAAGACAGACAACCGCGCGGGCATGCATGGGGGTCAGGATGCGCCTGTCCTAGCGATGTAGAGGATTTAAATATTCGTCAGCGACGACTGCATAAAGTGATTTCATAGGTTTGGGTTGCCCTGCTGTGCCGTACATACCCACTCTGAGTCGATGGATTGCGGTGCTTTGGGACGTGCGGTTGTCATTTCCATTTGGGCATCTACGTGCATGCGTTAGATGCTGCAGCCGAGTCCTGGACTTGCATACCTTCTCTCTTGGTTGGTGGCCGACCTGTGTACGTGGACCTGTGACATGAAGCGTCCATGTGTCGTCAGTGCCTTTTTCCTGGTTTGGGGGTGTAGTGTTTGCTAACGCTGGTGTGGTAGCCAAGTTGACACTCATACGCGCTTGTATGCATGCTACGGGTGTTTTGGTGCCGCTGCTGCTGTACCACGTCAGTTGTTCAGTGACCCATTCTTTGTGCTCCTGCTGGCGGCTCTGACCTGTCAACTGATCCGCTGCTCGATTGGCAGTGGTTATGTTTGTGCGCGCGACAGACGTTTCCAAGAGCTCTGTTGCGATGGCGAGAACGCTTAACTGTATTTCCCAACGATAGGTCGTGTTAGGGGTCCAGTACCGCGACGGCCTCGTCATGTATGCATTTAACTACGTACAATCCTTATGTACACGAAGGATAGCTGGTGGATAGCATGCCTGTAAGTCCCCCAACGTGTCTCGTTACATGACATTTGCTAACTGAGATTTTGCTCATGCCACACGGTCAAAAGCTAAGTGTAACGAGGTCTACGGAACGCACGAACCCAAAAAGCTGCGTTTCTGTGCATGACTAAACCCGTACGGTACTTACTACGACGTGCTGCTGCTGCATTCCAACACAGCTGCTTGTACCGGTAGCTGCATGGCTGCTTCAATGTCGTCTGATGTGCGTGGCAGTATTCCGGAAGGGAGACATTTACCACATACTCCACGTTACACGTTACAACGCGTCTCCCCGCAGGTGCGTCGCTCTCCACGCAGCCCGTCAGCTGCGCAGCTCAAAACCCCCCTTCCCCCCACGGCTCCCCCAGCTCTACACAGCGCCCTCCTGCTTAGAACTTCATCAGGTGCGGCCGGTCGCCGTCCTTGAGCGTGAAGCGGGTGGACAGGTAGCCCTTCAGCTCAGCGGACAGGGCGGGCAGCAGGGCAGCGTCCAGGGTCTTCTGGTTAGCAATGTACTCCTGGCTGAGCTCCTTCTTCTTGGCGTCAGCAGCGGTGAAGAACTCCTTCTCGCTCTTGCTCTCCGCAGCCTTGAAGTAGCTGTCAGTGAACTTGGAGAGGTCCAGCTGAGGCAGCTCCACCTTGGTGCTGGTGGCGATGACGTACGCCGCGTTCACGCGGCGCGCCGGCACGCCGTTCAGCTTGAAGGGGCCGGTCACCAGCAGCAGGCCCGAGGGCAGCTGGCCGAGGAAGACGACCCTCTTGCCCTTAAAGCGGCCCGCCAGCAGAATCAGGACTGTTCCTGGCGTAATGCTGGCCCTGAGCTGAGTGGGCTTGTTCACAGCCCGGTGCGCCAGAGGCTTAGGAACATCATCGGCAGGGTAAAAGCGCGGCGCCTTGCCCTCAGCAGGAGCAGGCGCAGCCTTCTTAGCGTGCGTGGGGAACTTGCCGCCGTTCTTCTTCTTAATCGCCCACAGACCCTTGCGCCTGCGGGAGGAAGCATGGCGTCCAATTATTTGGCGGCGCGCAGACAATACAGGGAGCTTTAGCTCTATGCAAACAATACTTCAAAGATAAAAGAATGTTCCTACTAAGTAAGGCTAATAAAGCTAATTATCTGCCGGTAACAAATACGCACTTGTAGGTCTTGGCCCGGCCCTCGGCCGTAATGCCGCGGGCAATGAACGTAGCGGGCTTGGCCATGGTCGCGGCTGGCAGCAACTACCTGCTGAAAGAGGGATTCTCCGCGCAAAGCTGGCTCCTTGTGCCCACGGCGTCGGCGGCCGTCGTACAATAAGCCCATCAAGTGAAAACGTGCCCCATCCGGCAAAACTCACATTGCGTCTAAAATATTGTCCTGAAGAATTGCCCAAAATGCCACCGTGGTTTGCTGGTTCTATATTACCCCAAAGGCAATCTTACCCTAGCGCTTCTTGGGAGCCCAACTCTGGTATTGCCCCTTTCCATGCCTAGTATATTACAGTAGTCACGTTCTGCTTCCTGATGCCCTGGCCTGTGCCCTGGCCTTGGCTACCGGTGTTGAACTTGGCGTGGGGGAGACCTGGGCACAGCTTTTTGCGCAGTGACAGCCGCTATGCCGACGGGACATACAATGACATGCAGCATTGGTCCTTGGGCAGCACGCATGTTGCGGCCATGCTCCTTGGCTGCAGTTGGCCATGTGGACATTTCGCTTCGATATCTGCGGAAACTACAGTTTGTGCAGTTCCCCTTTATACAACGATAGCATTGAGAATCTAAATTGCGTAGGTGGAAGTTTTCAGAAAGGGCACTGCTTCTCTACTCCCGTTTGTGCTGAAACAGCATTGGAACCTTCGGCGGTTGGTGTGCGCGGCACAAAGGGTTATCAGTACAAGGGAGGGTGAAGAGGAAACAACTAACTGATTGAGGGAGGGGTTGTGCATGGAGGTGCGTTTGCATTACATACCCATGGGCTACCTCTTCATCTAGCGGGGTACATCAGCTAGCGGGGTACAGCATACGGGGTACACGGCCAAAACCGTGTGTGCCCTGAACACCAAGCTTCAGGTGAATGTGAGGGCAAGGCCGGTAAGGAGCCCTTGAAATGTCCGGCCTTCAGGGCCGGAAGGGGGACCCTCGCATACCGTTGCCACCAGTTTAGGTGAAGCCTGGAATGGAGACGACAGGGTCCTCGCCATGGCTGTGGTACTCAACCCTACAAACCGGGCACATCGTTTCTGGCAAGGCTCCAACGGAGCGCGAAATTGATGCAAAGGAGGTTATAGTTGAAAAGGTGCGTGGCTGGAAACGAATGCTACTTTGTATGTCGGCGGTGTCGCCAGGCTTCGCTCCACACCGGTCCACTCCTATTGTCGATTGGTTCGGATACTGTTGCTAAGCAAGCACACAGGCCATGGGTTGGGTAGGAAACGCGGTGGTATGCAGAAGTCCAAGTGAACGTAACCTCGAGGCCATCATGCTTGAAAAGATGGGTCAAGGTTGTCTCACAGTTGGGTGTTAACGGCCAGCTTCCGTCAAGGTCTACGCGTATGACTAGATGCCTCGGGGATGTGACGAAATGCATTTCTCCTGTGCATCATCAGCGATTGAAGCAACACCTTCGTGGCCTGGGCGGTCCAAGAAAGTGTCCTAATTTTTCGCAACACTGTTAGGTCTGGCTAACGCAAGAGCTGATGTTAACAAGCTCCAGAGCTCTAGCTTTGTCATTGCTTGGCGAATGCTCGAACGCAGCGTTCGACAAACGTTCGATACTGTACGATACCAAATATACGGATAGGGGCAGAAGCTGGTGTCGCATCTTTAGATGGTGTTGACTCTGGTTTATATTATACCTATTGGTACGCAGCTGAAATCCAATCCACTTAGACCGCTTGGTGCTAAGGAAAGCCCAGTTGGGCGAATACACACTTTCTTCGTCGGCGGAGACGAGGAAACCAATAGAGACCGTCAGGCGGAAGAAAACAGGTACTTCAACGTGGGCGTGGATGGTTTGCCTCGAGTGGGCGGGACAAGATGTCTGCTTGCATGGCCTTCCGGTCGCTTCTCAGTGCCTCCCTCCCACTGGGTTGTCCCTACAGGATGGACGGACCCAACAGGCCAACGAACGTCAACTCGAGCGTTGCAGCGACGAAAACAGCTCAGGCCACTCAGCCTCAGGAGGTTCTTGGCCTTGGAGACACCCATGTAATGGTAGTTATTATGATACTTCTGCTTCTAGGCCTAATGCGGGCGGCAATGTCGCCATGCATTTGCTCCTAAATTGCGGACCTGAGTTCGGCAGATGACATGCCTTCTGCCTCGTATTGCATGGAGGGCCGATGCTCGGCGCCGTGAGCCATAGTAAACACTGTCTTGTTGATAATGAGTTACCTGTACTCCGGCTTTGGGTAGGACAACCTATGTACTTTTAGGACTTCCGAACTGTTGCTTCATTGCGGGTTTGTATTGGAATAAAACACATGTGCGGTGCGCTTCGTTAGTCGTGACCAGCCCTGCACTTTCTTCTGCGTTTGTGTACCCTCTTCAAACGTACCTTCTTATGTTCGGGGTTGGTCATGTCGTCCTGTACGCTTTACAACACATGCCGCCCGTCGTCGTTCAGTAGTTGTTTGCCTGGTATTGACGTTGCAAATGGTAGTAACCCCCTGGTGTAGATCGCCGGTCGACCCGTGGGCCGGGTGAGCTAGGTTTCTTGACCGGTGGACCGCACGCGCAGCCAATGTGTTGCCCCCGAATGTCACCCTGACTGTTTGTTGGTGGTATTGGGGCACACGCGCTTGAAGGGTGTACTTATTAACTGACGCATGAGGGGCATGACGCATCTAACCCTAGTGACGTATTAACCTGCAAACTTCTTTAGGTGTAGAACTCGCGGATGGAGGCATTTACGCTAGGCCTCCTGTACCCTGCCTGCACAGTGGAAATCTGTTATCGGTGGTGTAACCTGCAACGGCTCAGATGGTGGCTCCAGCAGTTACCTGTTATGCGCGTTACGACGTTAGTTTACATGCGTGTCAAGCCTGAGTACAGCATGTTGAGAGCGCACGGCCATTTGCAAGCCGCTATGGTCGCACCAGAACCATGCCTGCGATACGGCAGTAATTCTCGATTTTGGGTGTGCTGACACTCAGTAATCATACCTCCTAAAATCACACTTTACACCGGGCCCGTGAGACTGCTACTGCTACAAACGGGCAACTCCATACCTTCAGAACATGTGTTGCATTCCATAACCGGTTCCGTACCCTACAGAACATGTGCTGCTCCGCCTAGGATGCGTCACATGCGTGCTTGCAGCTACGAAGAAGGCTAAGCTGAGCAAGCCGGGAATCACAGCGATGGACTGCTCGGTCGATGCCGTATTGCCGTTCGTCATGCCAAGGTGGTTACCGGTAGCTGTTGTTATTGTTGGAAGTTTGGCAAAAAGCACAACAAGGCCATTCAGAGCACTTTGCTTGCTATATCATTCTGCAGGATTCATACAGTCGTAGTCAGAATGGTACAGACTCACCAAGTCACCATCGACTGTAGCTAGGAGCCGCAGAGACGATGCTCCAAACGAAGGAGAAATTGTAGACGACAATGTTTATTGCGACATTGTCTGGGTGCTTGCGGAAAGCACGGCCTGCCTTAGAAGCTGTCAGAATGTCACGGTACTGTGGACCGCTTAGAAGCCCGCGAGGCGACGACACAATACTATTGACCTTAATAGCGTAGAGCATTGGAAAGGAATGGACCGTATACTTAAGGCGAGTTATGGTGACCAAGGTCAGCGGGACGCCAATGCAAAAGGACGAGTGCCTCGTGCGCAAGCAGCGCAAGTGGAGGCGGCTTTTAGGGAGAAAAGAGCAGCGAACCCAAGAGCTGAGGTGCGAGGAGTCCAGGAACTCAGCATACTGCCCCTCATAGCTTCCATCCATCGGACGGCATCCATGGGCTACTCCGAAGTTCTTACGCTCACTGTGCCCCCTGACTTGAAACGCAGCTGCCACCACCTCCTTCCGGCAACGGCCCATTGTTCTGGGATGCTAAGCACCAAGGTAGGGTAGACCCTGCGTGCTCACGCTCTAGTCGCCCACCGACCTAGCACCCACCGACCTAGCACCCACCGACCTGTCATCCGCCGACCTGACACCCACCGACCTAGCTGTCGCACCGCTACGCCTCCCACTTCGCCGCGCACTCCTAAAATCAAAGTGTTACGTTAGCCTGCGGTACACCTACCTCCGTTACCGCTTGCAGGGACGCCGTACGGCCTGTTTAACGCGAAGCCGCAAGCGCCACCGCCGCGGCGCGAGGTGAAGGTGAGGTGTGGAAGGCACTAGGGGAGAGATGAGGGAGCGCGGCTTTGACGTCATGGCGGGATACGTGACTGGGAAGGGGGCCAGGGAGGTGCACACCCACAGCAGGAACCCACACAGGCCCCTTGACCCTCACCCCCCCTTCCTTCCCTGCCCCTCCCTCCCTGCCCCTCCCACCTTACCCGCTTCCCTCCTCTCCACCGCCCGGGGCAGGTGGAGATCCGCCCCGGCATCTTCCACGTCGTGGAGCAGCCCGCAGCAGCAGCAGGGGCGGGGGCAGCTGGAGGGGCGGGGCCGGCAGGGGCGGGTGGCGGCGGTGGTGTGCGGCGAGCAGGGGGAGGAGCAGGTGCAGGGGGCGGGGGCGGGCGGCCCACCAGCGCCCCGCCGCGGACCCGCGCACCAGCAGCACCCGCCGTGGGTGGCGGAGCAGGAGGCGGGGGCGGTGGGAGGGGAGGAGGGGGAGGGGGAGGGGCTGCGTCTCCTGGGCCCGCCTACCCCGGGCGCCAGCAGGCATGGCAGCAGGCCGCGCCTCACCACCACCAGCAGCAGCAGCGGTCTCCCGCCTCCCCCGGCCCCTCTCCTGGCCCCTCTCCTGGCCCCGCCCCTGGCCCCGCTGCGCCGCTGTCCCGGTCTGCGGTGGTGGGTTTGCTGCCGGCGGTGGCTCAGCTGGAGGAGCGCATGCGGGGGGCGCTCAAGAGGGCGGCGGCGGTGAGGGGGGGGCGGTGAGGGGGGGGCGGGGGGGTATTGGCGTATTGGAGAGAGGGCGAGGGGGGTGGAGTGGGTCAAGGTACGGAAGAGATCGGAGAGTGTGAGTGAGAGAGTGAGTGGGAGCGTGAGGGGGTGTTGAGGGGAGAGGTGTGGGAGGAGGGCGGCAGGTGGGGTTCAGACAGGGAGGCATTGAGGGAGCGATTGTGGGATGTAGGGGTGGGGGTGCCGCGGCGTGGGCGCATGACGCGGGCATGGTGTCACTCCCAGCTTGGGCTTACTCTGTTTCCCCTGTCCTCCCTCTTCCCCCTCTCCCTCCCTCCCCCCCCTGTCCTCCCTCCCCCCCCTCTCCCTCCCTCCCTCCCCCCCCCTGTCCTCCCCCCCCAAAGGTCCATGTCACCGAGCGGACGGTGCTGCTGGGCGCCTTCGGGGCGGAGATGGGGCGGCGATACGTGGAGCTGGGGCCGGCGGATAAGGTAGGGTGGGGTGGGGGGCCGGAGGGGGGCAGGGGCGCGAGGAGGGGGGCCAGATGGGGGAGGCGGGTTGGGAGCATGGGCGGGTTGGGTTGTGTTAGTGGTCAGCGGCCTAGCTAAGCCGTGCAGTCCCGTTTCCGTACGTTTCCCATTTCCGTACGTGACAGTTGGAGAGCTTGCGGGTCCAGCCTGCCAAGACAGCCCCAGTCCTCGGCAACCCGCCGTATCCGGGCCTTGTGAGGGTCCTTATATCTCCCTGCCTACCGGTATGCCTCCCCTCTCTCCTGCCTACCGGCTCCCTCCCCCGCCGGACTGACCCATGGGTCAGGTGACCCCCGACCAGTTCGTGGCTGTGTGGCGGCGCCTGGGGGTGACCCTGTCTCGGGACCTGGCAGTCGCCTTCTTTGAGAAGTACGGCAGGGACGCGCGGGGGCTCATGCCGGTGCTGGTGAGTTACGAGTGTCGTACTGGGGTTCGGTTTGGGTTTGACTGCTGGGTGTGATTTCACTCTGGAAGCGTGCTACCTTGAATTGGTTGGTGGTCGGGGCTTGCTGGCTGAGTGGGTTCCTAGCTTCCTACCAAGCCCGCTTCCCTCTCCCCGCTCCTCGTCCTCCCCCACCCTCCTCACCGGAGCCGCACTCCTCCCCCATGGATCGCCACGAGTGCCAGCAGCTTGGCTTTACCGCCGTGTTCTTCGCCTACCCTGCCTCATTTACCCTGCCTCCTTTACCCTGCCTCCCTCCCCCGGGCAGAACTTCACGGAGGCTCTCGTGATGGGCGGCTCGCGGCAGGACATGGCGGGCGGGGCGGAGGGCGTGCAGCGGGGGGCCTACCTACCCGGCAAGCCAGCCACACACACCGGCAAGATCCTCTACCCCGAGTGCAAGAAGGTGGGTGGGATGTGGGTGGGTGGGTAGGGAGGGGGTGCATGGGGGGTGCAGAGTGGGTAGGGAGGGGGTGCGGAGGAGGGGCGCACAGCTACACAGGGGACGTGCCGCGGGTGAACGGGGGGGTGGGAGGGAGGCGGGCGAGGGCACGACGGGTGAGGTTTCCAGGTGCCCGCTGAAGGGGCAGGTGAGGAGGGCGTCAGGCAGGGTCAGGCGCACCTTCTCCTGCCTCCCCTTCCTCCTGACGTTGTCCTTGTGTTCGTGTGTTCGTGTGTTCGGACCGGGTTTGGTAGTGCCAGCCGTACAGCCCACCTCCCTCGTGACGGGCCCCTTCCCCCAGGGCGAGCCCCCTTCTCCCCCTGTTGCTTCATTCTTCATTGCCCTTCCTCCCAGGGTGTGTGGCCCCCCAGCAACTGGGACCCCCGGCTGGCCGAGCGCTCCGCCCAGCTGCCCGCCGCGCGATTGGAGCTGCAGTTCGTACACGGATACGACGGGTGAGGGTGCGGGGGGGAAGGGAGGGGGGGAAGGGGGGTGGGAACATAAACGCAAAGTGGAGCAACGGAGTGGGAGGGTTGAGGTGAGGTGGGGTGGGGTGAGGAGGTGAGGGCTAATGGCATGAGGTCAGGCGAGTGGGAGTTCTGTGGCGAAGGAGAGGGAGAGGGAGAGGGTGTGGCTTGGTGGTGGCTGGCATGCTGGTAGCAGTTGTGAAGTTGAGCCGCGGGGAAGCACGGACTGCCCGACTGCGGGTGAGGGGGGGTCAAAGACCATACCAAACCAGGTACGGGTGAGGGGGGGGGGTGAAGTCGGTTTGACCCCTCTCCCCGTAACCCCATGGCGTATGAACCCCCTCAAGCGGTCTCTCCCTCCCTCCCCCGCCCCGCCCCCCCAGCCACCTGGCTACCTCCCCCAACACCTTCTACACCGCGGGGGGGCAGGTGGTGTACTCGGTGGCTGCACTGGGGGTGGTGTACGACAAGGAAACACACACGCAGGTGAGGGGGACTGGGGGGGATTGGCCTCCTACGTGGCCCCTCGTCCCACAACGTCGACTCCTCCTGCCCGACCACACGCAACCTCACCCCATGCACCCACTCCCACCCCCCATGCAGCGTTTCTTCTCGGGCCACGATGACGACGTGCTGTGTCTTGCGCTGGCTCCCGACCGCACCACCGCCGCCACGGGGCAGCTGGGGCGGCAGCCGGGGGTGGCGGTGTGGGACACGGGGGAGGGATGCAGGCGCCTGGCGTGGCTGCCGATAGAGTGAGAGGGAGGGGGTGGCGGTGTGGGAGGGTGGTGGTGGTGGTAGAGTGCACGAGATGTTCCCCCCATTGTGGGTAAACAGGAAGTACCGGTACTGGCCATGTGGAAAGGGCGGTAAAGAGGAAACAACCAAGGGGGGCACGAAGTCTGGGTGGGGTGGGGAGCGGGCCTGCTGTTGCAAGAAAGAAGGGGCTGCGGGGGAGGGGGTGAGGAAAGAAAGGAAAGAGAGAGGTGTGGCGTCACGGGGATCCCCTTTTCCTCGTCTGCTTCACGCACCTTCCTCTTCCACCACCTCCTCCGCACCCTCAACCCCTGCAGCAACCTGCCCACCTCTGGCCCACCCTACCCCCCTTCCCCTCCTCACCACCTCCCCCCCCCCTCCCAATTAGCAACCCATGGTGGAGCCTCGTCATTCAATTTGTCAGTGTTTCTTTATTTTTACCCCCCTCCCCCTCCTCCCCCCCCCCCTCCTCCTCCCCCCCCTCCTCCCCCTCCCCCTCACCCCCAGTCGCGAGTACCGGGGCGTGCAGGCGCTCGCCTTCTCCCCCGACCCCACCTCCTCCGCCACCTCCCGCCTCGCCGCCGTCTCCTCCGACCCCTCCCACTGCCTCCACATCTGGAGTTGGCGCTCCCGCACGCCCCTCTGTGCGCCGCGCAAGTCGCAGCCGGGGGCGCCGCCGGCGGTGTACGGAGTGGTGTGGAGCAAGTTCGAGCCGGACAGGTGGGGGGAGGAAAAGAAGAATACCCAATGTGCTGAATGAGAGTGGCAAACAAGCCGACGAGCTCCAGGCGGGGGGAGGAAAGAGGATGAAGCACACGGTGTATGGGCGTTGGTGCGTGGGTTGTGACGGGGAGGTGGTGCGCTGCACGATCCCGGTGTGTGTGTTTTTGCTTGTGGGAGGAGCAAGGGCACATGCGGGAGAGGAGGGAGCTGGTGGCATCTTTGTCCGGCAGGCGGTGGCGCTGGTGTGAACCCTAAAGCCGTACTGCACTAGCCGTACTGCCGTACCGTACTGTACTAACCGACTGACATGGAGGGCGGGGCTTGGAGGACGGGAGGACTTGTTGATTAGGAGCCGTCCGCGGTTCTGGTATTTGCGTGACCCACCCCACCGCTCCCCACCGCGTCATGCGTGATCCACCCCACCGGCCCCCACCGCTCCCCCACCACCCACCACCCCACTGCGCCAGGCTTGTCACCTACGGCGCCAACCACATCAAGTTCTGGCGGCTGCAGCCCGACCCACGCGGACCCGCGGGTCACTCCTCCCTCGCCCCCACCAGCGAGGCAGGGGTGTTTGCAATCGGCAAAACACACACGGTCGTGTCCGCGTGCTTCCTGCCCTCAGGCATCGTTCTGGCGGGTAGGGCAGTTGGCAGGCCTGCAGGGAGGAGGCAGACAGACGATGAGGGCACGGGGGGTTGGGGGTGGCGGCGGTGGTGGCGTGGTGGGGTGGGGAGGGGTTTTCCGAAATGACACGACTTGCACACACGGTTTCCAAGCGCTTTGCTCCCGCATCCATGCTGCTGTTTGTCTGCCTCCCATCTGTACATCCTCTCCTCTACATCCGACAAGCGGGGCTGCGTACCTGTGTCCCCTTCCTCTCCCCTCCCTCCCTTCGCTCGTAAGTTTCCTTCGTAAGTTTCCTCTTTTCTCCCTCCCTCCGCTGCCCACCTGCTCCCACCCACCCACTCAGCTGCCTTGTCAGTTTCCTTACCTCCACCCACTGCACCCACCGGCACCCGCCCGCGCAGGCAACGAGGCGGGCTGCATCTGCTCCTGGCGCGGCTGCCGGCTGGTGCGGGAGACGCAGGCGCACGCAGCGGGGCCGCCCGCCCGCCGCCCTGACGGCAAGCCCTGCCTGGGCGGGGTGCGCTGCCTCACGCTGAGCCGGGGGCCGGGGGGCGGGGACAGCGTGCTGCTGAGCGGCGGGGCGGACGGGTGAGCGGCGGGGCGGGGGGCGGGTGAGCGGCGGGGCGGACGGGTGAGCGGCGGGGCGGACGGGTGAGCGGGGAAAAGAAAAAACTCCAATGTTTGTGGTGTGATAGTGGTAAACTAGCTGACAAGCCCTGGGGGGGAGGGGAGGAGGTGCGGGTGGGTGTGGGTGTGGGAGGAGGTGTGGGTTGGGCTCTCACTGCGGTGGGGGCCGGGGAGTGGGTACCCCACCCACCATCGCACCCATGAATTCGACCACGGCAAGGGAGTGGGTAGTGGTTGCCACCGTCATGCCATCTTGCTTCATACCTTTCTCGGCCTTTTGGCTCAGATCATGTGTAGTATCTGTTCTTGTAAGTCTAATCGCTTACATGGTCCTCATTGAGGACCTGCGATTAACTTCAATATTTTGAGTGGGTGCGGTCAATGGGTGCGCTTGCGCTCCCGACCCACCAGCATGGTTGCGGCCTTACACTACCGCCGTAGCCGTGCACCCTACCCATCTAAATCCATGACAAATGCCAATCTGATTACAATTATTGAGAGGAAAGCGGCAGAACTTACCAGTGCGTGGTTTGGATGGATGAGGAAGACAAAGATGCAGGAACCAGTGCACCCCCCGCGAACATCCTTCTTTACCCCGCCTTACATGCGTGGTCCCCAACAGCGTTCTCTGCACCTTACCTTCGCCCTGCCCTGTCCTGCCCCGCCCAGCCCTGCCGGCTGGCCCTCCCCCCTGCCCGTTGCGACCCACCCCGTCACTCCGACCCCTCTCCCCCTCCCCCCCTCTCCCCCCCGCTGCTGCAGTGTGGTGCGGCTGTGGGACGTGTCGGGTGGGGACCTGGGGCCGCTGCTGCGGCAGTTCCCGCTGCTCAGACCCGACCAGGTGGGGTGAAGGGGCGGAACCGGAGGGGGAGTGGGTGCCAGGAGGCGGGGTGGGAGGCTGGCAAGGGGGATCCTTCCTTACCCTTGTTGTCTCACACCGGCACTTCTTGCCTCGATCCCGGCGGCCCTGTGCTGTCCACCTCCCCGGGTCCTCGCCTTTCCCACCCCTGTAAGCTATAACCCCTCCCCCTTCTGCACCCTCCCTCCCTCCCGCCCGCAGCTGGGCACGCAGCCGCCCCCCGCCCTGAGGGGTCTGGACTGCGACCCGCGGAACCCGGACATGTTCGTGGCAGGTGGGGCGGGGGGTGTGGGGGTTTTGGGGGGTGGGAGCAGCGCATGACAGATGACTATGTGTTTTGCAATGGGTGTGATGACCCCCGGTCTCGGAAGGGGAACTCTTTTAACAACCCGGCGGTGTAAGAAGGGCATGCGGTTTGGCTCCGATGAATCTCCCTTACCCCTGTCCGCACGTGGACCCGTGGGTCACACCCTCACCCGCCCTCACCTCCCTTCACCCCCCACCCCCACCCCGCAGGTGTGGCCAGCTGCGACATCTGGGAGGTGGACGCCGACCCTCGCGTGCTGGTGTGGGGGCAGCAGGGTGACCTGTGCGGCCTGGCCACCAACCCCGCCTTCCCGCACGTGTTCGCAACCTGCAGCGACAGCGACAAGGTGGCGGTGTGGAGCGCGGCAACTCGCAAGGTGGGGTGGTGTGGGGTGGAGGTGGGGTGGGGGGACACGCAAGGTGGGGTGGGAGGGTAATAGGGATACATTTTCCGCATTAGGCTGGATGATTGGGTTGGGCATGTAATCGTAGCAAGGTGGGATGGGGGGGAAGGGACAGAGGAGTAAGTTGTGTGCTCTGTGGCAGGGAGAGAGCAATTGGTGGGGTGGGAAGAGGAGTGGTGGAGGCACCACCGGTAGGAGGGTGGGGAGGGGGTGATGCAGGATGATTGCGCGGGAGGGGGAGCGGGTGGGGGGTACCGGTAACTGGTCAAGTGAGCCGCGGGCAGTGCCTTCCTCTTCATCGACGCCCCCCTCCCTCCCTCCCGCCCCCCCCCCCCATGAGTCGGGACATGGGATTGGGACTCGTTGTTTCACTTATTTTTATCCCCCCTCCCCTGCACAGCCGCTGCGTATCGTGTCGCTGGGCGGCCTACGCGGCCGCTGCTGCGCCTTCTCCCCCTGCGGCCAGCAGCTGGCAGTGGGCACCGGCTGCGGGGGGCTGCAGGTGCTGGAGTTCCACCCGGCGGTGCGGCAGGTGAGGGGCGGGGGGCGGGGGGGGGGGGGTTCAGTTGCCGGTCGTTACCACGTGACAGGGACGAGCATGCGCAGGTAGGGTAAGCTGCGGTGCGGGTGGCAGGTAGGGGCTGTGGGTTGGGCGTTGGAGGTAACCCGCGTGCCGCCTGCCTGCCTGCCTGCCTGCACCTCCTGCTTGCCCCCACCTGTCTGCCCCCTGTCCTGCATGAGTCGGGATTTGGGATTGGGACTCCGTTGCTTCACTTTACATTTTGTTGTGCTCCCTGTCCTCCCCCTGCCCCCGCCCCCGCCCCCCGCCTCCCCCAGGTGTGGTGGGGCAAGCCCTTCAGCGGTGCCGTGTCGGAGATCAAGTACTCGCCCTGCGGCACCTTCCTGGCGGCGGGCAGCCACGACCAGGTGGGAGGTGGGGGGGCGGGGGTGGGGTGGAGTGGGGGGGCGGATGGGGGGTGGGGGTGAGGGAGAGTGTGTCAGTCAGGCACCTGCCTTGTATGGGGGGGGAGGTATGTGGAATGCATAGGTGTGTTAAGAAAACTGGCCTTCCCTCTCTCACCCCACCTCCTCCTCCCACTCCACGACCCCTTTCCGTGCCCCCCCCCCGCCAACAGTCGATAGAGGTGTTTGACGTGTCCCGCGGCTTCACGCGCGTGTGCCGCTGCGTGGGGCACTCCTCCGCGGTACGCCACCTCGACTGGGCGGCGGACAGCGGCGGCCTGCAGAGCGTGGACCAGGCGTACGAGGTGGGGGCGGGAGAGGGGGAGGGGAGGAGGGGAAACGACTAACGAACTGTATGATAAGGCACAGGTAGGGGAGGGGAGGGGGAGAGGGAGGAGGGGAAACGAAGGAATCCGTGCCGTACATGAGTGTGTATGGCAACCCTTGGGGGGAGCAGGGAGGGGCTAGGGTACCGCTGGTCTAGGTTGAGCACGAACGGAGGGAGATGAGGTATGAGGGAGGGAGGGATGAGGGCAAGAGCTTTTCTGGTGCTCAAGGCAGCTTTTGGTACTTCCGGGCGCTCTGCCAGGCACCAGATTCGGAATCCGGAAAAGCGGGTGGGGTGCGCTGTTGGGAAGTATCAGATGGGAGGTGGGTGCCTGTATAATCAGGAAACAGCAGAAGTGAATGTCAAAAGGTGATTACGCGATTAATAAGCGAGGTATAAACCGTGGTATAAGCAGAAGCATGATACGGTAACAGAAGCGCACCGCGGGGCTCCTTGCTGGACACCGCCGGTCCACGTCACGGGGTTCTTGCAAGTGGCCTTGAATGAATGACTGTTACAGCGGTTCCCTAGGAGGGAGCACGGGTGATGTTCTGATGAGCCCAACCCTGCAATGCGAGGAAAACGGAACACGCCTTGCTGGCCAGTTGCTTACGCGGGGGGCGCCTTACCGCCGGTGGACTTGCGGGCAGTCTGCTCAGTGCGGGCCATGTTGTTTGCTCGGGTTGAGGAGAAAGAGGAAGTATACACTGATATCGGCAGTGATATTTGGGCTTTGAGGTGTTGTTGTTTACCAAGGAAAGTTGGCGTGATTGAGGTGGGTGGACTACCCGGGGAGGCTCATCGCCCGAACCATCCTCGCTGCGCCTTCCTGCCTGCCCCCGCCTCTCCCCCTCTCCCCGCCTCTTGGAAGTTGGAACGCGGGCGGGCTCACCTCCAGCTCGCCCGGCCTGACCGTGATTCCTGTGCTGTGACCATACACCATACCACCAATCTCCCCAAGTCTCCTCTCCCGCTTTCCAGCATGGTTACATCGGTGTACTGCCTGATGCTCTCCCCTTCCTTACCCACTCCCCACTGTCTTCTTCCCTTCACTCCGTTCCCCTCCCCTCGCCTCCCCCGCCTCCCAGCTCCTCTACTTCGACCCCCGCACCGGCAAGCAGCTCAAAACCAACCAGCGAGACACCCGCTGGAACGGCTGGTCCTGCCTGCTGGGCTTTCCGGTCATGGGCATTTGGTTCCCGGACTCGGACGGTACGGACATCAATGCCGTGCACGCATCCCCCTCGGGCAAGTATGTCCTCACGGCGGACGACAGGGGCCGAGTAAGGCTGCTCAACTTCCCTTGTGTCGTACAATCGGCCCCGGCGCGGGAGTACGGCGGGCACTGCAGCCACGTGATGAATGTACGGTGGGGCGCGGATGAGACGTATGCGGTGAGTTGGGGGCTTGGAATGGGGCGGATGTGGGGAAACTGGGGTTTCCTGGCGACCGCTGATGTGTCAGGTGGCCTGGTTGGGGTGGCAGGGAAGGGATGTGGAGGGGGTGTGGTGGGGAAGAGGAGGGGCCCTGCCCTGCCTCCCCTCCCTCCCTCACGTTCAGCTGTTTGTTTCCTCTTCCCCTCTGTAAGACCCTAAAACCCTGAACCCTCTCCCCCCTCCGCCTGCTGGCCCCAGGTGAGTGTGGGCGGCAAGGACCGAGCCGTGTTCCAGTGGCGCCTGCTGCACCCGCCCGCACCCGCCGCCTCGCCGGGCCGCGCGGCGCTGCCCACTCCCTGGGCCCAGGTGGACGAGGAGGGGATCATGTGGGCCCCACCCAGGGGGGCGCAGCAGCAGGTGCAGGGAGGCGGGGGGCAGCAGGGAGCCTCACCCGGGGTGGCTGGGCAGCGGCAGCGGGCGGGGTCGGCGCGCCGGCGTTGAGGGGAGGGGAGGGGAGGGGAGGGGAGGGGAGGGGAGGGGAGGGGAGGGGAGGTTGGCGTGCGCTTGGATTGGAAAGCGGCGGTACTAGGGTGGGATGCATGAAGACAAGGCGTATTAGGAGTGGGTGGGATGTGCGGTGGTGGGGTTTGTGTGTTTGTGTGCCTGCGCACATACATTGCGGTGCGTCACCGGATGGACTACTTATTTACTTCGTTCCACCTTCGGGTTGTTGCCTTGGGCAGCGCCTTGCTCGCGAGCAATCCCTCTTCGGGTAATGAACCGCAGCGCGCGGAAGTAGTGAGGCCGAACGCCTATCCCGCACCAGCCCAACACCAGCCCCACAACAACCCCGCCCAGCAGAGAGGGCACACGAGCGACCCGAATACGGTGTGTCTGGTGGCGGACGGCGCCTCAGGACTTCCGTTCCCAGCCGATGTGTGTGCCCCCACGTGTCATGGGCGGATTGACGGGCTACTGCTAGAGGCGACGGCTGACGAACGGTATTGGAGATGTCGAGGGACGTTGATTGCCAGGCAGGGTCATACCTTACCCTGCCACGCAACACACAGCTGCTGGGCGCTGCCTATGGTTGGGATTGCAGCTATGTCGGAGGGTCTGTGGGGCCTGTAAGGTTCCAGCATGCATTAAATGAATGACCGTTACAATGAACCCAAACCGAATCGTTACAGGGGATATCACATTTGCCACCGCATTTGCCGCAGAACACTATGTCTGCGTGCGGGTATAAGAGCACTAGCCAGGACCGACAGCTGTCTTGCACGTTGCCAAATCAAGCTGCCTGTTAACAATGACACGCATCCCCCTCTAAAAGCCTTGTAGTGATATTACACCGCAATATTACAAGCAGCAGTAGCTAATCGCGCACCGCGGTGTCACACCGACACGTCAAATGCCCCCTAACCTGCTGTAGCAAGGCCACATACAATGTAATGAGTCCTGAAGAGAAACCTCACGACACACCTATAGAGGCCTTTTAGGACCTATGCCACACCTGCACTCGTACGACACGCCCTCCGCCACCTCCGCTAGCTACACACCGGTACGTCAGGCTGATTACGGAAGGTGCACCAGGACCAGCAGCGTCCCGTTCCACACGCCATGCATCACAATGGGCGTAAGCAGGTTGCGGGAGCGGCCGTATGCGGCACCAACAATCATGCTAAAGACGAAATGTAGAGGCAAGCCCGGTAGGTTCAGATGAACGGCGGCGAAGACTGCCGACGTCACGACGTTGGCGGCCCAAAAGGGCCTTCCGGAAGCGAGCCGGGGCAGCAGGTAGCCTCGAAACAGCGTCTCCTGGCGGGTTATGGATGGGTTTGGGAGGGGGTTGGCGAAGTCTCTCAGGTAAGCATTCAACCTGCTGCTGAACTGGTAAGCAGCAACTCAGGCGTGCTGGCGTTTGATTGGTTCTAGTGCTCACAATCTTTGGACCGTATTGATGCCCTCATGCCCCCATTTCCGCCTAGCCCCGGCTATCTACCGCCGACTCCATGACCCCAGCCTCCACGCAATGCATGATGCGTACCTCCATGTACGGTGTAAGCACCGAAAGAGCCGCCAACAGGGCCAGGAAGCCGCCCAGGCCGCGATCCGCAGCCCCCTCCGTTATGAACTCCAAGCCTCTTCCTAAGCTGAGACCTCCAACCAGATCAAAGTACCCAACCGCAGTCGCGAGTTTTATGGTTGCGACCCCGGCAAGCAGCATCGCTGCAGTCCCCGCCAGGGCCCATTTGCCCCAGGCCGAGGGGCCGGTGAAGGGCGACCAGGGTTCGTAGACAAACAACCCCAGGCTGTGGAAGTGAGACCGCAGGAGGGTGAGGTTGCCATCAGAGGTTCCTTCCTTGGGCACGGCAGCGGCGGCGGCGGTGATGGCGGCAGTGGCTGCTGCAGCAGCAGGGCTTTGGGAGGTGAAGCAGTTGCTGTGGCTGACCCCGACATAAGTATGGCTGCTGGAGGGGCTGGACGGGGTGGGGGCGCCATCCGCCGGGGCACTGATGAGTGCGGCTGGTGCGGTGGTGGGAGCTGGTCGTCCGGCCTTGGTGAGTCTGCCAGCCATGGCTGCTGGAACGAGGTAACCAAGGCACAGAGCCGTGCCTATGTCACTTCCGAGCATCCACATCTCCTGCGGGTGCAAATCATGACCTGTCTGGGTTAGCCAAGTGCTCTTGAACGGCACATACAAGCGGCTCCAAGGGCTAGCAACAGGTCATGCGTGCGGAAGCAAGCAAGCAAGCAAGGGTGCCTGCGGCTCCCCGATAGGCAAGTAAGGCAGCTCCATAGGCTAACATACATTGAGCTATCCACTTTCAACTGCAAGCTACGTTACCGCGATTACAAGTACCGTTGCATATTTACCGTTAATATGTACCTACGAAACTCTAAGGGCGCTAACATGTCAACGCTATCCGCCCAGAGGTCAGCCACCCTAACGTCCGCTACCCGCCTGCTTTGTGAACCCCCGCCCCCGAGAAGTAAGCTGCAGCTGTAGCCCGGCGCACCTGGCTATAGAACTGTAATGCGCTTACGGGCATAAGCAGCATGCTGGCAAATGTCAAGGAGCCAACCGCAAGTAAGAGCGTTTCCTTGACGATTTGCACGGGTTTGTCGTACGGCACATCCCATCCCGGTGCCTTCCGTTGCAACTGCTGTTGCTGTTGTTGCTGCTGCGTGGCTTCGTCGTGGACGTCCCCCTTCTGGCCATTTGTTGATCCACCGCACCCAGTACCTCCATCCTGCGCTGCAACATGTGGGGAAGCGGCACCAGTGGAAGGGGCAGACGACGCTCCAGCGGAGTGTAATAAGCGCCGTTGCGCGCTGCTGCTGGCGGCGGCGGCAGGGGCCACTGCTGCTAGTGCCGCTTCTGCCACCGCTATGAGGCTAGTAGTTATCCTGCGGGCAACAAGTGCTGAGCTGCGTGTAGGTGGACACTTTGCACCGTTTCGGGAGGTCGTGGAACGAGCGCCTAGAAGGGAAGCGAGGTTGGGCAACCCGGGCCGTGTTAGCGATACACAGCAGCTTTTGGCAACTGAACTGTTCCTGCTGTTGGGCTGCAGCTCCTGCTGCTGCTGCTGCTGCTGGGCCCACAGGGGGGCGTCGTCATGGAGGGCATAGCGGCTGACATGGGGGGTTCCCCCACAGCTAATCAGCGGGGCGGTTGTGGTGATGGAGGCGGCTGGCGCTGCTGGTAGGCCGCTTGTCGTACCACCGCTGCTGTTGCTGCCCACCACTGATGTACATCCGGTTAGCAGCGCACTCGAAAGGGACGGCGAGGTTCCATGCAACCTGTGCAGCAGTGCTGGCAGGCCGCGTTGCGCTGTGGCCATTACGATGGGAGAGCGAGCAGCAGCGTCAGTAACTGAAGCGGTTGTGTGAGGTGGCGGACTACCGGCAGTTGCGATGCCAAGTGAGGACACAAGTTGCTGACTGCCGTTGCAGGGAGCGCCTCGAAGATATCGGCCTTTGAAAAGAGGTTAGTGGTGTTGCTCTTGCAAATCCATCGCGTCAGTAGGTCTGTGCTGACGTCGACAGCGTAGCCAAGCTGATAGTTGCTAGGCAGCAGGTGTTAAATCTAGGCAGGCCAGGAACGGATAGATCATGTGTAGGATGTAGGCACTTGGCCGTGGCCGTATTGCTATGAACAAACTGTACAGCTTATATATACGTCGTCGCGTCTTGTTGTGTCCCAATCGCGAGGAAGGCTGACGGGCGAGGCCGTTCGTCTCCTTCACTTGAAATCTGAATGCACGACCGCAAATCGAAACGCTTGCAGCAGGCAGGAATCGGACGATAAATATTTTGAAATCAATTCTGGGCATAAGCTGTGGGCGCCTGTCATCTGCTTCGGGGGCCTGACAAGTATGACAAATGATCGATCCGTCGGTCGGTGAGCATCGTCGGTTTGACAATTGCACAGGTCCTTCCAACTTATGGCAGCATCACCTGCTGCTGTTATACCGCTCTAAACTCTCATAACTTGTGCAGTCCGCGATCGATGTGACGTGGATGGCTCGCGGAATACATGTTCTATGCGTGCGAGGCACGATGAAGCTGTAGTACCGGTACTCCGGCACAGGCGCACACGAAATCCGCTTTCCAGCAGCTCCAGATGGGCGCCATTCATCAATGACGCCAACAAGGACCTAGTACGGGTATGACGGAGGTCTTGGTCGCCAGCGTCTTGGACCTCTTTGGTCGCAACATCCGCACCTATTTAGGCAACAAGCAGGTCTTTACCTTCTACTTAAGCCATATGTTAGCATGTTCTCTGACCTGCTAGAGCCCTTTCGCAACGCTGCGAAATCCCTGCGATCGCGACTTTCCGAAAGCAACCCCACTTCAACTGCCCAAACATCCGCATCGAGCTCAGCAACTAAACCCGACATGGCCAGCACTTCCGAGCCTACGGCAGCTGCTGCTGCTCACGCCATGGCTCCGGCCAGCAACCCCAAGATGGACGCGGCCATGACCGAGTGTATGCAGAACTGCCGTGACTGCGAGAGGTCGTGCCTGGAGACCATCCCGCACTGCCTGTCCAAGGGTGGGTGTTATAGTGGGTATAGTCAGGAAAGCTTAGGTCCTAAAGATGTGCATGTTCACCAAGTGCTTTGCTAAGGAGCGCTTGTTTTCAGTTCCGGCGTGGCTAAGGACCCACGGGTCGCTCCGAGCAGTGTTGGAAGGCTAGTGCTTGGCCAAGCGCAGCCAATTGTTTTGTCCATGCAATTCCAGGTGGACGCCATGCGGATCCCGAGCACATCATGCTGCTGATGGTAAGCTGGGGGCTGTGCGACTATTGGATGAGTTGCTTGTGCGCTCGTGCTGGTGGCATTGTGTTGAAAGGCAGCAGCAGCCCGTCGTGCAGCCGTACTTGCGGTTTTGTTGGAGTATCGACTGTTTACCGTTTCCCGCGAAGATGTCGCTTGAGGAGGGTACCGGTAGATAGCTGCGAGTTGCGCCCGACCCAAACAAGCCACTCACGCACGTACGCCTTATCTGACGCAAGCTGCCCAGCCACACTTTAGGTGTACCGTATGTCATGGGCTTTGCTGAACATGCATGCTCCGCACCCCCCATACGCGTTGCGTCCTGCCCAGAGGTTCCACCACTCTCCAGCAGCCGGTTCTCACCGCATGTGCATGCATGCAAGGTGCATCCACCCTGCTGCTCCCCACCCCATCCCTGCACGGTACTCCTTCTCAACCCCCTCTTTCGAGTCCAATGCGGAAAATCCATCCCCTCTTAATCCCTTCCATGCATGTGCCCTCGCCCCAGGGCTGCGCCGAGATCTGCGGCACGTCGGCTCTCTTCCTGCTGCACGGCAGCCGCCTGCACATGCACACCTGCGCGGCGTGCAAGGAGGTGAGTGCGGACGGACAGGCTGTGAGTAGATAGGTGGGGGCCGTCAGGGCGGGGGGCTGGCAAGGGCGGCTGGGACGGGTGCTGGACCCATTCGCATGGAAGGCCCTGCATTCCGCTCGTCGCTTCTTGACCGTTTCTGGTCTGCACCAGCATAAGCTGAGAAGGTAGCAAAGAAGGTCTTTCTGGCTAATCACAGCAATCCTCGGTATGGAGTTGCGGTGTATGCAACGGCTCACTGGAAACGCTTGACCCCTACCTAAGCTTTCTGCCGCCCAAGCGGCGGCCACCTACGGTTATACACTGCCCTGCTATACCGGTACTTGCTTCTCAGTTCTCACCCCCTACCGGTACTGCCCGGCTGCAGGTGTGCGAGGTCTGCGCTGAGGATTGCAAGCGCGTGATGGGCGAGCATGACGAGTGCATGCGCGCCTGTGCCGACATGTGCCGTACCTGCGCCAAGACCTGCGCTGATATGGCCGCACGCAAGACGGGCTAGACATGTGTCGTACACCGCATGGCTTGGCACAGTATGTTGTTTGGATTAGCACTACAGCAACAGTCACGTCCCGATGATAGGGCCACCTTTGATAGGAAGCTGAAGGACAGACACGGTAGGGAGACGCCGGGTTGCCAGCTGTTGAGCGAATGACCTTTACCTTGTTGTTGTTGTACTATTTAGGCTCACAAGCGAACATAGTTGCGGGTAAATGGGCGCTGAAGTTGTGAAGCGTAACCCCTTGGCTGCAAGCTTGTATCTCTATTGTAATTCCATTCAGGCAGCAAGATCCACATATGAACTGTTGGTCCGCTCAGACACCACCATCAACAAGAGGGATATCGGATGGCAGAGAGCGGCACTTTGGAATCAGACAAGCAAGATCGGGCGTTGAACGTCCGGTTATTACTATGAAATATTTGCGACAGCTTTCTAATCAAATGCAAGCATGAAACATGATCGACCCCCCTACAGCACATTGGTTAGCCTGTCACAAATCCAATGGTTGGTGGTGTTGAAAAACACCGTTTTGGGGGAGCCATGGTTAGGGAGCTGACGAGCTTAACCACCAAAGCCGTAGAGAGTGCGGCCCTGACGCTTGAGCGCGTAGACCACATCCATGGCAGTAACCGTCTTGCGACGAGCGTGCTCTGTGTAGGTAACAGAGTCACGGATGACGTTCTCCAGGAAAGTCTTCAGGACAGTGCGGGTCTCCTCGTAGATGAGGCCGCTGATACGCTTGACACCACCACGGCGAGCCAAACGACGAATAGCGGGCTTGGTAATGCCCTGAATGTTATCGCGAAGGACCTTGCGGTGACGCTTAGCTCCGCCCTTTCCGAGGCCCTTGCCACCCTTGCCGCGTCCTGACATGTTAGTAAGTCAAGATAAGACTGATGAACTAGATTGTGAAGTGTTACTGTCAATTGCCAATCCAAGCGTATATATAAGGAGAGTTTGTGGCGGTTGCCGCAGCGAGCTCTCGTCCAGAATAAAGTCGCATCCACTCACCGGGGCCATCTGGGTCATGGGGGCCGGTACGACGGCCCGGCCCAGCATAAGTCCACAGTCCTCAGACGACCCGGTAAGGCACCTTGTACACTTCGACATATTACTGAAAATGGCCCGCACTAAGCAAACTGCTCGCAAGTCCACCGGAGGCAAGGCGCCCCGCAAGCAGCTGGCCACCAAGGCCGCTCGCAAGACGCCTGCTACTGGCGGTGTTAAGAAACCTCACCGGTATGTTATTGCACATTGTACCTCTGATAGTGTCATTGTTCCGTGTTTTGGAAACTCCACCTGACATGCACTTCTTCCATTTCCTTATCTCCTACAGGTACCGCCCAGGGACGGTCGCTCTGCGTGAGATCAGAAAATACCAGAAGAGCACTGAGCTTTTGATTCGTAAGCTACCCTTCCAGCGTCTGGTCCGTGAGATTGCTCAGGATTTTAAGACCGACCTGCGCTTCCAGAGCCAGGCCGTGCTGGCGCTGCAGGAGGCTGCTGAGGCCTACCTGGTGGGCCTGTTCGAGGACACCAACCTGTGCGCCATCCACGCCAAGCGTGTGACCATCATGCCCAAGGACATCCAGCTGGCCCGCCGTATCCGTGGCGAGCGCGCCTAAACGACAACCCTTGCGTAACAACAAAAAAACGGTGTTTTTCAACACCACCTTTACACGGAGTTTTCTCCCCCTACCGTAATCTCCCCCCGCCGGCTCAAACTGGTTCTTCTTTCCCTTCCGGCTAGTCATACACGGGCTTTGTCCTCTCGGTTGTTTGGGTTCATCCTGTGCGTTTGCTTGAACATGTGTGTTTTACATTTTTTTTCCATGGTCATCGACTTCCATTCGACAGTCTGTGCGTACGGCTCAGCTAGCCTGGCTCAGCCCGGTATCATTCCATTGCAACCGGCTTCCAGCAGCAGTTAGACTGATGATTCCGCCTTCTCTGGGCACACCTTCATCGCCCTGCAACGCAACAATCCACCCACCACCCCCGCGCGGACTCCCGCATTCCTTGTGACAGCAATACGCCCACTCAAACCCATGTGGTTACAGTTCCGCTTTGCCGTCTTGCAAGGACGCCACCATTTCCCCCAAGTCGCTGCCTGCAACCGCCGTGTCGTACGGCTGCGTTCAGGAGGGTGGCGGCGACGGTGACTTTGGGGCCTTCGAGGGGTACTCCCGGGCTCCGAAGATGGTGCTGCCCACTCGGATGTTGGTGCTGCCCATCTCAATCTGCGCGGCTCAGCGGTTACGGGACGCCATGCAGGGTAAGTGCGGGAGGGGAGGTGTCGGGGGCAGACGGAAGGGGGGAAGTCGGTGCGGTTAACATGAAGTGCACTGTCACCATAATGGTTTGCCGTCACGGCGGAGACAACGAATAGCAGCTTGGACCCGACCGGCCTGTGAGCAAGTCAGGGAAGCCTCGAGCAAGGGCATACGGCGCATGCTAGGGTACGCACGTCATAACGGCGCAATCGTGGGGACATCACATCCGCCAACATGTCCTCATCCCTACCAACCCCTGCCCCCACCCCCACTCCACGCGGCTCCCCCCTCCTCACCGCCTGCTCGAAGTCGCCCGACATGCCCATGCTGAGCTCCAGCTGCTCCGGGGAGGCCAGCCCAAGCGCCGCAGCCACACGTGTACGGCACTCGGCCAGGCAGGAGAAGTTCTCCGGTCGCGAGGAGTAATCGGGCATGCCAATCGTCATGAGACCCGCCAGACGCAGCTTGCCGCAGTTCTGGAGGGCCATGATCAGTACGAGGGTCCATATCATTGCAGATATCGTACCGGTATTTATTATTGTAAGCCAGTTTACACAGTATGAAGTACACACGTACTGAACCGTACTTCTCACCCCGTACCTGCGCTATATGCCGTGCGAGCTCCACACAATCCTCGGGCTCCACTCCGTGCTTGGACTCCTCACCGCTCGTGTTCACCTGGGGTGAAGGAACGCAGCGACCCATGGGTCAGACTTGGGGACAGACATACAACCAGCCATAACCCGCAGCCCGTTTCTCTGCCGTTTTCGCCTCCCCACCGGTACTGCTACTTCTTTCCCACCTGCACCATCACAGCTAGCGGCTCCTGTCGGCCCGCTTGCTCCACCGCCCGGTTCAGCTTGTCTGCCAGCTGCGTGGGGGTGTAGCGTGGGGTGAAGCGGCCATGGTATCATGGCAGTTACAGGGTGGGGGTCGGGGGCTTAGGGGTGGGGTTGCTAACGCGGCATGACGGGGTAGGGGGGACTCGAGACGCAGGCTTGGGGCGCCGGATGCTGCGATGTCTTCTTGCGGGGATGCATGGGACGTGCCCCTGGTACCGGTACCTCCATAACGGGCTAGACAGCGGTGAGATCTTGAAAGGCGTGCAGCCTTGACCCCACCTTGACTGAATCCACGGTCTCCACCATGCTTAGGTTGGGCACGCTTTCTGCGGGGGAAGGGGATGGAGGGAGGGGCAAAGGAGCCTTAAAAGGGGAGCTGCTAAGCAACGTGCAAAATGCGGGCCGGCACTTTGACAATATTGACTGTTACCCCGTGCGTGTGCAGGCAACAGCGGAGGTGAAGCACTGAAGCTGCTTACCCACGATGGATTTGACCTTGTTTGACTGCAGGTGGCCGATGAAGTGCCACTGCACGTCCGTGGGCAGCTGGGGGGCCTTATCCAGCATCTCCTGCGGAACGGCAGCGGCAGAACGGTGGCTGCAACTTGATGGCTGATAGCAGTAGCGGCAGGAGCCGATGTCATTGTAAACGTTATGCACATTCCATGTTCCTACATTATCCTCTTGTCCATACCTCCCGTTGCTAAGTTGGATCCTAAGCCCTGGGCAGCATTGAAGCTCGCCCCGGCCCAACCAGTCCCCCCTCCATCCTGCTTCCGCCCTTCCATCCTTGCCATTCCCTGCTGCCCCCATACAATAAAGCGCTGTGCGGCCCTGGTCCCGTCCACACGTACTGCGGTGGTCCTACGCTTCCAGAGCGGCCTCCCAAGCCCGGCTTGCTCACCTGGACGTAGTTCTCACCGAAGACGCGCTGACCTGCGTCGTACGCCTCCTGGACCGCCTCCACCGGCTTCGTTTTGCTTACGGCGACCAACCTAACCTGATGGGAGGAATATATGGCTGTGAAGTCATGGGCATTGTCCGGCTGAATCGGGCTCGCTCAGCGGGCAATTTCCGATCCCGCGACAGCTGCAATTCTGTCCCATCCTACCGGCTGCGTCCTGCCAGCGCGCTCGGCTGCTAGCTTCATCCTGCTCACTACATCTTGAAGGGCCACTGCTACTGGTTTATCTGCCATAGTACTAGCGCTGCGCGCAAAAGCTTTAACAGCGACTCTTCGCGACGACGAGAGTAACAGGGCAGTCGCCATGTAGTGCGCTTTGTAGCGCTAATATGCAATTATAAGTATAGCGGCAAAGGCTGGCCGTCCTAGCTGCAAAGATGCACATGTGAGCGGTTGGGTGTTGGATGAGTGGTCATGCAAGCGCAAGGATATACGCCGAATGATTTGCCACTCCAAGGAAATTTGCATTAAAGACGAGTCAATGAACATAACCGTTCCCTCTAATGCTATGAACTTCGCCATGTCCTCCGGCTCTGTTCTACGCGCAGCGTTTCTAGCCTCTCGCTCTACAGCAAGGCGATTAAGTTCTGTGCTTGCATCCAGTAGGAACACATGCATTGCCGACAACCTCAATTGTTGTTTGAGCTGTGCTAGCGGTCGAAGACACCATCGCACCCGGCCCACATCGCGCCACATCCTGCCGACACCGTTAGTCGCTTGCAGTTTGTATTCGAATGCGACGTCTACTCCAGCCTCCCCACCAATTGGCATCCATAACCAACTTTGTCATCACCAGACAGGTCATCAAACAAGCTGCCCTGCAGCGAGAGCAGTGCTTCCTCAGTGCAGCAGCATTCGTTGTAGCTTCCATGGCGTCGGGGCACCCGCCTCAGGGCCCCTCTCAGCACGGCTCGGCTTTCGGTGGCGGTTGTTAACATCCCTTCCTCATCGTTCCATGCCGTCAGCCCCCGCAGCTTTTTCCACAGCGACCTCCGCAGTCTCCAGCAGCGATTTGCGTGAGGTGGAATTGGAGGGCCTGGGTGTCCTCAAGCGCAAGGTAGATCATCATTTGCTTAGGAGCTTGTCGGGGACGGTTGTAACGGTTATCAATGTAATGAGAGTGGACTGGGGCTTAGTTTGCCACCTGGGGGCGCTATAACGGGTGCCACGCGGCAACGAGCACCCTATTAAGCCGCCATGCTTTCAAGCCAACATCACACACTTCTTGTTATGCCTTCAGCACTTCCAACCTGCTGTACCGAATGAACCCCTTCTATTAGGCATGAGAGCACCCTCCACACACAGCCCTTCGCCCTCTCTCCATCCCGCCCTCCCACCCCACCCCCATCATCCTTATCCTCACCCCAACCCTCAGGTCTCGGAGGCCTCCACCCGTCTCTCCCGCGTGTTGGAGGTGGCGGACGAGGCGGGCTGCGCCGCCAAGCTGGCCGTGCTGGAGCGGGAGGCGGCGGCGGCGGGGGGAGCGCTGTGGGGCGAGCAGCCGGGGCGGGCGCAGGCGCTCATGACGGAGATCGGGACACTCAGGTATACCGGTACGGGGGGGCGTTGGGGGTTTTGGCGGGTAAAGAGGAGGGACGAAACGCAACTACCCCGTAGGCCCCCTTCCTCCCACACATGGTTTCTTTCCACCCCACCCCACCCCACCCCACCTCCCGGCCCCCCAGGTCTGAGCTGGAGCAGCTGGGTCGCTTCCGGTCGCAGCTGGAGGACTGCGCCTTCGCCCTGGAGCTGCTGGAAGCGGAGGTGGGGAGGGCGGGAGGGGGGGAAGGGAGGGGGAAGGCGGGGAGACAAGAAAGAGGAAATATTGACGTGCTGGCGGGCAGGCAGGGGGAGGAGGGGCGGGGTATTGAGTGAGCCGCCCAGGAGGCCACCTGACCGCGGCACCTGACCTGACCGCAGCACCTGACCCAACCCTCGGGGCCTCTTTCTACCTCGCCGCCCCCGTTCTGCAAGCCTAACCCTGCGCCTGCGCGGCTGCCTTCCCTCCGCCTCCGCCAATTCCCTTGCTCAGGCGGCACCCGGCGGCAGCAGTAGCAGTGTTGGAGACAGCAGTGGGGTTAGTGGCAGCAGCAGCGCCAGCAGCAGCGGTAGCAGTGGCGGCGGGGGGCTGGCTGGCGAGCAGGCAGTGCTGGCTGCGGAGGCGCTGGCCACACTGCGGATGCTGAGCCAGGGACTGGACGGGTGGGGAGCTGGGGAGGGAGGGCGGGGGAAGGAGGGAGGGAGGGGGACAAGAAGAATACCCAATGTGGGAAGGAGGGAGGGAAAAAAGGAAACAACTGACGGTGTGAAAAAGGCGTCAGGGAAGGAGGGAGGGGGAAGGAGGGAGGGAGAGGAGGAGGCGCGAGGAGGGGCTGCGATGGAAAGGAGTGGAAAGGGCGGGCTGCTGCGCATGGAACACTGAAGCCATATTGCATGACTTGGCAGCTTGGGACCTGCGTTGCGCCTAACGTGACGAATCCGTGTTGCAGCAGTGGTGGGCGTTGTCGCCCCTCGGCCGGTGCTTTCCCCTCGCGTTACTCCGCCCCTCTGTCTTTGTCCCCCCCCCTCCCCCCCTCCCCCAGCTGGGAGCTGCGGCGGTTGCTGAGTGGGCCCTACGACTGCCGCGGCGCCCGCCTGACCATCAGCGCGGGGGCGGGCGGGGTGGACGCCATGGACTGGGCCGCCATGCTGGAGCGCATGTACACACGGTGAGGGGGGAGGGATGTAGCGGGAGCAGGTGTGGGGAAGCTGGGGGGGCGGGGGCCTTGAGGTGTGGGGCTGGGGGGCAACCCAACTAGGGGGGGGCCCTCCCCTAGAGTTGTGCGCTTGTACCTCTCCTGATACAACTCCAGCTCACCCGTTCCCTCCCCCTTCTTCCCCTTTCCCCACCCCTCAGTTGGGCCGAGTCGCAGGGCTACAGCGTGCGGGTGCTAGAGCGGGCGCCCGGGGAGGAGGCGGGCGTCAAGAGCGTGGAGCTGGAGGTGACCGGAGGGGGAGGCGGGGGGGCGGGCGAGGGAAGCAGCGGGGGCGGCTTCGCGTACGGCTACCTGCGCGGCGAGAAGGGCACCCACCGGCTGGTACGCGCCTCGCCCTTCAACGCCAAGGGGCTGCGGCAGACGAGCTTTGCGGGTGTCGACGTGATGCCGGTGCTGCTGGCCTCCGACCTGCCGCCCCTGGAGCTGCACGAGCGGGACCTGGAGGTGACCACCATGCGCTCGGGCGGCAAGGGCGGGCAGAACGTGAACAAGGTGGAGACGGGTGAGAGCCGGTAGAGGGAGGCGAAGGGGGCGGGAAGAGAGGGTTGGAAGGGGGGAGAGGACGGGGGAGGAGGGGGAAAAAGAAATTCCAAAGTGTGGTGTGATAATGATACAAGTAAGGACGGGGGAGGAGGGAGAGGAGGAAGGGGTAGGGGCGGGGCACATGTTTTGTTAGCGTGGGAGCTGGTGCAAGGAATGGAGCGGGTGTGGTGGTATGCGTTGCAGTGCCGTTAGGAAGGTGGGTGATTGGGTTGGGTTTCAGGAAGCGGAGGCGGCTCTGAATGGGAGGAGGTAGGGATGGGCGGGGGCTGGCTGCACACCTTGCATGAGGCCGCCACGGTGCTGCCGCTGGCGGCATCGGGGCTCCTGTGGTGGCTGCTGCTGTACGCCGCTCTGACCCTCTGATCCCCCTCCCTCGTTAGTCGTTTCCCCCTGCCCCTCCCCCTGCCCCGCCCCCGCCCCTGTCCTCAGGTGTGCGCATCACCCACCTGCCCACCGGCCTGTCCGTCAAGTGCACCCAGGAGCGCACCCAAGTGGCCAACAAGGCCATCGCGCTGGACCTACTCAAGGTGGGCGGAGGGGAAGGGGGTGCTGGGTTGGTGTTGGTGTTTATCCCCCCCCCCCTGGTACAAACCATGTTGACGCCTTATCCCTCAGTCAGTTGGTTGTTTCCTCTTTACCTCTCCCCCCACTGGTACATACCGCGGCCCAGTTCATCTGAACCCCCGTACCACCCTCCCCCCCCTCAGGCCCGGCTGCTGGTGGTGCTTGAGGAGCAGAACGCGGCTCGTGTGGCGGAGATCCGGGGGGACCTGGTGAAGGCGGAGTGGGGGCAGCAGATACGGAACTACGGTGGGGCGGAGGGAGGCGGAAGGGCGGGCTTGGAAGGGGCAGGAGGGAAGAGGAGGGGTGCTGAGGTCCGGTCTTCGGGGGGGGGAGGACGTGATGACGGCTTTGTGAAGTCGGTAGGCTTCAGGCCCACGAGCCTAGGAACAAGATGATACCGCCGGCGCGCGCGTTGTACCCTTCCATGGCAATTCTTGTTGTGCAGGATACCCATGCGTTCATATGTATATATGCATGCCTCACTTGCGCGCTTGCAGTGCTTCATCCGTACAAGCTGGTCAAGGACACACGCACGGGCTTCGAGACATCCGATGTGACTGCCGTGTTGGACGGCGGCGAGGTGCTTGGGGAGTGCATGGCGGCCTTCCTGAGGCTGCGGGGGAGGCAGGAGGTGGGGCAGCGGCTGGCAGCCGTACCTGCTGCCGCAGGCGTGGAATGAGCGACTGATTCCTCCATTGGCTCATGTATGGGGATGCGGGCAGGCAACGCAAGCTGCCTGTGGCTCGTGGCTGGAGGAATGTTGAGTGACTGCGTCATGTATCTTCCTTAATTGTAGATTGGTTTGCCAAACCGGAGCTTCCAGGCGACTCACATTGCATAAGCGAATTGCATATCATAAAACATTGTCGATTGTGGGTTGATAAGGATTTGGGCAGTGTGGCAAACAGAGGCATTGGTGATGTGACGTAACTGGACTACTGTGAAGCAGGACTAGCTAAGATAGGAAAACAGTATAAGCAGAGTATATTGCTATTGGTATACTCAAAGAAGATCGCTACCTGGGGTTTGCAAATCCAACACTCATACAATTTCATATTGTGACAGGACAGATGTCAACAGTAAGGTATCTGAATGCATTGCAGGTTAGAAATGTTTCTATAGACGCTTTGTTGAGTCCATGAGCCATTAGGGTGGTGTTGAAAAACACCGGGTATGTATTTGGTCTGGCGACAGAAACAAGGACATGGTATTTAGGCAGTTTCCTCCTCGGCCTTGCCACCCTTGGTCTTCTTGGGAAGAAGCACGGCGTGGATGTTGGGCAGCACACCACCGGAAGCGATGGTCACGTCGCCCAGCAGCTTGCTCAGCTCCTCATCGTTGCGGATGGCCAGCTGGATATGGCGGGGAACGATGCGGTTTTTCTTGTTGTCGCGAGCAGCATTGCCAGCCAGCTCCAGAACCTCCGCGGTAATGTACTCAAGGCAGGCTGCCAGGTACACGGGAGCGCCAGCTCCAATGCGATCAGCGTAGCGGCCCTTCTTGAGGTAGCGCGCAATACGGCCAACGGGGAACTGCAGGCCAGCCTTGGAGCTGCGGCTCACGGCCTTCTTGCCAGCGGTCTTGCCCTTGCCACGACCCGACATGGTTGATGTTGTATAGAAGAAATAGAGAGTAAGGTTGATTGATTGTTGCTTTGTCGAATATGTCAGCAACAAGGGATTTATGTTCAAATCGATGCAGGATCAGCGGGGCAACCGCATCCGTACGCCACGGTTAGTCCGAGCACTGGGTCGGCGGGAACGTCGGACAGACTACAAAAAGGGCTCAATACCAATGTGTACATATCACAACACCTGCACTCACTTAACACTTTACTACTCTACAAAATTATAATGGCCCCCAAGAAGGACGAGAAGGCCTCACAGCCCGAGGCTGCTGAGCCCAAGGCTGAGGCCAAGCCCAAGGCCGAGAAGGCCCCCAAGAAGGAGAAGAAGGCGCCTGCCAAGAAGGCCGCAAAGGAGCCCACTGCCGAGGGCGGCGAGAAGGCTGCCAAGAAGAAGGTGAAGGTGTCCAAGGCCGAGACCTACAAGCTCTACATCTACAAGGTGCTGAAGCAGGTCCACCCCGATACCGGCATCAGCAGCAAGGCCATGTCCATCATGACCTCGCTCGTGAACGACCTTTTCGACCGCATTGCCGGCGAGGCGAGCAAGCTGTCCAAGTACAACAAGAAGCCTACCATCACCTCGCGCGAAATTCAGACCGCCGTGCGCCTTGTGCTGCCTGGCGAGCTGGCCAAGCACGCTGTTTCGGAGGGCACCAAGGCCGTCACCAAGTTTACCTCCGCTTAAATGCGCGTAGCTTAAAAGCTCAAAAAAATTCCGGTGTTTTTCAACACCACCTATTTCGGACAATGGGACACGTGTTGGATTTCGTGGCTGCTGCAAATAGCCAAGATGTTTGTTGCTCATTCTGGACAAATAGAATTGTTCGTCGTGTTGCATGAGCGCGTGGCAATACCCCCGATTTAGGCTCAGGGTTCGTGCCTCCGTGAATGGCTGTTACAGGGATCCCAAAACCAGAAAGCGGGCGATACCTTCCGCACATTGTTACTGCAGTCTGCCTAGTTGCTCGCAAACTAAGCTGCACGTTACCTACAATGCTTGAAAGATGTCAACTGTAGTAGTCCCAAACAACAACTGCAGTCCAACCGCCCCTAATTTCTTACTTACCCGGCCCACCCGCAACGCTGTCCTTGCCACACATTAACTCGTGATGCACAAAACGTCGTCCATCCATTTACAACCACACCTAACCTTCCTTCCCGCTCTCCTCTCCAGCTTCTATTCCCAACCGTGTTGCAACCCATATTGAAGCATTGTCTCCCGGTTAGTTTCGCCCCCTTTTACCCCCCGGCCCCCATCCTCCACCACCGTCCCGTCCATTCATCAGCTCTTGCCACTGCGACCTGAGGCCTTCCGCCTGCCTGCTGGGCCGGAGATGTTCACATCAGGCGGCGGCTGCCGGCGGTCTAGCCCCGACAGGTCGACCCACGGGGCGAAGCAGCGGCTGCCATCCAACGTAGCAGGGTAGCGCTTGTACGTGCCCTGCAGGCGGGAGGGGGTGAAAGGGAAAAACAATATAACGTGGCGATGGTGGAGGAAGGTCATAGCTAAGGAGTTGCGCGCGTGTGGGTGTGCAGGGGCCCACACGCGACACATGCCCATGCTGTGGATACCGGTACATGGCACAGGAGAGCCGGGGGCAGGCACGGGGACGCGTGTTAGCATGCATGGAGGCATACACGTACGGCATACTCGGTAATCACCTGTTCCAGTACGGCGTAGGTGTTGTTGAAGGCGCACTCAAAGTACGGCAAGGCCTGTCGTACAACGTCCTCCATGGGCCCGTCGCGGAAGGGTACCCGCGGGGCCTTGCTGGTGCTGGCGATGGCGGCGGCGGCGGCCTCCACCGTCGACTCCGCCGCTGCCGCCACCACCGCCGCCGCCAGCGTCGGCGGCGTCAACGCGACCGCCGCTGCCGCCGCCGCCGCTGCCTTGGCTGGCAAGGGCGGAACGGCAGCGGCGGCGGCCGCTGCCGACGGCGCCGTCGGGGCCGGCGGCGGCTCCGCTGCCTCCCGTAGCTGGGTGAGGAGGGAGCGGATGGCGCCCTCCGGATCTCGCTTGCTGACGGGGAGGCTGCTGACGGGGATGCGCTTGCGGTCCTGTTAGGAGGGTGCCGAGCGTGGGGTTGGCTTTTGGTTATGTACCAGTAATCCAGAATGGATGTGGCAAAACCCGAGGGCGAGCGTGTCCCTCCTTATTGTACCGTAGGCGCGGGACAGTCCTGCCGGGCCGGGCCGTGCGAAGGGCGCCTCGGGTGGTTCCTGGGTTCAGGCACACGCGCAAAGTCTCCTCCCCGTGATACCCGCAGCCCCATCGCATTCCCCTCCTTCCCCCTCCCCTGCCCCGCTCCCTCCCTCGCCTCGCCTCCCCCTCCCTCCCCTTCCCTCTCGCGGCTCCGTTCATCTATTCCCCTCCCCTCACCGCCAGGTACCCCGCCTGCCGCGCCACCGCCACCGCATGCCCCGGCTGCAGGCGCCCGCCCGGCGGCACCGGCAGCGTGTCGTAGCGGTCCATCACGGCGGCGGGGGCGCCCAGGGAGGGGGTGGCGAACTTGAGGTAGGTCTCGGGGGTCTGGGGTGAGGGAGGGAGGGGAAGAGGTTGTTTGGGGAGAGGGGGTGTCATGGCAGGACCGTGGGGGTTTACAACTTGCTGGCTTTGAAACACGTCGAGGTAGGTTCATACGATCATTCCTCCTCCACTTGCCCTCCTGTACTGTTCTTTCTAAAGATGGCTTTGTGCACGGCTTCACGCGCAGCCCCATTGCTTGCTTGCTGTCTTGCTTACCGCCTCCGGGAGGTAGGGGATGACGTTGAGCATGAGGCCCATGCCGTACGGCAAGGAGCCCACGTCTAAGAACAGTCGGCAGGCGCGCTCCTGTACGGCAGTCGCCGCAAAGGGGCGCGACAGGGGTAAGGTATCAAGGTTACCGGTTTTAACCGGGAATGGGGCCCGGACAAGTACAGGTGTCAAGGCAGAAGCGCAGGAAGGAAGGTCTTCCATGCAGGCGGGGTGAACCGTGTGCCGTAGTACGGTGCGCCGTAGTACGGTGCGCCGTAGTACGGTGTGCCGTAGTACGGTGTGCCGTACTCACCGTGCTGAAGTACACCCACACGTGGTTGCGCGGGTCCTGCAGCTGCACCACCTGGGGGGAGGAGTAGGAGGGGGAAGAAGGGTTGGGAGAGGGAGGAAAAGCAGAATACCCTATGTGTTGAACGAGAATGGCAAACAAGTTGGCAAGCTCCTGGTGAGAGGGAGGCGGGAGGTGCCAAACGTTGCTGCCCGCAAGCAAGGATAAGGGAAGGGCATTTGCAACAACCATTGCCACCATGCAACCACGTTCGCACGTTTTCCAATTTGATTGGTCTGGGGATAGCCCGGCCGCCTGCCTGCCTGCGCTCTCGTTGATGCCTGCCCGCCCACCTGCCTGCCCAAAGCACCCCCTGTTCCAATACCGGTAGCGAAACCCCTCCCCTGTTCACCTCCTTGTTGTTGTCAAGGTGGTAGACTAGGGAGTAGTCGGGGTTCGTGGATCCAATGGCGATGCCGTACTCGGTGATCTTGGCGGCGCCGTGTACGAGCGCCACGTAATCTTGTGGCGGCGCGGGGTCGCTGCTGGTTGCCGTACGGCTGCCCTTCCACAGGCGGCGGTTGTTGTACTCTTGTACAGCAACGTGGAAGCCGTACATGGTGCCGACCACAGCGGCCTCTAGTTGCCCGTCCGATTGGACCTGTCACCATGGGATTTGTAGCAGAAAGGGGGTGAAAGGTGCTAGGATGGGGGAAAGTTATAAATAAGTGCAACAGTGCTAGGATGGGGGGGGGCAGACGTCGCCTGGATGTTGCCCAGATGTTGCTGCTCCAGCTGCCTGTTCAGGCACCAACGTGGCTTGTAAAGCGTCGGACGTCACAAATAATTGCCCCCAACCTGCAGTATGTTGTATTTGATGCCTTCTTAACTTCAGTATACACCCTGGACTGGCTGTCATCCTTGTCGCGATGAAAGTAACGTCCATACCTGTCGACACTGCTAATGCCAACGGATGCTACGCACTTACCATGTGGTGAAGCTGTTGTCGGGAAGGTCCAATGCCGCTGCCGCTCATGTCGAATTCCGGCATCATTCGCTGCCTGCCAATTTTGTTGCCCATGTACATGTGCAACTCGCGTCCCCTTAGCTCCTTCTTAATCACTTCATAGCGCAGCATGGGGTTCTCGGTTGCCATTCTCGGCAGGAAAGCAAGCGCGGCAAAGAGGGGTGATGCGGCATGGACGTCAAACTTCTTACACCGCGAGCATTCTGGCTTGTGCTCTGGCCATGCGGCTCTCTGGCATGCCGGGCTGCAGTAAAGCGCAGAAAGACATCCAGTGCAGCGCTGTAGCCGCTTTCCGGGTGCTGGGGATGCACCGCATACGCAACATGTCTTAGCAGGAGGACCCCCGGAAGACTCCGAAGCCCCGCCGTTCTTCGCAGCTCCTTCCGCCTTGTCTGCAGATGCTGTAGCTGACATGAGGCTTGAACAAAGGTGAGCAGCCCACCAGAGCTTTCAATTCGAGTTACCGAAGGAAGGATATCACACCATTTATACTGGATAAAGAGAAGTATGTAAGGACTAAAGGTCTAAGCCATGGAGAATGCATTAAGCATAGCGGCCTTTGGCGTATGCTTGCCTGAGTCATGCAAACCGATCCGAAGCCAAGGCAAGACACCGCGCATGCAGCCTGACAATTGGAGTTTAAATGCCCATCCTGCGTTTACATCTCCAGTAACCCTTTTTTGCAGGCAAAAGAGCAACACCTCAACCAACGAACCGCCCCTCCAATGCTTTTCTGCTCTCAGCACCCGCCTCCCGCCCCACAACTCGGGCGCCAACCCAGAGGTGGCCTCTGCCCACCTCCACCTCCACCACACTACCGCCACCCACATTGCCCTTCTTGTGGGGCTCCTATTCCCAGCGCCTTCTGGTCGCTGATTACGGGTAATGAACGACCGCCACAGTGCTTTCCAAGCACTGACGGTAATAGGATCTGGCGAACCCAACCCTACACCCCTGCCCCGCTGCTCAACAAGCACAACTGCTGCGCTGCTGCATCCCGCATCAGCACCACCACTATCTCCCTCCGCCTCCTCCTCTTCCTCTTCCTTCTCCTCATCCGTGAAGCCTTGTCTAGTTCAAAGCTCTTAACCCCCTCCTCCTCCTGCCCTACTGTGTCCTCTTGGCGATGGTTATGGGCCCCTTGGCTAACAGTGCCCGCAGCCCCGCCAGCTTCTCATCCTCCTTGGCGGCGTAGGCAGCGGCCCGCGCAGCCGCCTCCTCGCCCCGCACCACCCCGCGCTGACGAGCGGCCTCCGCGCGACGCGCCTCCCTGCACGTGGGGGGGCCGGGGAGGGATAATTGGGGGGAGGTGGCAGGGGAAAAAAAGAAGAAACATGGGGATGGGAGGGGTGTGGAATGGGATGAGCGTTGGGAGGAGGTAAGTCCCTTTGTTGTCTCGGATTGACTGATTCGGGCCAGGAGGGATGGGCCGGCTACCATGTCTGGACCCCAAGGTGAAAGCCTACATGTCATACAGCTCGTCCATTTCCTCCATCCTACCTCCCCCCCCACCTGGCCTTGGCTGCCTCCCAGCTGTCCCCCCCGCCCATCAGTGCATCCTCGCCGCCCCGCCCCCCTCCCGGGACGAAGCCGCCCGGGCCATCGTCGTCGCGGCTGCGAGCCAGCTCCCGCCGGGCGGCGCGCTCCGCAACCTGAACGGGTGGGGGAACGGGGCGCGGGGTAGTAGGGAGGAGGAGGAGGGGAAAAGAAGGATACCCAATGTGTTGTGTGACAGTGGTAGTACGGAGGAGGAACTAACGGCACCTTAGGACTCCTCCCTCTGGACGTGTTTAAATGCAGCAGCAGCAGCAGCAGCACCCAATGCCCCAACGCGCAAGTGCCTGCCCGCTTCGCGTGCACGCATGCGCACGCACGCGGTGACTGACCCACGGGTCACCACCTTCCCTCTACCTTTCCCGGCTTTCCCAACCCCCTTCCTCGGCCCCCCTCCCCCTCCCCTCCCCACCATTTTGTCCCTGCCGCTCTCCCGCGGCGCCACCTCCTCCAGCAGCTCCCGCGCCCGGTGGCGCTCCTGGCGCCGGGATTCCTGCCGGGCACCCAACTGCCTGGAAGAGGGGGGAAGGGGAGGGGAGGGAGGTAAGGAAAAACAGCTAACTGACCATCTGATAAGGCGTCATCATGGTTTGCAACATGAGAGCCAGCCCGAGGGGGAGGGGAGGGGGGAGGGAGAGACGCAGCAGTGGCGGTACCACCACGTGACGCAGGGAAGGCAGCCCGGCAGGCAGCAGCAGCGCCCGCAGCAGCAGCAGCAGCACCAAAGCGCCCCGCAGTCATGACCGCATGTGCCAGGCCCCACCTAACGCCCCTCCCTCCCAAACACCCCGCCATGCCCGGCTGCTCTCCCCTTCACCCCCTCCCGGCTAGGAAGCCCCATGGTGCAGCCGCTTTCTTCCTCCTTACCCCTCCCACTCCCACTCCCCTCCGCTTCCACTCACTGCTCTTTTTGGTCTTCCATGAAGGCCGCCATGCCCCGAGCCGCGCCCCCACCATCATCACCACTGCCGCCGCCCGCCAGAAGACCTCCTGCCCCTGTCCCCGCCCCCCCTGCTCCCCCCCTGGCTGCCCCCCCTGCCCCCCCTCCGAAGTTCCAGCGGTACTCGGTGCGGCGGGTGGGAGCGGCCACAAGGCCCGCGTAGTACCTGCAAGGGGGGGGGGAGAGGGAGAGGTGAGAGGCGGAGGCCAGAGGGAGGAAGCGGCCAGAGGCGTGTGCGCAGGTATCTTGGTGCGGTGCGTTGCGAGGAAGGAGACACGTGCACAGGAAGTGCCGGTGACTTGGTGAGATGCGGGGAATGTGAAGGACATACCGTACCGTCGTACGTCCTACCACCTCTCCCGCCCCCCTCCCCTGCAATACCAGTATCCCCTACCCATAGCCTTCCCCAACCCACCTGGGCGGCAGTCTCCCCTCGTTCCAAATGCGCACGAACTCGGAGAACAGCTCCCGACTGCGGTCCGAGCTGAGCTCTGAGGGGAGGCGGAGGGGGAAAAAAGAAATTCCAATGTGTGTTATGATATTGATACAAGTTGCTGACAATCCCTGGTGGAATCAACCGTGAATCGAGCCGAAAATGGTGGTGAACACAATGCGAGCTAAACTTACCGAACTTACCATTTATGGAGCAACCTTACCGTAGTCTTGGGCATGTGGGAAGGCGGCTGAAGGTGAGCTGGAGACCCACCGCGCCGTCGGGCATAGGCAAGCAACAGGAACAGCACAACACGAGCACGCAAAAACATGGACTGACACACGATAAAAAAACGTACCTAGGCACACAAAGAGGCGGAGGGGGAGGGTGCCGGTGAGGGGAGCAGGGAGGGAGAGGGTGGGTGGGGTGGATGGCGAAGGGTAGGGGGAGCAAGGGGATTACAAAAGGAGGGGTAGGCGCAGGTTGTGTGTTCTGAGGGCCGGGAACGGCTGGGTGGGTTACGGCTTACGAGGCTTTGGGTTAGGAGCCATTAACCTCCCTCTCCACCCCCCTCCTCCCTCTCCAACCCCCCTGGGCCCCCCTGCCCCCCCCCCCCCCCGCACCGTTGAAGGCCGTGCGGCGCTCCTGCTGCAGGAAGGCGGCGAACTCGGCGTGGCGTCGGAAGTAGTCCTCCTCGCTCAGAGGCTCCTTAACTTCTGATACCTGTGTATGTGTGGGGGTGGGGTGGGGGGGGGAGGAAGAGGGAGGAGAAGTGGGGGAGGCATGGGGAACACCGAGGGGAGGAGGGTGGTGTCGGCGGCAAGTTGGTTGATTGGGGGGACTTTAGGGTTTGAACTGTCCCGGTTCTGAACAAGAAGCTGCTTTCGTGACCTTGCGGACTATTCAAAATCATGCAATTCAGGCACTGTAGGGCCCCGCCCCCCTGACAGGAGCAGTATCCCAACCATCACCAGTCGGCCCCATCACCGCATGTGATGTTGCGGTCACCTGCACCGGCGGCAGCGGACCGGCCCCCGCAGGAGCCCCCGCGCCATGGAAGGGAGCTGAGGAGGGAGGACCACCACCACTCCCACCACCGCCACCTGCCACTGCTGCGCCGCCGCCGCCCGTTGCGAGATGCTGTTCGAGGAAGGCGCGCGCTTGTTGTACAAGGCTCTCGTCCTTGGATCTGGATTTGGAACCGCTCTTGTCCTTGTCTTTTGACTTCTTGTGCTGGAGGGATCAGGCAGGTGAATGAAGTGCATGTTGGGGCTGGGAAGGATAAGGATGAGGGTTAGGAGGTTGGTTGGTGTGGGTACGGGAGCGGGTATCCCAACGCCGTACGGGCAGCAGCTGCCCGTACAGGAAAAGGGTCACAGTCAAACAGTCTAGCGAATTTGGTGAGGGTTATAGCCTTTTAGAACGGAAGGATTGCGTCTTTCAAGGTGGGAAGGCATTCCTTACCTTCTTCTTGCTCTTCTTCTCGCGACGTGCTTCTTCACGGTCGCTGTCGCCTGAACACAAGTACACACCAGAAGCAGTGAGTGCGAGCCAATTATGTATCGCACTTTTGGTCGAAAAGCTTCTTTTGCTAGCGGCGATGAGGCGATGCCAAACAAGTCCTTACTGCTGTAGTCGCTGCTACTAGAAGAGTCACTCCGACGCCGTCGCTTGCTTTTATCCTTTCCCATCTTGTTTGTCAAGTCGGCTAGCAGCTAAACAGTCCAGTGCTCCGGTTCACCGGTTGCCAACGCCTTTGACTCCGCAAGGGGTCAGTCACCCTTTCCTTAAGTAGCACGAGAAAGTCGGTCAATGCCTTGCGACGCAAAGACCACCTCAGGAATGACGGATTTAGGTTTCGGGCAACGGTTTCGTACGGTCCAACTGAATTTGGCGGAAAGCCCCAAAGCTTCGGAGAAGCTAGAGCTTTCTCCGAATTGCTGCTGGAATGGGTAGGCGTTGGTGCCTTGCTACATAAGATCTCTGGAGGGACGAATCAGCGGGGGCTGGAAGCGCTTGCCGGCTGTTAACCCCAGGAGACCGCCCCAGGGGCCCGTAGACCCTTACGTGGTATTTCCCAGTCCCTGTCGGACAATGCGGCAAGCGAGCCTAAGCCTGTCCAGCTCAGGGGGATACAAGATTCTTTTCCGCTCGCTTCGGCACGCGTTAGTGCTGCCATATTCCCTAAAGTCCATGGCTACCCTGCAGCTCAGGGCAGCAAATGTCGTACAGCACATCCAACCGCCCTTGAGGGCTACCGGATGAGCCACTGACACCTTCATCGACCGACAGAGGAAAACCCTCCATAACGACTCTGCAGCGTGCTTAACAGGGTGGGGAGGCAGCAGCAGCCCAGTCCCCCGAATTCAATACTCAAGACGGGGTTCACAAACACATCCTGCAAGGATGAAAAGCGTGCGCCCCTAAAATCCTAAACAACCAGCACTTCCCGAGTTACCTCATCTTGCAATGCACCGCAAACATCGCAAGCGCCCCTCTACCTGTGTGCAACGTCCGGGCAATCCGTCCCAATCAGTGCAGTAGCACAGGTCCCCTGCTCGCATGCATCCTAGAACACACGTCCATGGCTTTGCAACAGCAAGCCAATATGTGCCCATTGGCGCCAAACACGATGCATGCCCGGTAAGCTTCCAGCACCCAATCAAGAGGGACGGCTCTGCTATCCTGTAGCTACTCTCAACAGAGAGAGAGCCCAAACCAAATACCATGCAAGCAAGCACTGTGTAACGCACCGAGATGTATTGAGTTTTCGTGCACTTATTCATAAGCGTGACTTTGTACCAATGAGCCGAACAAAAGCCCGCTGGATAGACCCATCAGTCGCCGCTTGCCCCCCACGACCGCATGCCCCCCACGACCGCATGGCCCCCACAACAAGCAACCTGCATTTGAACAAGTGCCCAGCAAGGCTACCGCGTAAGGGGAGCGCTTGGGCAGCGCACCCTCTCTGCCCCTGCCTCAGCCAGCTGTGAACAACGGCATTTCCCAGCGGGCCAACGGGACAGTATCCAGCCAACAAGCAATGCATGCACGCATGCATGTTCCTGCCATGCGTGCAGCATCCGTGCGCCCAACAACAGCAATGCTGAAACACACACACACCAGCACTCGCGTGCAGCCATCCTGCAGTGTGTGTCCTCGGTCACCCACACACATTTCTAGTACGTTCCGGCTCGCGGCCAGTATTCTTAACACACACACAGTTTTCACGTTCCCGTGTCCCCTGTCGCTACGAAAAGCTCTTGCACTCTTGCCACTGCAGCTGCCACCAAACGCTACACCCCTCCCCGCTCCCTGCAACCACACCTGCCTAATCCCATCTGCCTAATCACACAACCCTCGCACTCTCCCCCTCCCCGTTCACTAGTCGTACCCTCTCTACCCCACCCCTCTACAGCAGCCACACCGGCCCCAGCAGCAGCGGCAGCAGCCCCCTCAACATCCCCTCCAACACCTCCTTTCCATGCTGCAGCACCCCCGCAGGCACCGCCCGCAGCAGCCCCTGCCGCCGACTGTCCGACCGCCCGGTCCCCAGCGTCTGCTGCAGCGTCAGGCCCGCAGCCATCATGCCCAGCACCACTTCCCGCGCCTTCCCGCGCCACTCGCTCTCCCGCAGCTTGGCCAGCAACGACAGCTTCAGCCGCTTGCTGCCCTCGCCCCAGGAGGGGAGCGACTTGATGGCGGCGAGCTCCGCCTCCAGGGAGGCACGCAGGCGGGAGGTGGGAGAGGAGGGAGGCGCAGGGGGAGCAGCGGGGTGCTCGGGGGTGGGTGCGGATGCTGCTGCTGTCTGCTCTTCGAGCTTGCGTTTGCGGGAGGTGCCTGCAGCGGCATCACCTGCTGCTGCTGCAGATGAGGCTGCTGGTGGTGGTGGTACTGCGGTGACCCCAGGGGCAGCGGGAGGTCCTCGCACCTGCGAACGCTGCTGCTGGTGCTGCTCGTGCTCGGAATGTCGGTAAGGCGGGTAGTGTGCAGGCAGCGGTGCGGGTTCCGTCTTGGGGACCGCAGCAGCAGCAGCAGCAGCAGGTGCGGCAGCAGGTGCAGCAGGTGCGGCAGCGGGTCTGGCGGGCAGCTTGGCGCTGACAGTGACCCTGGCGCCCCCCATGCTGCCCACCTGCCGCGACCCCGCCGCAGCACCCATTTGGGCCGCCGACAGGGGTTGCGGCAGCTGCGGCAGCGAGCTCTCTGGTACGGCCTTGGAAGCAGCAGCAGCAGCGGAGCTCCCTCCCCCTGCCTTCTCCGACCCGCCCCCATCCGAACGCCGCCGAACCCAGTTCGGAGGCAAAGGCGGTCCGTACACCTTCGCCGGCCGTGCCGGGCCCACAACCTCATCCCCTGCACCCCCTGCCGCAACCTCAGCAGCCGCAGCATCTGCCACTGTTGCTGCCGACTGCGGCGCCGGCCGCGGCTGCTTCATGCTCTGCCGCGTGTAGAACAGCAGGTACGCCTGCTCCTGCCGTACCGCCTCCAGGGAGGCGCCGTACACCCGGCTGTCGTTCATGCAGCTCCAGCGGTCATCCGAGTCGCGTACCAGTGCGTAGTAGTGTCCGCTGTGCAGGGAGGAGCCCTGGTGCACCAACACCCCCGTCAGGGTGTACAGGCTGGGGCCGGGGCTGGTGGTGGGGCCGGTGGTGGTGGTGGTGGTGGGGCCGGTGGGGTGCGGGTGGTGGTGAGTGCTGGCAGTGGGGGCTTGCGGCGGATCGGTGTCCATTGCGGAACTATCGGAGTAGTGATGCTGCTGGTGGTGCTGGTGGGAGTGCTCATGCGCATGGTGGTGGTGATGTTCATGCTGGCGGGGGTGGGGGTGGGGGTGGTGCGCATGGCCGTTGCCGTTACCGTTGGCAGCGGCAGCATCAGCAAGCTGGTGTTGGCCGTTATGCCGCCCCGCAGCAGCAGCCGGCTGCTCTCCTCCTCCTCCTCCCTGCTGCTGCTGCTGCTGTTCCTCTCGCTGCCGCTGTTGCAACTGCCGCTGCTGCTGCTCCTCCGCTCGGCGGCGTGCTGCTGGCGGCGTCATGAAGGGCTGCAGGTCCAGCACCTCGCTGAAGGCCACGTGGCGGCTGATCTTGCCCAGCAGGCTGCCCGCGTCGAAGCGCTGAGGGGGGGGGGCGCGGCGGGAGGGGGGGAGGGGGGGAAAGAATACCCAATGTGTTGAATGAGAATGGAGGTGGGGAAGGTGGGGTCAGAGATGGACCAAATCGCATGAAATCACAAGGCAGGCCAATGGGCAATGGGAGGGTGGGTACAGGGTAATGTGAGGTGGACGCGGGAGGGAGGGGGCAAACACCGACCCCATGGATACAGATGGCACCCGCTGCCGGCTGGAACGGACGAAGGGCAGGGTGCCTGTGCGGCAGGCTGTGGCCTGAGCCCCTGCCCCTCCGATGACCACGACCCCACGCTCGCACTGCCCCAGCCCCCGCGCATCCCTCCGCCTCCCCCCCCTCCCCCGCACACCTTGAGGTGCAGCACCAGCACGTTGGGGTCGTCCCAGATGGTGGTTTGCTTCACCGCGGGAGCCAGCGTGCGGCACCGGTCGCACCGGTACCTGCGTGGGGGGAAGGAGGGATGGGGGGACGGAAGGGAAGGAAGGGGGAGAAGGGGTTGGGAAGCTGTGCCAAAAGCCCCACAGCGGATCGGGAAAAGGAAGGGCATGGGACACATGACCTCCGACCTGCTCCGACCGCCCTTCGACGCTTTGTCCTCTTCCCGCTCCCCCTTTCCGCCCCCCCTCTCCTTCCGCCCCCACGGCATCCAGACACACCAGCCCCCTCCCCCTCCCCCTCCCTCTCCCTTCCCCCGCTGCTGCTGCTCACTTGTTGTCCCCGTCCAGCCGCTCCTGCTCCGTGAAGCAGCGCAGACCCTCCGACACGCTGCGAGCCTGACGGGGGGGAAGGGGTTGGGAGGGGGGAGAGGAGTTGGGGGCCGGGTTAGGGCGGGCTACAGCCACTGCTGGTGGGGTACCGCGCACCGGGAGCTGGGCCTGGAGGGAGGGAGGGCGAGTGCGGACACAGATCAGAGGGCAGGTCGCCCCAGCGGCTACCGGTAAGTATTATCCCGCACCGTCCCATTCAGGTTCAACGTTCCCCTGCACAGGACCCCTCCCTCGAGCTGCAGCTGCAGCTCCAGCCATCCCCGCCCCTCGACCAACTCAATTCCATTCCCCCGGAGCTTGTCGTGTGGTTTGCATTCGCATTAACGTTGGACAGTTTCCTTTTCCACACCCAGGCCCCACCTGCCCAATGTCGAGCGGCAGTGTGGTGAAGCTCTCGTAGGAGTTGGACTCGTGGCCGCACGCCAGGCAGCGCACCTGCGACTGCCACCGACCCAGGAACAGGTCCTCCACCAGGGTACGAGTTCCCTGTGGCGCAATATCCCCAATATGGCAGCCAGGTGGGGGGGGGGAGAATAACATGGTGTAAAAGGGAAGAACAGGAGGGAATGAACTAACCGTATGACAAGAATATACCATGGGAGGAGGGGAGGAGGTCAGGAGGCAGGGTGTGCTTACCGGTTATGCGCCTCCTCCTCATGCGCCCCAACTTTGGGAAACCCATGGTGCGCCCTATCAGGCTATCACACGGTTGGCTTTCTCCCCTCTATCCCCACCTTTGGCGTTCTCTTACTCGCCCGCCTGCCCCACGCCGGGTCCAATGTAGCAACCCATGGTGAAGCCTCGTGCCCTCGTCATACAGCTGACGTCAGTTTCCTCATGTTTACCCACCCGCCCCCCACCTTTGGCGCCCCCGCCGCCCTCCTTCCGTCCCGCTCCAGCACCTCCAGCAGCGCCGTCAGGAACTCGTGGCTGTCCTCCTGCCGCCCCCGCACGAAGCAGCGGCTGATGCACGGCAGCTGCCGGACCACCTCACCGGGGCTAAGCGAGGAGCCGCGGGGGCCGCGCAGCAGCGCGGCGAGCTGCCGCTCTAGCAGGCAGAAGGTGCAGGGGCCGGAGGCGGAGGAGGAACGGGGGCAGGCGGAGGAGTGGCCGCGGGAGAGGCAGAGGTGGCCTAGAGGAGGCAGGTAGGCGAGGCACTGCGAGGGGGATGGGGAAGCGGGTTGGGTGAGGGTTAGGGGGAGGTAGTTGCGAGGGAGGGACGCTACACCGCACTACCCATGCAGTGTCATCAATAACGGCGGCAGCAGCACCAGCAGCGGTGCCCAGCTGTGCCTAGCTGCTGCTGCACCGGCGGCTCGGCACACGCTAACCGTGGGTGACGGCAAGTGGCACAACATAGGCACACTGGCACAATGAAGGCGCCCGCACGTCCTTCCCTGCCTGCTCGATACATTCGGTTGTTTTACGCATGTGCCTGTTGTAAGACCTGGCATGCATATGACTGCATGCGTGTGTTAGAAAAACACTGCTCTCGCGCTCGTTCGCGGCGGCTCACTGTTCCCACGCTGGTCGCCGCGGCGCACCTGCAGTGTGGAGTTGAGGAAGCAGCTGTTGCCCAGGTTGTTGAGGCCGGCGCCGGCGGGCTGCGGGGCCTTCCAGCGGGCTGGCAGGCTCAGCACGCTGGGCTGGGCCTGGGGGCGGGCGGAAGGCGGGCGGGCGGGCGGGAGGCAGGGGAGGAGCAGGGCAGCATGGGGAGGAGCAACATGCGGTAGATGGGCGTCGCAGATAGGACGGCAACAGAAAGAGGGGACGAGGGGAGAGGGGAGAGGTGGGGCGTAGGGGCTGACCAGCGCACAGCACGGCCAAACAGGATCTGCTGCATGGCTGCAGGGCGTGTTGTTGTTGGAATTTCCAATGAAACGTCTACAGGTAACAAGGCAGTCTGCATGGACTACCTGCATGGGGGCTTAGCTCCATGGGTCACGCAGCCCCAAACCGACCGCATTACGGCCTAAGAAGGACCCAACTACCTGCGCAGCTAAACTAGACACTCCCCGGGCGTCAGGAGCTCCATTAGCGCCTTGAAGTACCATCCTGCCTCCGCCGTTTTAAGGGATCCGGGCTGCTGGCCGCGCGTTGCCCCAGGGGCGCGCGGCCCCAGCCAGTATGAAATGAAGTTGCAGTTTTACTCTGGCGTAAGAGAATGATAGGATGCTAACTCCCAACAAGGTGTCGCTCGGCCTCACAAAGAAGCATATTTTGAGTGGACCCAGATTAACACACTTATGTTGCAAGTCTAGTGGTAACTTAAGGCATTAGGTAAAGCAGATAGGTAACTCTGCAAGTGGCTTGCGTTCGCCTTCAGATAACTCCTAGTTGTCTGCCAACTAATAGTAGCCTAATTTGCGTGCACTGCAGTGTTAAAGTTCTCAGAGTTCGCCTCACAAGGGCAGCAAACTGTATGAGCGGGAAATCCATATCGTACACTTAAGACAGCTAACGCCCTAACGGCCTAACACCAGGATGGCAGGAGATTATCTGAGGAGAGAGAAATACTTCATGACGTAGGTTACACTGATTGACGATTTGAGTATTTTATTTTACCGGTTGTGAGAGTCAACAAGTCCGAGTGAATGCCGCAGGGCGGTTTGTCAGCCAAGAACTAAACGTGCCATCCAATTACTTAGGACCAAGAACTGCTGTCTTGCAGCAACAGTGGGCTTTCTCAATGGACGCGCAACTCTCGGCTCTAGGGCAACAGTTAGCTGAGGATGCAAACAACCTGGTACGAAAGCTGCATATGTTAACCTACCTTACTTGACGACTATCAGACAGCGATGGATAGGCCCCGTTGGACTTATCTTCGCGACGCTGTACAGGTCGCGGAGCATTGTGCCGACGGCCTCGAAGCTTTCTACAGGTATGGCCTCCAGTGCATGGAGCCTTGAATTGATCTCCCTAAGCAAAAAACTGTTGACTGTAGCTGCGTGAAGTCCGGATGGACAAACCGCACCGTGGATGGGTCTGCGGATGCCACCGTGTGCGCTGAGGACGACGGTACGCTGGCTAGCGTACGCGAGGTAAGAGGACATGGCTCTCCCAGATGCTTTTGTTATACCGATACCTTGTTACTGCAATCATGTTACTGCCATCAATTACGACCTCTGTTCAGTGCGATACATAGCAGATGCACCCCTCCGCATACCTCCACACTCTTCCTAACCCAGACGGCCATAACCCACTTCCTTCACACCCCACCCCACTGCGCCAGGGCACTGCGCGGCTGCACGCCTCCCTCTCCTCCCGCCTCTCCGCCGGCATGGAGCTCTTCCAGGAGGTGTGCACCGCCACCATCTTCAAGCCGCCCGTGCGAGCCAGCACCCCCAAGGTGAGGACACGGTGGCAGTACAGCCAGCAGGAACACCAGCTGCACGGTACAGCCAGCAGGAACACCACCTGCACGGTACAGCCAGCAGGAACACCACCTGCACGGTGGTACCGTATCGACCGAGTGCTAAGCTTAATTCTAAGCTCAGCCAGGCTGGACGTTACAAAGCATGCCCTCCTTGCGATGACCTCCGTGTGCGCCTCTTGCTGGACTAGCTCTGCTTTCCCCCTGGACCGCCTCTCCGCCCAACACCCTGCCTACCCCCAACCTGCCCGCCTGCCCAGCTGGACGCCGTGAGCCTTCCGGACGACGGCGGCTGCAGCACCAGCAGCAGCAGCGGGGGTGGTGGTGGTGGTGGCGGCGCCCGGGCGGCACCCGGTGGCAGCTCGGGGGCCGGAGAGGACGAGGCGCAGCTGGTATCGCGGATAGCGGGCATGCGGCGGGAGCTAGGGAGGGTAAGGTGGCGGGGTGCCGGGGGCCGCAGGGCTCATGCAGGGCACCAGCCCCAGGGGGAGGAGGCCCCTGTAGGGAGGACTAGCGCGGTCGTGTACTGGGGAGGGGGGAGAGGGGACCCGCTCTGTGCTGGCATCCCTAGGGAGAGAAAGGGTGTCCTGGGGGCCATGGCGTGCTGTCTCCCATGTCATGCGCAACGCCTGGCCTTCCTTGCGGAAAACACATGGTAGCAGCTTGCGGTAAGCGTGGAGAGTTCCCCTCCGCCGTTGGGTGCGGCCCAGTCGGTTCCTGGCAGCAGTGCGCATGCGGAGGAGCTGAACCGTCCCACTCCTCCTCCTCCTCACTACCACCACCCCTCCTGCCTCCCTCTGCTTGGGCTGTGCTGCTTGCGTGCCCCCCCTCTCCCTCTCCCTCAGGTGGACGAGCGGTGCGCCGCGCTGCGTGCGGAGCTGCAGCGGGTGGACCGACACATCGCCAGCAGCGGTGGGGGGGGGACGGGGGTTGGGGGGGGGGGGGAGAGGGGGGGAGGGGTGGGTAAAGGGGAAACAAATAGCTGACTGTGTGAGAAGGCGTGGTGATTGTCAGGAGAAACCAACCCACCGTGGGTTGGAGAGTGTACATACTGGTAGAGCATGATGATGGTGTAATGGTGGCGGGTTGGGGGCTGGGGGCTGCAGCCGTGATGACGGGGTTGCAAATGCAGGTGTGGAGGAGGGTAGTCGTCGGAGGGTCATTAGTCGTTACGCGAACCCCAATCCCCAACCCATGTTCAATCCCCCAGGCGATGCGGGTGACTACCGCTCCCTTGCCGCCACTGCCTCCAGCAACAAGGCGGCCATCCAATCCATCGTGGGGGCGGCTCTGGAGCTGCAGCGGCTTATAGAGCGGGCGGCGGCGCGGCGGGGGCCGGGGGGCGGGCAGCAGCAGGGGTGGGGCAGGCAGCGGGCGGGAGGAGCAGGTGAGGAGGAAGTGTGAGGAGGGGGAGGAGCTGGAGGGCGCAGTGGTGTTTTGGTGTGGGGAGGGTGAGGAGGTTGTGCAGGCTGGGGGCGTGTGGTGGTTGGGAAAACCGCGGATGTGTTCCTGGGGGGGGCATGCCATGTTGGTCTACCGCACCTTCCTTAACCTTCCGGCACTGGGCAGGCGTCTTCTGTATGGTAGGCCGCGGGAAGTAAAGTCAGGTTCGGCTGTACCGGGCAACGTTTCCCCATGCGCCTTGCCCTTCCAAACGCCCACACGACCCCCCTCTCAAGTCCCGACACACACGTTGCCCCCCCCTCTGCACATGCAGACAAGGTGCTGCAGGCCCAGGGCGGCGCTGGCAACCTGGTGGCCGCCTCCGCTGCCGCCTTCTCGGCGTTCGGGGAGGTGTTCAAGGCTTGAGAACTGCGGTCCGGCAGCGGCGGGTCAAGGGGTGATGGGAGTTCGGTTAACCACCATGCGTTTTCATGTGCATCTTCTCGAGACCCCTGACAACGGACATTGCATGGACATCGCATGCAAGCGCACGGACTGTAACTGCAAAAGGAGACCACCAGGATCCGAATTCTCATTGTTCCAAGTGTTACACCTTCACAATTGAGCTACAGCTTCCACTCAAAATATCTATCTGGGACGGTAACCACCCGAAACAGCCGCTACAGTACCGTACCACGAGGTACTGATGGCGGTTAGTTAATTGTACGCCACATTCGTTTTGTCCGGCAAGGATAATGATGCTCTCATGATAGATGGTCCTAACGCTCACGCATGAATCGTCCACAATGCGAAGATGGTAACGCTCACAGCACACTAAACGTGTAGAGCAACATACCCGGTGTGAAGCCCCCAGCCACATACACGGTGGTTTGAGTTCTATCATGACAATCCAGGGTTCAAGATGTATATATGGCCCGCATAGGACGTGTGTCGCAGCTGGCAATGTCATCAGGCTAGCTGGACATCCTCCATCCCTATCGTCTTTCGTCTACCAACATCACCATCCACAACCCCTTGCCCGGCCCTTCATGCCAATGCAAGCGACATAAAGTTAAAGTGTCAAAGACATCAACGGGTAACTATAAAACACCCTGAGTTCGCTAGTAAATACGTCACATCCCGAGCTAATGGTAGAGGAACAGGAACGCCGCGACGACGCCGAAAATAATCTTAAGAAGGCTGACGCCATTCATGCCCGCACTGTTGCTAGCCGGGGAGGGGGTCGTGGAACTGTTTCCGGGCGCTGTAGTCAGGTAGGTGTTGAATGCAGCCAAGTTGGTGAACCGCGGGAAGCAGGAGTTGTCGAGCCATTGGAAGCCATCCTCGCTCTCAGCCGTGTTGACTCGCTAAAGGGGGGTGAGAAGGGGTTCCAGCGTTAGGCACACGACGAAGCATCGGAAGATTCAGTCAGTCATGCGACCCTTGAAACCACTTGAACGCACCTGAGCAATATAAAGGACTTCACAGCTAGTGAGGAAGCTTGTCCACGCGTTTACGAGCTTCTGCAAATAGCGATGGAAATGGGTGATCATACATAGCACGCGAAGCAGCTCTATTGCGCGCGCCGGGCACACGCCCGATACTCACTTGGTTAATGGCCGTCCCGTTCCAGCCGCTCATGCACTTCCAGACCGTGCTGCCAGTTGCGGTGCTAGGGCACTTCGAGACGTTGTAAGTATCGAGCGCTAGCATAACTTGGGTCTTGCACACCGCATTATTTTTGTAGTATGGGCTTTCAATCGTTGCGTTGTAGACGTTTGCACAAGAAGCGGTCTTTCGGACCATAAAATCCCATGAATTTTGGTCTGCATCGGTCGCGGACGCCATGCCAGCAGCGATGGCGATAACTGCAGCAAGCAGGATAACCCTCATTCTTCTGGCAAATACAAGTAATGTTGGATATATAACGGAAGGTAAATACAATGTAACCAAGAGGACCTACGAAAGTCTTCACAGGCCCGTCGTCAGTAAGGCACGCGCTGGTTTCGGAGGGCCATCTGCAGGGCCCCGTCTGCGTAATACGTTACGACTCGATTGTCAGACGCGTACATTACAATTACGCATATATGTGCTTGCACGTATGACAATGAGGACTGCGCAAGAATGAGAGGGCATCAACCGACGTGCTAAAAGGCTATTCCGACGACCCGTAAGCGCGACACCATCCAGAGGCCTCCTGAAAAATTTGCAAAGCCGGGCTTTATCGTTAAGCCTAGCAGCAATCATCCACGTTTCAACGCTGCCGCTCGCAGCCCTCGTCGTTGCCTTCATCCGACAGAAAATTGCCGCCTGGCTAGGCGACTCACCTTTGAGCCTACAACATATGTCCATGTAGCATATTTCCAGCTCCATGTCTTATTAGTCGCACGCGCTTTTGCCGGACGCATTTGCAAAAGCCGTCGGTCATGTCTACCGTTACTACGGACGCATCCCCAGCTGTTTGCCGCTGATTAAGGGGTCCTTAGCTGCGACAGCGGCGGAGTGTAACCTTTATAGCTCCCAGATCGCAGCCTCGCTTCTGCCGAGCAAATCCTGTTAACCCGCTCCAGCTTGTACAGCCTGTACTCCATCCATTCAACGCCACTGGACCCACCAAGCGCTAAAATCCTAGCTGCGTCGACTCCTGAGGTCGTCGTGGGTCTCAGCGGCCGCATACATGCCAGGCGAGGCAGACTCATTCTGCAGGGAAACGGTACCCGGTATTACGCGAAAAGGTCGTTAATGCACGCGAACAGGGGAAAACAAGCGATGAGCAACCTCGAGTTCCCCTTGAATAGAAACAATACCCCCCTGAATCTGAAAACGCATGCGGTTAGATCGTATGGGTCTCATCTATCTCTGGTGAGAGTGATGCGTCAGCAGCCTCAACGACATGTGGGAGCTCCTCGCAATTGAATGAAGAGACATGCATCCTTTAAGGATGGAATGAAAAGTCGGCCACCTCATGCGTCTGTCATGCTATCATTATCCGCCGTACATGCAACACCCAGCGAAGAAGCTCAGTCGCCTTTCAACGCGTATTCCAAGGTGCACTGACAAAAATGTATCACGACAAACTCATTTAGACGGCTATTTCTTGCTTAGTACGGTTCAAGCGTTTTCCGAGGAACGACTTGATGAGCAGGCCCTCGGCTTATTAGATTGCGCTCAATCGCACAATCAAGCAAGCCAAAGCTCGCACACTTCCTTCACCATAAAGCAATGGCGCAGTAGTTAAACGCAAAGCCAAACAAACAAAAAACACTACCCTCCGCGAAACGCTCAAACCCACCAAACATGCAGCTACAGCCGCGTCTAGCCATCCGCAACCCGCCTGGTGCAGCAGCGGCACCAGCACCGGCAGCCGCTCCAGCAGCGGCCGCGGTAGCCCCCACCCCACCCAGGCACCCCCACCAAACCGCCCCACCCGGAGGCCACCACCCCGCAGCAGGTCGCCGCCGGCAGCTGGCCGCCCCAGCCGCGCTACCCGCACCTCGCCCACCCACAATCAGCCACCACCACCACCCCCCCGCCCTCCTCCTGCACACCCCATCCCGGCACCCCAGCTCCCACCTCTCCGGCCCCCTTGCCCCCCCATGCGGATGGCTGCCTCCCAGCCCCCCACCCCGACCCAACACCCGAACAGCCTCTTCCTCCTCAACCGCCTCCTCCTCCTCCTCCCCCGATGTGGTCGATCAGCAGCAGCAGCAGGCAGCGGGTGGTGAGCAGGAGGCGGAGGCGGGTCTGGGTCTGCTGGCTGTGGACCCGCAGCTGGGGCCGCATGTGGAGCACCTGAGATACCGGTGAGGGGGGCCGGGGAGGGAGGGGGGCAGGGGCGTGTCATGCTCCAATGGTGAAACTTGCCAAATCAGGACATGGGGTGGAACGGGGCGGGCGGGGTAAAATTAAGGAGAGCTTTCCTGAGCCTCTCATTCAACCACGGTGGGTTTCAGACTTTCAGTTTCCTCGCTTCCTCCTCTTCCTCTTCCCCCTCCCCAACCCCGCTCCCCCCCCCCCTGCAGCTGGCAACGCTACCGGTCCACCCTAGACCGCATCCAGGCCGCCGCGGGATCGCTGGAGGCCTTTTCGCGCGGCTACACGAGCTTTGGATTCAACCGGGAGGTGAGATTGGGGGGGGAGGGGGAGGTGAGGGGGGAGGTGAGATTGGGGGGGGAGGAGGAGGTGAGGGGGAAGGTGAGATTGGGGGGGGAGGAGGAGGTGAGGGGGAAGGTGAGATTGGGGGGAGGGGGGAGGGGGTCAGAAATAATTAATGAGGAAGGGGAGAGGCTTTGGGGGGTGGGGATTAATAGGGATGAAGATTCCGCATTACGCTGGATTTCAGGATTGCGCATAGTCAGATCTGTTGGGTTAGTAGCAGCACACAAAGTACATACCGTATTAAAGCTCCATAAGCTGGCGGCTGTGCTGAGATCGTATCCCTTGGACGGATTCCTGACGAGCTACCGTATAAGCTGGCACCTGAGCTCTCATGGGCACATTCCAGGTGCCGGGTTGTGCCACCCGGTGTGTGCATGCCATCCATCGGGGTGGGGGGTTCCTTACCACCTGCACCACCCGCATGAGCCCCCCCACCCCCACCCCCACCTCCACCCCCACCCCCACCCCCCAAGGACGGCGCTACCGTGTACCGCGAGTGGCTGCCCGCCGCCCGCTCGGTGGCGCTGATCGGCGACTTCAGCGGCTGGCAGCCGGTGTGGGGCAGCCGGGACAAGTGGGGCGTGTGGAGCATGCGAGTGCCGGATGGTGGGTGAGGAAGAAGGGACAAAGTGACGAGCCGTCCCCTTTACCCATTGCTTTGCCCTACCTCTTGGTTTCCTACGGTTGGTCTGCTTGTGAAAGCGTGAACACCCCACCCCCACCGCCCGCCCACACCGCCACTACGGTTGGTATCCTTGTGACAACTCCACCCCCCAACCCTCAGTCTCCGGCCGCCCCGCCATCCCGCACGGCAGCCGCGTGAAGCTGCGGCTGCAGCACCCGGAGGGCTGGTGGGCGGACCGGCTGCCGGGTTGGGTGAGGCGGGCGGTGGCGGAGCAGCGCATGGGGGCAAGGTGGGGGAGGGGGAAAGGGGGGAGGTGGAGGGGGAGCGGTTTGGTGGGACGGGGAGGGGAGGGGAGAGGCAGGCTGTGTTCAAGTTGACACTAAGCAGGGGCCGGAAAACAGGCTGGAGGTGGAAGGACTAAGGAACGAGGTATGTGTCTGACTCCACTGTTTCCCACCATGTGTGTGGTTATTGTTGTTGCTTGTTAGGTACGACGGTATCTACTGGGATCCGCCGGCCTCGGAGCGGCACCAGTGGCAGCACGAGCGACCCGCGGGTCACCCGGCCGCCCTCCGGATCTACGAGGCTCACGTGGGCATGAGCAGCGAGCAGCCCAAGGTGGCGTCGTACACCGAGTTTAAAGACACGGTACGGCAATAGCAGCTGTAGTTGCGGACTTGGCCTCCATATATGCGATTAGTACTCCATGTGTGGTCTTGCAGCGCAGCTCTTGCCTCTGCATGTTATATTCTTATTGCCTTTACGTACATGGCCACCAGTATCTGCCTTCGCCCCCGTTCCCCTGTTCCCTTTCCTGTGTACGTGCCTCTGCATGTCCCCACATTGCCCTCGCAGCCGCCCACCCCCCCGCACCACCACCCGCCCACCCCCCCGCCTCCCCTCGCAGGTGCCGGGCTGGCTCACATGATGCAACCCATGTTGGTGTTGGTGTTGGATGTTGGTCTTTATCCCCCCCCCACTGGTACAACCCATGTTGACGCCTTATCCCTCAGTCAGTTGGTTGTTTCCTCTTTACCCCCCGCAGGTGCTCCCCCGCATCAAGGCGCTGGGCTACAACGCGATCCAGCTGATGGCCGTACAGGAGCATGCGTACTACGGATCATTCGGCTATCATGGTGTGTGTATGGGGGGAACTGCCGTACGCACAATGTGCCTTGCGTGCAGTGCACGGGTGAGGATGCAGCGCGGAGGTACCGGTATACCGACCGTACAAGGTGCATACACGTGCTGTTCCACCCACCCCAATCCCCACCCCACACCCCCGGCCATATGGCGCAGTCACCAACCCCTTCGCCGTCAGCAGCCGCAGCGGCACCCCGGAGGAGCTCAAGGTGAGTACGGGGTTAGGTGGGGGAGAGGAGCGGGAGGGGGCGGGGAGAGGAGTGGGAGTGGGGTGGGGTGGGGCTGGGCGGGAGGGAGGGAGGGTGAGGAGGTGTGCGGATATAGGTGGAGTGTGATGTAGCGTGTCTGGGGGCGTTTCACTGCTGCTGGAGTGGTGGTCAGATGGTCATGGAGGAGCCAAAAGTGGTAGTCATCCGGTGCTTAGCTTGCTTCTTACACATGATCCCAACCTCATACACGCAACCCAGGCCAGCCCAACACCTCCTGCCTGCCCGGCAACATGCGCACGAACTCCACCAAACATACCCTCCCTTTCCCACCTCCTCCCCATTCCTCTTCCCCCCTCTCACCAATGCTTTGCCCTAACCCATGTTTTCGTCATTATCTCTGACTCCCCTCCCCATCCCTCTTTCCCCCCTTCCCCAGGCCCTGATCGACGCCGCCCACGGCTTGGGTCTGCTGGTGCTGCTGGACGTGGTTCACTCGCACATCAGCTGCAACGCGGAGGACGGGCTGGCGGGGCTGGACCTGGGGGGGCGGGAGGCGGACAGCTACTTCCGCCAGGTGAGGCGAGGGGGGGACCTGGGGGGGCGGGAGGCGGGGGGGGAAGGGAGCGTGTGTGTGTGATAAGAGAACTGGTCGCGAGTAGGGATGCTACGGTGGGCTGTGTGCGTGTTGTGGAAGGAGGAAGGACACATGCGCGTTTGAGAAGGCAGGGCGAGGGGTGAGTGTGCTGCGGCTGCTAGCTAGTACCCGTACCTGCTTCGTCCCTCTCCTCCCATCTAAAATGCCCTTTCTCGTGTGATACCCACTACCACCACACCACCATTCCAACCC